AAAATCCGGACTGACAAATTCGCTTATCCGCGGTGGTCGGGACTGAGGGTGCTTCGGATGGTCAAAATTCGCGGATAATCCGGACTTACAAAAATAATTATCCGCGGTGGTCGAGGCTAGGATGACCTCGTATAATCTTAAATTGCGGAAAATCCGCACTGACAAATTCGCTTATCCGCGGTGGTCGGGACTGAGGGTGCTTCGGATAGTCAAAATTCTCTCTCCTCTGTGAGTAAATTCAAAAAAATGGGTAATTGTTTTTAAAGTTTTTACCCTCATAAAATTTTCACAAAAAATCCCTAAGGTTTCTTTTAAGTTTTTTAATTTTTTAAAAAAAAATTTATTTATTTATTTATTTTCTTTTTTTTGGTGCATGAAAGCAACAAATTTAGTAAAAGTAAGGGGATGATCGCTTACCGAAATCAACAAATGAGAAAAAGCTCAAAAATTCCAAAAGCAGGAACAAATATTTTGAGTGAGATCTCGGAGATTCCGCTAGATGGCGCACGGGAGGACCGAATCCGAAATCGCGGGTCCTAACGACCGGAAACTGACCGCGAACCGGAAAACGCCGTAAAGTGATGAGCACACACCCGCACTTCGCGTCAGAAAATGATCCGTTCTACACCCTGCCCAGGCGCTAATAAGCAAACCACGAGCCCCCCACGGTAGCCGGACTTGCTAAAAACGCGTCCAGAAACAGCGATAGATCGTAATTTTTAATGACAACGTTGCAACGATCATGAGGGTATTCGTCACTTGATCTTGACTTTGAACGATCTCCAAAGAATGCCACTCATCCCTTTCGGTTTCTGCGCCCGGTCATGTGCCGCTGATCTCTCGACTATGCTCCTCCATCATTGTTTCCGGCATTCGATTTTTGTCGTGAGAGCTGACGTGTCGCCGAAGGGAGCAGAACTCAAGACATGAAGTTTTTAGAGAATGAACGTGGTACGTGTTGGAGCCGAAAATTGCGCTATGGCCTTGTCCCCCACGGGACGTTTTCGTGGGATTTGTCTCAGGGAAAAATCTCACCTGCGAAGTTGGAAAAAATATTGATCAAATGAATACACCTACTTATCATAGTAGCAGTAGAGTCAAGTAGAATCATTGTGAGGTCCGAAGAGCGACTCGCAAAAGAAGAGAAGACAATTTGCCGCTTTGTTTAACGGGGAAGAAGCCTAGAAGTTCCATTCCTGCGATTAGAACTTGGGACAAATCCCGTGAAACGTCCCGTAGAGACAAGGCGTTAGTCACTTTTTCGCGTTTTTAATGTGTGCGTCGGGTTTTACGCGTCATTTACCAAGTCATGTAGGTAGGTACTCGCAAGTCCGAATTCGTTCGTGGTTTAGCGATCCATTCTGCCCTTAAGAGAGCAGAGCGGAAAGAGCAGCAAGTGTTACATTTTACATAGTCTGGTAGTTTCAACGTCGATTTTAAAAACGGGACACACAGCAGATATCGGTGGTGAAACAGCACAAATGCGTACCTCGGTCCGCGGAGTTGCGCGCTGGTTCCTTTTTCCTAAATGCGTATCTCCCATTTTTCTACATTTTGCTTTTAACCTGCTTCACAATTCAATTGGCAATTAAATATTTTATTAAATGCCTCCAATTTCGTATGATACTGTGCAACACCTCTGTTGCGAAATAGTCGCTTGAAGCGCCGTGGCACGCCAGGACGCGCCGCGGCGGGTGAGGAGGGCGACCAGCGCGGCACGCGCATTGGCGCCTACAAACCTAACGGGGATACTTCACGCATTGCGCAATGCGTGAAGTATCCCTGTTAGGTTTGTAGGCGCCAGTGCGCGTTTAGCGCTTCGCTCTGGCAGCACGCCGCGCCGCTCTGCTCTGTGTTCGGCACTAATATTTGAACTCGCGGAGCCAGCGTTAATCAATTATCGTGTACTTAAATTGATGAAAAAAATATGTATATACTTAATAATAATAAATAAAAGGAAAATCTTTTGTCTGTTTTGTAAATATTAAGGTGGTTCTGTGTCAAATTCAATGATCGCCAAAGCACTTTAATTTTTCCCTTTATGTTTTTTACTGTGCTGCAGTTTGGTGTGCGCGCAACCAAACGTTCAAAATTGGACGTAAGTATTTGACTCTAAAAGATCAATGTACAAATGGGTTAAAACTAAAGATTGGATGCTTCTTGGTCTTCCCTCGCTTTTATTCATTTTTGTATTGTTTCTTTCAACACAACTACGGCTCATTGAGATTAATATCGATGCCATCGCCTGGAAAAGGTATTACAAATATTTGCCGCGGTTTGAAAAAGTAAATGTTTTTAAAATGAAGTAATATTTTCATTTAAAACAGAAGAAAAAGAAAAAAAAGTATATTTAAAGTATATTTTAGATCGAAAATTTTAAGGATGGAAATAAAATTAAATATTCACCAATGACAATTCGAAAAGATGAATCAAAAGAAAAGAAGAAATAAGTAACATTTCTTTTAAAAAATGAGTTACTTACCATAACAAGAGCTCATTCTCTCTCAATTTTCTAATTTCGATATTTTCAATATAATTTTACGTACGGACTAAAATATAACGCTTGGACCAAGTCACTGTTGCTTGTTTTACGCTTGGACGTGAGCTACTGGACAAACCAGGTGCGCGAACGAAAATCGTTTACGGAATGTCCTGAAACCATGTAATGTGCAAACAGTTTGAGAATGTTAGCAAGAAACTGGTCGAAAATTCCTAAATATAATCAGAACCCATCATGTTTTTTTTTTTTTTTTTGGTTTGTGGTGTGTGTCAGCCACTGTAGGTACATTGCAAAGTTTTAGACAATTTCATTAAATCACACATCGGATAAACGCATAGAGAACATGACCGAGTAATATATTCTTCCGTCATACCAGGAGAATATGTAATTTTACGAAAAAAATTCATAAACAAGGAGTTTAAATGTAAAAAGGCACCTGGTTTTTACGGAGTTTTTTCTACAAAATATACTTCGTACGATAGAACTTCTCTTGCGTTTATTTCATTATTTCTCTTTGAGTACCTACGTAAGTTTTTCCGCAATTTTGTTAGTTTTTCTTGGGAGGGGGGGGGGTAAATTTTTCTTTCGCAATAATGCTACTTGGGATACACGTTTTCGATTCAGCAGAGCGCAAGCAATGCCATAAACACGTGGTTGACGTTTGAATGAAAGCTAAGTCGGCCCGTGTTCGCCGGTATGACGGACGTCACGCCTGATTGCATAATCTACGGCTTGAAGGCGCCGGGGTCAAAATCACACGTTGACGTTGCTGCGGCGCGGCGCACGGTGGATCGAGTCAATCAGGGAGGTCGGACAAAATTTGCAAACTTTAAGCGCTCATAACTCCGTTCATACAGACGTTTGAGGTTTTAAAAGGGGTTCCATTGGTTTCCTCGTGAAATTTCCTTTCAGAAGCACCCCTTGAAATTTTAAATATGACGAAATTAACATCGAAATTGGCAGTTTTAGTCGAAAATTTCATGTCCGACCTCTTCGATTACCTCGTTCCACTGTGCGGCGGCTGGCAGGTCGGCACGGCGGCGCTTAAGTTCTTTGGCAGAACCAAATACATTCCTGACGAGCGCATCTCATTCTCGTTTTGATATTTCATTTCACAAACGTCTCAAGGTGAAACCGTGACTGACGTCGGCGAAAACAAATTAGCAGTAAACACCGTCTGTTAAATCTGGACGTCGAATCATGCCCAAATTGGACAGTGGACATTTTGATTCTTCGTTTCAGTGGTAAGATAATCGATCATGATATCATTAGAGCTACTGATGATCGAAACGGTAAATCAAAGATAATCAATCTAAATTCTGATTAAAGGCGATATATTAGCTAATAGTTTGCTGTTTTTTTTTGTCTGTTCGTTGTGAAGTTTCCTGTTTTTGGGATTTCTTTAGAAACACCGTCTGTTAAATCTGGATGTCAAATCAAACCCAAATTTGACAGTGGACATTTTGATTGTTCGTTTCAGTGGTAGGATAATCGATCATGATATCATTTGAGCTACTGATGATTGAAACTGTAAATCAAAGATAATCAATCTAAATTCTGATTAAAGGCGATGTATTAGCTAATAGTTTGCTGTTTTTTCTTGTCTGTTCCGTGTGAAGTTTCCTACCTGTTTCTGGGATTTCTTTAAAAGGTAGGTAAGTGAGTTGTGGCAAAGGGATTTTGAAAATTGCACAGCTTTAACTACAATTGAGGAGCTTGGAGGACAAGGCGCATAAGTGCGGTTTTTGAGAAAAATTGACATATTAATGATTTTAAGTAAAACTAGTCTTAATGCATATTCTGTGAAAACTTTGCTTCCTAATTCTAATTTTTAAGCATCAAAAAGTCAATCTGAACTTTCTTCCCGTCATAAGGATCCATGTAATGTCGAAACTTAAAACATGTATTTTTTGCAATGGCAAAAACTGCTCTTGTGCGTCTTGCTCTCTAAACTCTTCAATTAGCCTATCTGAATCAGTACTCCTAAAAAAAGCAGAAGTCTACTTTTCAAAAGAAAATTTTGCATTTTTGACACAATCTTTTCATGTGACATTTGCAATTCTATGCATCTGTTACTCGCGTTTCAAAAAGCAGACTACCACTCAAAAGCCAAAACGCGAAACTACGTATCTCTATTGCAGTGTTTCAAAAGTTCGGCTCCTATTCTAATACTTCAAAGAGAAACAAGCCAGCCTTATCGTGTGAAATTCATAAAGAATATTCTGAAATAGAGAAGAAAAATCAAGGAAGTTATTAAGAAATTACGTTGACCGGTTTTTCGAAGAAAAAATGAAGTACAACAGGAAGTCTGCAATGTTGCAAACGGAGATACGTTGTTTCGCATAATGACCATTGAAATGTCATGTCTGGTGCACGCTTTTGAACTTTCGTTCCTCTTGCGAGCAGCTGTGCTGGAAAAATTGGAATTATAGCAAGGAAATGAGAAATAATAATATTGATTTGTTTCTTGTACAAATATTATTTAAACTGAATAAATTAAAATACACAACAGCAGAAGTGATACAACAAGGATGATTCAAAAGGAAAAAAGGTATGTATAAATAAAGAATAAATAAAATCGTAAAATAGTATTTACAAGGATTCATGGGTCGCATATTAAGAGTACATAATGAGAGAAGATCATCTGGACTACATCTTGCAAGCAGTAACTGCAATTTCTTGCTCAGTTTAGAAAAAACGTACGTACATTTAGTTTCACTATGGACACATGTGCTTTAACAAATGAGCCAGAAATTGTAGTTCCTAATTGCAAAATGTGGTCAATTTGGACAGATTTAACAAGAATCAGCCTTAATACATGACATCACGCGTCACCTGATTTTTGCTCTTGTTTTATATTTTTAATAGAAAATTCATAAACATTATAATTTAAAATGTTTTGAATTTATTCATAATTATCAGAGGGAATTTCAGAAAATTTTAAGTCCTTATGTTATTTAGCGTACTGTTGATAGAATAAAACATGAGCAAATGTTAGGGAAAGTGAAATGCAGTTGGGCAGGGTTGACGCAGAATTTAGAAAATGAAATTCTCTGACATTTCCTTAATTCTCCAGACAAATTTTGGTAAAATTTTTGAACAATTAAAGATATGCCGGAAGGTTAAAAAGACATAATTTGAAAGACACTTTCAGGCAAAATGTTTTGTTTGAAACATCAAACCCATTCTAGGAAGCAAATAAAGGTGAATTAACAATATTTCCTTGACATTTTTGTCATTTTTCTGACGTTTCCTGGTTTTCCCTGACTGGCAGCACACTGGGCTGATTCTTGTCTTATCCATGCATTTGTTAGAGTACGTCCATTTACAGGAATACATACAACTTAAATAAGGGCAACATTTTTCTTAAAAATATACGCTTTACATAACTCAGAATGACTGAAAATACATGATGATACATGCTTTTCAAGTATTATCAAAATGTATTTTTAGTAATTTGTGAATTTGTAAAGAAGGGAGTTGACAATAGACTTCGAAATTTTTGAAACAGCACAGTCTAGTTTCAGCTTTCCGAAAGCTTTTTTCAGTTTATTGTAAGATTTCACATTTTTCGGCACCAATTAAACCACATTTTGCAATAAAGAACTATTATTTCTGGTTTGTTTATGGAAACATCCACCTTCATGAAGAAACTTTTAGGACATTCATTGATTTCATAATTAGCCGGAAATAGTGATTCGTTGTAATATGTATTTCAATTGACGAATGAACTTAATGAGTTGCTTAAATGCATATCTCAAGCCTTTCATGTATTTCATTTCAAAAAAGTTGGTAAAGAAAAAAATTGACAGAACAGGTATAATTGGACTAAATTTTGCGATTAGAAATTGCCCTGCTAAAAACTCAGGAATTTCACTTGTTTTCTCCTAGAATTTCTTGTTAAAAAACAAGGATTTTCTCCAAGTTTGAGGAAAAAAAATGTCCAGCTTTTGTCTAATTTTTTGAAGCCAAATTACTACAAATCACCAGTTTAAAGAATCATTTGACCTGAAAAATTTCTTGATTTTCGCGGATGTTTCATTCTCTGATGAATCCCAGAATTTCCCAGTTTCCCCAGGTTCCAGACAACATGCTCTTATGATGAAATGTAATCCAATTTGACTTTATGTTGTTATGGGGAACTAATATTTCTAGCTTGTTTTGAAAACAACTCATGTCTAATTAGTTTCCCTATGTATATGCGTGTTTTTAGGGATGAGTCAGAAATATTGGTTCCTGAATGCAAGATGTAGTTCAATTATCACTCGGGAAAAGAACCTTCGTGCACAGAGACAGCTGTGATTGTAATATATCTTTCCTGTTTTCTGACTTGCGCCATTTATACGATACTTATGTACTTATGCACTTTTACTTCGATACGTCTCCCAGCGTTACTACAGAAAATAAGAGCACTCTAGTAACTAAGATTACATGGCCTAAATTTTAAATGCAATTGCAGGCGCAAAAAGCCATCATTAACTTGAATTTAGCTCTTTGCACTGGCAACAATACTTTTTAAAAAACATTACTTTGAAATATTTTACAAAATATAACTACAAGAATAATAACAAAACATGAGCTATCAGGATTTTCCTTAGCCTGTAAGGAATCTGAGCTTATAAGATAATTTTGCTACATGAAGTAAGAGAAACGAAAGTAAGAATTGTAACTCAGTTGCCTAGAAAAAACACAATAGTGCAAAAATTTGGAAAAAATTACTACCTAGTGAGTGGCACAGCATTTTTTACATGCACGGCTCTACATAATTGCCAGGGAAAAGCCCTGTTGTGCCGTCCATGACACCTTCCCACCAACCATCATCATTTTTCTTGAGAACGTAAATGACAGCGCTTTCTTGGAAACTAAGCTCATCCTCCTTGTCCGCGAAATAATCGTATATTGCAACCACTGAAAGAGACAAGAGACAAATTAATACAGTTGGTTTATAACTTTTTTTTCTAGGGATTTTTAAGTCTATCTTTTATTTTCATTCTCTGAGAAATGTTTAGATACCAACTCTGGTACTTTTCAAAATAAGAATTTAAACACGCCTTTATAAAGTCTTCATTCATTTAATTATTTATTAGAACAATGCACAGGTGAAACCCGAGATACAAGCGAAAACATTAAACAATATATTAAGGCAACAAACTGTTACACTACCACATTACAAAAATTTATTCTGACAAAAATTAAAATTAATAGGTTCTCAAAGCCCGCATTTTTGCTAGAAACATAAAATGTATCGAATTCGGACAATCCTGTATATCCATTGGAAGATCGTTCTATTACTGAGCCACCCTACAAAGAATAAGTAACCTTTCTCAACTTAGGTCGACCAAGAAACTCGGGAGAAAATTAAGGCTCATTCACTAATTTAGAACTGAAAACCAGATCAAAATATTTATGGAGAGACATACCAAAAAACAGAAAGATGGCTAGAAAAGTCTTTTTAACCCATTAACTTAAACTGATGGCTCCCAGCCGTCCGTGCTACGATGGGCCAGATCTGCAGAGACGGCTCAGAGCCGTCCGTCGATTGTTTGCATTATTTCGGCGATTCTCCGGTAGATTGTACTCTCATCAATGTTTATATGAGTAGTGTGGCCACCCTGTGACTTATTGTGTACGGTAATTTCTTGTTTCGTTATGGTACTTTCATATTGCTGTGCGTTTGCACATGAAGTTACCTCAAAATTTTCTGATTTTCGCTGATTTTGCGATTTTTGCGACTTTGACAGCTATAAACCACCGTAAAAAAATCATTGCGTTCAAAGTTTTCACCATTTTTCTCAAACGTTGTATTGTGAATACTTATTTTGTCAATTTTCACCCTTAGAGAAAGAATTTCTGGATTATTTTGAAGTGTTCAAAGTTACTGATTTTTGCCAAATTAAATCGTAATTCCTGGCCCGGCAGGGTCAAAGTAAATCATAAGTCAATGGGTTAAACATGGGCATAAACAGAAATGAGTGATACTATTTTAAAAGATAAAATCTCAATAAAAAATAAGACAAAACTCGTACCTTTTTCGATGTAATTTTTAGGAACCCAGCCCGGTAGATCATGCTCATCTGGGATGATCGGCATGACTCTAGTGGCACCTCTGGGTTGTCCGAAGCGAGCATGTTCCTCTTCTGGTGGGGGTGGTAAAGGCGGCGAGTTGTTCGACGGATGTCGTGGCAATGTATGCAGGTATTGCCGCCCATCATTAATCATTTCCATCCCTGATGCTGAATGATTCGCCAGAGTCAGAGGCGATGGCGGAGCTGAAAATGAAAATAAAGAGATAAATATGAGCACTCTATTTTGCAGTGTGTCCCTGAGCTTCAAAAACACCATATCACTAAAATTTTGTTTTAGATTTTCTTGAGATTTTCCTGATATTATAAATGAAACTTCCTGATTTTTTGTGCTTAAACATTGTCGCTTGTTTGATTTTACAAACCAGCCGAAATTTAATTTCACTACATCATTTCTTAAAAAAATGGAACAAACATAGTGTTTTGATTTAACCAAGAACCATGCACCAGATACATACAAAAAATATATATCGACGGTGTAAGTCGGCAATCACATAACTCGTTTGCAGTGTCTGAAAATCTCCGCCTCCATGTTATTTTTTTAAAGGAGAACAAATTGACATAATTCCTTGAAGTTTTTGTAGAATTTTCTTGGCACAGAGAAGAAAAATCTTGGCAGCTTTTAGGAATGGTTGTCGAGTAGTTTTCTGTTGAAAAAATAAAGTATGTCAGGAAGTCTGCAACGTCGCAAAGCGAGTTATGTGATTGCCAACTTAAACCGTCAATATGTACAAAAGTCAGGCTCGGGCACCCAAAATATTTTTTGGCGTTGATCTCAGGTGCAGTCCTTCTCGAAGCAAAATGTCCTCCTACAAAATAGAAAATCTTTGGCTCTGAAAAAATTGCAGATGGCATCAAAATATCAAATCTCTTTTTTTAAATGTCTCTTGGACTTAAGGTATAGGAGGAACTTCTACTCTGATACATTTCTACAATTCTGCAAGAGTTGGGCGCTGCTAATAGGAAAATGATCAAAAGGGAATGGATTAAAACAGTATTATTTCACTTACGAGGCATGGTCTGAGCATTGTTATTTATTTGCAGAACTGAAGTATTGTTCTGCTGTGGCTGTGGGTGGACCATTCCAATCTGTGGAGCATGGTGAGACGAAGCATGCGGTAGCGTGCTGTAACCTGGGCCACGTTCTCTTCTAGGATGGCCGATTGGATAGTTTGGAGCATAATGGCTGGGTACCTGTGAATCAAACAGAAATTATCAATATGCACTTTACAGCATTAAAAAAGCTGATGATGCATCATAGGAGCCTGCTGTAAGTCTCCACAAAAAAAAAACCCATCCTGATTTTCTGCAGCCAAAATCACTGTGCATGATAAAGCGTCATTTAATTACTGTATATTGTACACACTGGTTTTTTCCACGAAGAGACAAAAATAGGAAGTTTGAAGTATCTGCAGACGCCTGCAGTGCTTCAACGGCCGAGCAAAATTCACATTTTCCGTAAACTTTTCGTGTCATTTTGATGGGAAACTGAGTTTTGAAGAAATCAATAAAATGAGCATGTGAGAGAGTCATCTAACTTTCTCCTCATCAAGAATCTGTGAAATTATGGTAACAATACTTAAACTGTAAGTAACAAACAATTCTTGCATAGTTCATAGAAATATGAGGATCTTCTAGATGGGTCAAAAAAATTTCACACTGGCTGCTAAGTGAGAATCTAAGACAGCATTTCCTACTTAAAAGCAGGTGTTTTAGCAATCTGATACATTTCCATCTGAATGGGTCAGTTGCGCCGGTCACAGGAATCGTGTTTCGATGCTTAATTATTGTAGATTAGCTAAAGATAATAAGTTTTGTTGAAACCGCAACTCTTTACATTCAATATTAAACAAGGTATCGCTCATTGAAAAGAGGGGTTTTTTACATCATCCACCGCAATAATGACACCCTTGGTTCCTTCCACCTTGTTTTCATCCAAGTTTGACGTTGAGTAATCAGTGCGTCACTGACTGATGAAAGCAACGTAGAAGAAACCACAAGTGTCACTACCGCGGTGAATGACATTAAAAACCCGATTTTTCAATGGGCAATATCTCGGTTAATATTGAACGTAGAAAGTTGCGGTTTGAACAGATCTTATTATCTTTAGCTAATCTGCAATAATTAAGCATTGAAACTTGATTCTGTGACCAGCGCAACTGACTCATTCAGAGGAGTAATCAATGGAAATGTATCAGATTGCTAAGACACCTGCTTTTAAGTAGGAAATGCTGTCTTAGATTCTCACTGAGCAGCCAGTGTATATTTTTGTAGACCTACCTAGAAGATCCTCATACTTAGATGAACTATGTAAATATTGGTTGTTACTTACAGTTTAAGTATAGTTGCTATAATTTCACAGGTTCTTGATGAAGAGAAAATTAGACAACTCTCTCACATGCTCATTTTATTGATACCTTCAAAACTCAGCTTCCCATCAAAATGACAAGAAAAGTTTACGGAGAATGTGAATTTCACTCAACCATTGAAGCACTGCAGGCATCTGCATATACTTCAAACTTCCGATTATTGACATAAAAAACCCGATTTTTCAAAGGGTGATATACCCGTTAATATTGAACGTTGAAAGTTGCAGTTTGGACAGATCTTATTATTTTTAGCTAATCTGTAAGAATCAAGCATCAAAACACGATTTTGTGACCAGCGCAACTGACCCATTGAAGATTCAGGACATCTTTGTGCTTCCCTCATAGAGAATTGCCACCAAATAGTGAAATTAATCACCTCTTAGATACAGACTTTTCAGTTAGGACTGATAATCGTAAATTTTTACCTGAGGCGGAGCTACTGCAGGGGGAGTACGGTATTCACGAGAGCTTTTGCTGAGAGATCCAGTAGCACGGATTACAGATGGCGGTGTGGGTGGCTTGGTCGTAGGAGCAGGGCCAACGCCAAGGGGAGACGCGTTGGGAGGATGGATGGAACCTTGACTTCCACTTCCACCCCGCTGCTTGTTTCTCGGCATATTGCTGCGAACTCCATGGCCGATGTCGTCGAGAGCTGGAAGGAAAATAAGAATGGTTATGATTCGAACACCATCAACCGGAATATACAAGTTTGAGCTTTTTTAATTTTACATCTATGTCCATGCGACCACTCTGAAAAGCGTGTCTGATTGCTGAGGATCGCAACTCGCTGATTTTCCGCTGAAATTTTCCAAAAGATCCAAAAATTATTCATAGTAATTTGCAAGAAGATATCAACTTGATTTGAAGTTAAAAAACTGATACATTTGCAAATGAACAGCGTCAAGCAGAAAGGAACCAAGTCACATCAGCCATTGCCAAATTTAATAGGGGAATTTAATTTTTTACACAAAAACGGTTGCATGGATTTTTGTGCAAATTTCAGTGAATTTTCTGCACAGTACGAAGCAAATTCGTTAAAATTTTTGAAGGAATCCACATGTACATTCTCTTGGAAAATATTAAATTACCCAGTTAAATTTGGCAATAGCTGATAACTTAGTCCTTTTCTGCTAAACGCAGTCTAAATAAATCTAATGCTTTTGATCCATACAGTTAGAAGCTCCAGCCAAAATGCAAATAATTTTTTTGAAATACTGCGCGATAAGTTTCTAATACTACTGATACTCGAACAGCTGATTGATTTGCAGGAAATCCCTTAAAGGGTATAAAAAGTATCATGAAAAAAGTCATAAAAATCATAAGTCTCATAAACAGTATTATTATGGTAATTCACCTTTGTTTAATAGCTCTAAGAAGTGGAGAATTCACAGCTGAGGATCAATTTTTATTTTCATTCAGGGTCAGTCAGCATCTTCTTGAATCATTGGGCAACAGGACTTTTTTTTTTTTTTTCTTGGCTTGTGATAGGAGCTTAATTAGGTGGACTAGGAGACATTTGTTCTCCAAAGCCTTGAAAATTTCACCTTTTGAGTGATTTTAGCACTTATCATATGAAATTCCCTCTTCCTCGAGTTTCAAATTTACGTTCCTTCCGGGCATGACTAAAACTACATTCAGGGCAATGGTACCATACTGTGACAACAATATTTGAAACAGAGAAAATGGCAGAAAAATCAAATACTAACCATTAAAATCTATGGGCTTGCGAACATATTTTATTGGCTTTTCTGGGCTTGCTGGAGCAATTATTTTATACTGGCGATTTGTAGTCTTGTTAGCAGTTAGTACACCTATTTCTCTTCGAGCTACCTTCTCCTTGTGAATCATTACCATCTGAAAATTAAAATATTGAACATTCTGGTGGTTAAAAAATATAAGTTGGAATGCATAGCTAGATCAGTAATTTGAGGTGACAAATATATTTGTAATAAACGGTTTTTCTCAGTTACATGAGTTTTTGGAGGTTCTCAGCTGAAATTAAATAGTACATCAAGTCAAAGGAGAAAATTTGGGGCTTAAACATGCTGTTAAAAGAGAACAGGTTGTGACAATGTTTGGCACAATTCCAAGGAAAGAAGGTAAAACAGTAATAATCATCTCACCAGGGGTGCAAAAAGTTACGACCACGCAACCCACCCATCATATGAAATGTAGGAACTTGTGTGAGATACGGAAAAAGGAATCCTGTCAGATTTTTTCAAAATTGTTTGTTTCAAAGCTGATTTAAAGGAAAAAGGGCCTAATATTTTTGGACTAGAAGGTTGTTTTTTTCCCCGGCAGAGGGAAATGATAAAAAATTTTCCTTCTTGACCAATTTTGGTGGAAAATGGAGGAGGGCCAATTATCCGTGGAGAAGGATTGATATTTTCTGCATTCCAGCTTCTCACAGTTGAATGGATGCTGGTTTTGGAATGAATGTGGCCCATCAACAAATACTCATTTCGAAATGATAGCTAACTTTTTCCATTAAAAAATGGGAGTAATACAGGTTTTTTGGTGATTATTACCTTTTTTTCTTTTTTGCTCACCTCACTGAGCAATCCGTCCCCAACCAACAAGAGAGCACTATCTATTCTTTCCTCCAACAAAAGAGAATCATATTTTGACAGAGATGATAAAGAGTAAAGTGAAGTTGGATTACCTGAGCAATATGATTCATCTGCCCTTCCATTTCTGAGAGTTGTACAGCCTGCAGATCTAACAACTGAAGAAAATTATACGCCAAGGTGTTTATTTGATATGCAACACTTGCTAGCGATTGAGTGGTATAATTTTTTGTTTCTTCTAGAGCTATTCTTTTGTTTTCAGCCTGAAAAAAAAACCAACGTAAATAAACAGACGTGTCACATTCCTATGAATTCCTGATATTCTATAGGGTGCTCTAGAATTCCTGCACCGCCAGCAACAGGCATCACCTCTCTAACTTTTGAAAAAGTTGAGATGAAGACTTGAAATTTTGTAATTGTTCCCAGGAGTCCTAGATCCAAGAAAACGATTCTTGGGACCCCCCCCCCTTCCTCCCCAATATTTTGTGGGGGCCTGCTAAAAAAGGAAAGAATCCTCAAGTTTACAGGGATAATGGAGGACTTCAGGATCACCCTATATATTTCTTCAGAGTCCCGACTAGGTTAGAGAGATTCCATTTTTATTCCACAATTCGGGCAATTTCTTGGGGCATCGTTCAAGCAGCCCCACGAATGAAAAATCAAGCATTTTTCGAGAGACCTCCTTTGTAATTTATTTCTGACAGCACAGCCTTCTTCACTCATCATGACAATAAATGTGTTGTCTATTTTTGCCTCTTTTCTATCATTATCATCTCACCCTATTTTATGCCTATCTCAATGTTTGCAACAGGCAAAACACGGTAGATGGGTGAGGGAAATCCTTTGCCGTAGGTTTTTGATGGTTGGTGAAATTTTTAAGTTGCGAGGAGGAGGGGGGAGGAGGTCGAACAGGTATACAGTACTCTCTCGCTTTATCGAATCGTTCAAGGGACTGGGCAATTCCTTTGCAAAAGAGAGATTTTCGTTATAATGAGAGTTGTTAAAGTGAGAAAATACTGTACCAGTATTCTTTATTATTACATATCAAACTTAATCTTTTTTGGAAAAAAATTTGCTTGGTATTCAGCACTGAGCTGAACATTTTCAACTGGATTAAAAAAGATAAAAATAAATTTTGAGTACCTTCTACAAAATCAAGCACTTAGAAGGCCCTGGACATTAGTTTGAAAATCAAGCACTTGGCAACATTAAGCATGTGAGGGTTCATTCGATTTTTATTCAGCAGAGAAATTTCTCTCTGCCTTAAAAGTATGGACATTACTTCTTGGGCTTTTCCCAAGAGGTTTCCGCAACCTCTTTTTTTAAGCTCAATTCACACTATCAAACTATTCATTCAACTCTTGAATGCGACTTGTAGAATGAAAATTTGGATAGTGTGATACTGGTGTCAGAAAACGACAATTTGATGAAAAATTGAACGGGAACTTGAATGTAACGTCACATTCAACTTTTCGTTCAACTTTCCATCCAATTGGCGGTTGTTGAACGGAGCGTAATTGAATCAAATTTTTATGCATTCAACTTTCCATCCAGCTGTTTGTTCAATTATGTCGGATGAAAAGTTTGGTAGTGTGGATTGGGTTTTAATATTTAGCATTACTGTTTTCCTCTCAACAATTTTCCTCAACAGCATGGTTGGTTCAAATAACTTTTCACTTTTTTTGGACTTTTTGTCTACATATACTGTGGACCCTGAGAGAGAACCAAAATTTAAGGAAAATAAAGTTTTAAATGTTTATAGACGCTATTAGTGGCGACGTCATCATAGGGATTCTCCATTATATCGAATTGGATCCAAACAATAACATTGGCATAACCTCTTTCAATGCTACCAGTGCGAAAAAATCGATATATATCGCTTTTCTGTGACGTTGCACTAATAGCGTCTATAACCTTCTTTTTAACTGTCAGAACTCACTAGACTTCATTATATTCGTAATATATTCAAAGAATATTGCTGTCAGAATTTGAGTTCCCCTTAGATTTAGCACTTTTTGTTTGGACAAAATTACTTAGTAAACCGTACCATGGACTATACAAGAAGTGCTAAATCTAAGGGGAAATTAACTTCCGACAGCAATGGTTTCCAGAATTATCATGAATATAATGTAGCCTAGTGAGTTCTAACACTAAAACATGGTTATGAACGTTTAAAACTTTAATTTTCTTGAATTAAGGTTCTCTTTCAGGATCTACTGTAAATATGAAAAGTCTATAAAATAATGACAAGTTATTTCAGCCAATCCGCATGCTTCATACGGTACCAAGGAGCTTGACCGATATCTATCAAGTCAAATGTCTCTAATAAACACATTCTGGAGGAAATGCAATGTTCTTTTCGTTTTAAAAAAAATTACGATTCATTCATTATTTTCCCTAAAAGAATTGGTTGAAACTTTTCAGTATCAAATATAATGAACACGATGGTAAAAAAAATACTCGTGAAGAGCAGTTTTCCACAAGAATCTAGCGCATACATACCTGAAAATAATTTCCTTCACAATACTCAGCTACCCGTTCTAAATTTGTGTGACTGTCTAGGAGACTATTCCTCCCCTCCGGGATCTCCGTGTTCAGGAGTGCCGCTAACTCTGCCATGTTATCGGAATCACTTTCAACGCCGGACTCCCTGTTGCTATCAGTTTGACCTGTCGGAGGAACATTGTGAGGAACATTAAAATCACTATCGGTAATAATACTAGTTTCAGCTATGCTTGCGGTTGTTGACACAATATACTTTTGATCATCAAGAACCCCCATGACAGGGATGAAATCGAGACTTGGAAGACTCGGCGTACTTCCACTCCCATCCCTCCTTTCGGACCCCACAAAGCTAGAGCGGCCATCCTCTTCAACAATAATAGAGGAGCGCTGGCTAGTTTGCAGCTCTCCTATGGCTCGGTCCAGGAATCCATCGAAGCTTTTGAAGTTGAAAGAAACACTGTCTGAGTCACTTTCTTTCGTCGTAGCACTGGCCGCGTCATCTTCAATGGACTGTACATTGATTTGAGAAGATTCTGGCTCATTCATGACAGAAAAACACTCAATAGGGGAAAAGGTATGCAAAATAAATAAGACACTGAGTAGATAGTCGGACTGCTAGATTGATCAAATTGAAAGTGGTATCAGTTCATTGGAGCGAAGGGGGGAGATTGCTCCAAGCCATAACCAATAAAGCTTATCAATTGGCCAGCGAGACTGGGTGAGTAATGCGGCTCAATTGCGATATCCCCCACACTTGAGTTAAATTCTTGATAAGGATGGTTATCTTATTTACTGCTGATGAATGTAATTCCGTCAGTGCGTACGGGCGGCAGTCTCGGGGCAGGGCTCCGAGGAAGTGAACGTGATTATAAGAATTGAAGGCGCTTACCTGCTCCTGCAAACCACATTTTCTTCTTACTTAACCGCCATACGTCATTGAAAACATTAAATTAGTCCAAACTAAGGGCACTTAACGATTAAATAAGATGAAAAATTACAAAATTACCGAGCACAGCTCGGCGTAATTTTTGACAGAGCAGCAAAGTTCCTCCCCCTTCACCACTTCTACCATCCTCCCCACAACAATAACATTAAATGTGAATCGAGCCACAGGATAAAGATGAAGCTGAATGGTTAGTATCTCGCAAGTTTTCTTGAAAGAATTCTTCAGTAAAAATTTGATTTTTTATACAAAAATGAAGTATCATTAATTTAATTGCTGTATTTAGTTCTTTTTCATGAAAATTTGAAACTAAAAAAAACATTAGTGGGTGTAAAGTTCATCCGGTGACAGGATCTGAGAGCAATGTTTTTGAGACGCACTGTTCAAATCGTCTGACGTACCATTTCAGTAGGTCTAGGTATCATTAATCCTGACGGTTTTTCGTGCTCTCAATTATTTTATTTAATTAATTCGAAACGCCCTGTTTGAACAACAGAACTACGTACATCTCTCTCGTTCCTCAGAATCTACGTGCGATTGTGGGCGGTTGGTGTAATTCATCTTCCAGCGGATCAATTTTCATTGTGCCGTACGTGTCTACATTCGTGGAGGGTTTTCATATCGTCGATACTTCCACCTCTTCAACTGGTTCGCCGATTCATGAGTTCTAAAATTTCACCTCTTAATTTGTGAATATCGAATAACTCCACACGATCATCTTGGAGGAATCAACCTTGCATGATGCTAATTTTGATCTTAGAAGTTTAAAGTATCTCATCTTTTCTTTGGCCGTCGGCTCCCACATATTTTTCAACGTAAGTGCTCTGACATTCAATTTAGTACTCATAAAGTGCGTGATTTCCTCCTAATTTTTCATTCCTTGTAGCGTTGAAATGTCTTTTGTTTGAAGAAATAAGTGTCGAATGAACGGAAGCTTTAGAAGGAAGGCCGAACCAAACACACTCAACCTGGACGTAAATTTTTCCCGAAGTAACATTAAAATAGTCGCACACCATTAATTTACTTATGAATCTTAGAAACCCACAATTCAACCATTACTCACATCTCCCGGGTTCATTTTTGAACAATTTTTTATCTAATAATGATACTTCAGCATCTGAAACGACTTGATCCTCCCACTAGAGTCCTCGGAGTAAGGTAGAAATATTTTCAACCAAATTAAATGTTTAAATCTCTTTTAAGCTTTCACAAGCAAATATCTAATCATATTTATTTTACCAGGTCCTAGTAACTGGTTCAACGCAACATGGGTTTGTGCAAGTGTCCAAAACGAAAAGTCACCAATCAATTTTGCTACGAGCACAGGGTCAATATCTGTGAACACTGTATGGTAGCAAATCATTCCAAAGTAAGTATCTTCTTGTCACAAGAATTTTCCAACACTCATCGCACAGATGAGTAGACAAAAACCATATATCTCCATTGTGGTGTTTCCAAATTTTCACTCCTATTATATTTTTTCGAAATGAAGTACTGAAGCCAATTTAATAGCTTGAAATTCTTACTGCATATTCTGCTAGCAGAGAAAAAATCAGGGAAGTTTTCAAGAAATAATGTCGTAGTTTTCTAAAGAAAAATAAAGTATGACAGGGAGTCTGAAACACTGCAAACGGAGATGCGTGGTTTCACACTTTGGTCATCGATATGTAGTCAAATTGAACACTGATTCTATATTGTGACATTCGGTGATAGTGACAGGCCCCCTGGCCCCATGAGCTCTAGGAAGACCAGCCTTTCCTGGCCAGCATACTGATGGATGAGGGGGCAAAAGTGCTCAAAATCTGAGTCTTAAAACGTGTTCATAAGAGTTTTGCTGGTTTTAGTTTAGGATTTCATTGTGTAATAGTATAACTGATGGCTCTTTGTAATGACATTTATTTCCCAGAAAACTTTAATTCATCTTACAATTTTGATTAATTCCTATGCTGTGAGTATTTGGAATGTCTGGCGGCCCCAAGAAATAACTTAATTCATTGAGATTGACTCAAATTCATGTTTGCCTCTTCTTTCAGCAGTCATTTAGGGTCCATGCCAAGTAAGTTTACGTACTTTCAGAGTGCAAAAGAACATCTGCCATCTTGATTCTTGTATTTACTTTCAATACTGCACTGAATGTAGCTGATTTTCTGTCGCACTCCAAAGGAGTGTAAATTTCCTCGGCGTAGACACTGTTATTCAGTTATTTGATTTTAACTAAAACAAAATAATGATTCTCCCCTAATTTTTCAGTGTATTGTTCAGTCATACATCCAGTGGCTACAAGACAGTGATTATGATCCTGTTTGTCAGTTGTGCTATAAGAAACTTGTTCTGGGAGACTGCATTCGTCTAACTTGCTACCGTAAGTTACCTATATTCTTTCATTATAATCAATCACAGAATGGAGTCCAAATTTCTAGACACTAATTTTGTGTACTAGGTATCAATGGAAGTTTTTTAAGGTCCTAAGATTTGGCTTATAACTGAGTGAAAAAAAGTGCAAGAAGGAAATAGTTTATTTATTTACTTTCAATGATGTAAGTATGGTCAAATCAATTATTTACAAAAAAGAAAGAAATAAGTACACACTTTGGCAGTTGGCAAATAAAAACAAATATGAAGTAATCATTCAAGAAAGTATATGTTAACATTACTGCATCTTAATTCGGAGAGAAAAAGGGTGAATTACAACAACTCATGAAAGCAATAGTAGCAGCTCTAGCAAGGTTAAACTAATTAAATTCCAGAGTAAATAAATCAAAGTATTTTTTAAACATATATTTAGATAGGTAGAAAATATCTACGTCTTCAACAGTTGAACCAAAGATACATTTTTAACCTCATAAAAACCTTGAAATGAAGAGTGTAACAGCACCCTTGTGTCTATCAATATCATATTAGCAGATATAATATGTTATGATAAGAATTCATGAACAGTTGTTTTAATTACTTTTAAAAGTTTACCGGACTGCAACTAAAAACCCAAATAAGCCAAGTTCGTGTAACTATGGTGTCGTTGCCTCGACCGGGCTGTGCTGTGTTGCCAATTGTTGGAGGATAGGTTACTTGCCCGGTGGTGGCTACCGCCACTCATGATTTTGCCAACATATTTTTTAAAGTGTTGGTTTTAGTTTTGAAATCATATAACTTTTTTAAAAAGTCCTCTCCATTGTCACCGCTAACATAACACAATGCTTTACTCTTCTTTCGCTACAAATACTATTTTCAGCAACATCCTTCTTTAATATTTTCTCTTTTTTTTTCTTTTCAGATGTGTTTCACTGGAAATGTTTAGATGAGTACGCAAGGCAATTACCGTCAACAACAGCTCCTGCCGGGTATTCTTGTCCAACATGTCATTCAAAAATATTTCCTCCAAGCAATCTTGTATCTCCAGTTGCAGACGAGCTTAGAGAAAAATTAGCCGGTGTCAACTGGGCACGAATTGGTCTCGGATTGCCCATTGTAATTACTTCTTTTCAACAGAAACTCTCTCATAATAATACAAAAGAAAATTAAAGCTAAAGAGGAAACTGAAAATTCTAAATCTAGAAAAACCTCTTGTATTTTTCTCCCTACTAATTTTTGGTCACAATAATTTAATCAGTTTCTTGCAGAAGGATACAAGTCGACTGCTCTGTTAAAAAAAACTGCTTTTATCATTTAATTCTGTCAGAACTGGGGAAAGAGGAAAATGGACTTAAGTCACGTAAGATATTTGCACCATTCAACATTAATTCATGTGGTAACCAATGGGACAACAGATTTCTAATGTATTCACATTGATGTGATGTGTTTCCATTCCTCTCTTTCCCCAATTCTATGAGTGACTCAAGAGAAAACATATGTTTGTGAGCAGTGACTTTCAAAGAGGCTCTCACTGAAGGGTTGTCCGGGTGAAAGTTACATTTCATAATTTCAAAGGAGTGCCCGAAAGAGAAGTTCTTTCTAAAATGCCTGGTTGCTTCCTTGGTGCTTGGATGTACACTGAAAGCTGTACAGCAAATTTAATTTTTTCCCCTCATGGTTTTCAATAACACTTGGAAGAGTACACCATTATTACTTTTTTACATCTCCTTCTGAAAGCAGTTTGGAGGAAATTATTTTCTTCCCAAATTATTTTCGTAGGTCTTGTCTCTGCGGGACGTTTCATGGGATTTTACGTCAGTGAAAAAATTTCACTTGCGAAGTTGCAAATAACTTTACTGTGAAATCAAGTTGAAAGAAACGTATTCATTTTTTATTTGATTTTACAAATTCATATTTGATAGACATTTAAAATCATTTGAAGACATTTCATGCATAAGTTCTACGTTAGTGGGTCCCTTGTAGGATCCCAAGAGCGACTCAGAGAGAAGGAGAAAAAATTGTGTTGCTTTGTTAAATGGGGAAGAAGCCTAGAAATTTCATTCCTGCGATTTGAACTTGGGACAAATCTCATGAAACGCCCCGCGGAGACAAGGTGTTATTTGAGGCCTTGGTTTACTGCTAATTCTCAATCTTTAATCCAAACTTGCGGAAAATTCGTAAGAATGTACATTATATTCTCATCACCAATAATTAAAACTACCGTCAAATTTTTTGATGGCAAATTGAACATAGAGGCAGTTTGAGTATTGCAAAAACCACTTGGGGAAGGGAGTTTGAGCTTGATTTATGGGTTCATATAAAGGGGTGAAGAGGGACAAACACAGGTTTAATAAAATACCGGACAATATAGATAATTTTTCCAGGTTTTCTGCCTTATTTTTGGAAAAATAAAGCCAGGCTCATGCAATTCAAAAAAAGGGGTAGTGGTTGGCCAATGGCTTTTTTAATTCTTGAACTACCCCATTGCTGTTTTGGACTGTACTTAAGGTATACCCTTTTTAGCTGCAGTGGACGTTCAACTTGAATGTCTGTAGGATGTCCCAAGTTTGACACAGGAATAAGTCCGGAATACATTTTTTAAGTATGTCAAATAACTTTTCTATGATGTCAAGTTGAAAAAAATGTATTTATTTATTTTTTTATTTTACAAATTCCTATTTGATAGACATTTAAAGATTTTTGAAGACGTTGTGTACGTAAGTCTTTGTTTCTGTTTTGATACTGAAGTTTGGCTCTATGTTACAGCTTAGCATAGATCGGGAGAAAAAACCACCGAATGATGTCGATTCAAGTCTTCCGAATGGAATGGAAAATTCAAGCAATCATGTTGACGTAGTTGTACATATCCAGGACTCATCGCCATCATACAGTCTTTCAGATAATTCCAGTAAGTCCCCTACACAGCTACTCAGCCAAAAAAACGCTGTATGAGTTTTCGGTTGTTTCAAAATTTCCTCTGATAAAACGTGAATTTTCAGAAAAACTTGGGTCTATTTTATCTCCAATTTTTTAGAGTTGTAAAATCTAATCATGTTATGATCTAAGTAAAGTATGTCAAGATTGCAAGGAGACTTATTTGTAATATTTCTCAAAAATTAATGTTTTATTCGAGAAAATTTGGTGGTTTTCCTTAGCATGGCAGTACTCTTTTTAATTACAAAATCTGCGATGGACAACAATACGGTACAAAATTAAGCGCCCTTTTATATGCGTTCTTGTCAAAATTTTGTGGTGAATACGATAGATGCATCAAAACTTTCCAAATTCAACTCATAAATGAAAAAATAATGGTTCTCGTCTTTGTTGATTTACACTTCTTGTTCATAAAAAAACCAGAATCCGCTTGATTCAAGTGGTATCCTTTTTGGGTTTTTGCAATGATGTCATCCACTGCAGTAGCACTTACCATGGTTTCCTTTACCTTGGATTATTCAATTAGTGATACACATGTTTGCATTGGTTGCTCGACTGGAAACTTGGATGAAACCAAGGTGGAAGAAACCATGGTATGCATCACTGCAATGGGTGACATTATATACTATTTTCGAAGGGCTATATCTCCAACAATAAGGGACGTAGGAACTTGAGGTTTGTACGAATCCGAATATTTTTTGCTGATCTGTAATCTATAATCATCAAAAGGCAATTCTGTCACCAGTGCAGCGGATTCATCAAAGTTCAGATTTTTTCACTTTTGCCTAATATAAACCTTCATTGGAGGCTTTTCTTTGTTGAACATCCGTCAAAAATAGTAAAATATTGTAAGATTTAAGGCTTATCTGTAATTTACAATAGAAGGAATTGGAAGGTATTTTTCCACAAAATGATGTCTCTCAGAGGAATAAGAAGTTTTGAAAGCTGTTTCAGAGTAAAGAAAGATTAATTTTGTCAAACATGAGATTATCAGTAATCAAAATACTTCTCTCAAAATTCATGAAAAAAGTGTGTAGACATCTACCTAAGCTTGATTGATTTGTTGTAAGCTTCATCATCTTCATGGTTATTAGCTTCATCCTTCCTTTCTGATTATTACAAATTTTATTTTGCATCCTAATATTTTCTCTGTTTCAATTTTAGATCAAGTTCCACGCCGCGGACTATTACAGTCATCAGAACAAAGTTCTAAGGAGCCCTTGATCTTTCCTGATCATGATGAAAACAAGTATAAAAGGAGATCATTCACTGATTGGTTTAAAAGATGGTGGATGTAAGTATTTTTTTAATAATTCGTCATTCCAGGATTAATACAGCAAGAGAAGTGAGGGTCAAGCTGTCAAGACATAGGGAGTATAGAGCGATCCTATCAGTTGAAATGGTTGGTTCCTTTAGACTAAGGAAGAAAATGATGGACTAACTACAGGGTCTCTCAAGGGTTAGTGTTAGTTAGTCTATTACCTATCTTCTCTGTCCATTGCAAGTATCTTGAGTCCCTTTATGCTGAGAGTTAAGACAATGTGAATCCATTTCTGATTGGTTACCGTATTTTAGGCCTCCATAGTGTCACAAATGGGAATGAAGATTACATTTTCACCAATTGCAAAGATTATAATCTGGAATGGACCGAGGAATTACGGGTCCGACAAGGAACAAACAGAACAAGAAAAGGAATGGAGAAGGGAATTCGAGAATGAGCCGACCAAAGATTACGAAAAACGTTCAATTTGTGTAATCTTTATTCCCGATTCCATGAGGGGGTGTTGTCTTAACTCTCAGTATAAAGGGACTCTACAAGCAGAGATGGAAAGTGAAATTTCATAAGGCTCGAATAAATTTCACAAAAGTTGAAATTTATTCATTTTTTTTAGAATAATTGATTAAACCTTTGGGGGTCTGAAAGCGTTTCAGATGGTCTTTCTGTTGATGCTGCGGTATTATGCTACTCTACCAAAGGTGCCAGACACAAAGAGGGGCAAAAAGGGGAGTTTAGAGAGAAGAACCCCAACCTAACCTCTAAACTAAACGAAAACATTTGCAACGCGCGAATGTTTTAGGCTTGGGGAAAAAAAATTTCAAAATTTAGAATCACTGTTTCTAGGCGTTTCTTAGCCTCCTGAATGTATCCCAAAAGTTTTAATAAATTTCATGAAATTTTCCATCTCTGTCTCCAAGTACCTGCTTCCACCAATCGGATCCCTCTTGTTTCTTTGATTTATCGCCTTGTCTATTAATTTCAATAATTGGTTTGCTGAGCTGAACCCTCCTCCCCCTTCAGTCTTGGACTGTTACTTGTTAGAGCTCAGCAATTTTTACTCTAATTGAAATTTGTATAATTTTTTGGCCTTGCTTTCTCCGCAAAATAGTGTGGATCCAGCACTAATTTACCACCTTGTTACATACAGTGTGGGCCACATTTTTAGTGTTTTTTTTCTTCTTGTTTTAGCTCATTGAGTGCTCCCATAAGTAGCAACAAAATTTTCTCATGAAGACTCTCTCTTAATAGCTCATTAATTTGGTTTCGCTTTCAGGTCTGTCAACCGTCAATCAAGAAGTAAGCCAAGCAGTCATTTGTACAAGCGATATTGTATGGTGGGGGTCCTCTTCTTCATTGCGCTAATATGTCTTATCGTAGTATTCAAGAAGTTGGGGAGTATGGCCACAGAAAATGACCCCATTTTTGATCCACATCACAACTCGTTTGTCAAAGTGGAAATGGAGTGAAAAATTCAGCACTACGTGTCCTTTAATGGTGTCATATTTTATGAATGCAATATCACTGTTCTCACAATTCATTTCAACATTTACCACCAAAGAGTTTCGAAGAGAATTTTTAAGAAACGTTACGTTTTGACAGCAAAGGTGGCTCAGGATGAGGTACAAAGATTTTATGAATCCACTTTTTAGGTTCTAATAAGACTATTTGTAGTATTAATGGATTACATTTTGCAATTAAGAACTAAAATTTCTGGCTCAATTGAGAAACAGCATGTGTGCCATTTGTTTATGTATGAGCTAGCGAGTTTAGTTCCTTATTGCAAAATTCAGTCCAGATGTTCTCTGAAAAGCTTCTCATGACCCTTGAAAATTTTCCAAGAGGAATCCTCTTATTTTTCAATACTCATTGTGGCAATGCTAATTGATTGAACAAAAGGGTAGTGGGTCAGTGGTGTAACATTTTTGCAGAGTATCTAACAAGCGCTCCCAACATAAAATTTCATAAAAATCCAAAAAGTCCAATTAAAGGTTTCAAACAGTTTTTCTAAGGGGAGAAAATGATGATTGAAATAAGATCAATCAGAGGCCGACAGTTGTGATGACGTAACAAGGCCATGTTTTCAGCTGAACTTTCTGTGTTGTTTCGAACCCAAAAAATATTTGAAGCTTAACCCTTTCACCACTTGAAGGAAATGGATTGAAAAATTAGGTGTCAATGACCCTTTTTTGGTTTTTGGAAGTATTTTTAGTGCTATTAAAATTTGACTTAAACAAAGCGATAGTTCATTTTAACTTTTAAGAAGAGCTTTGTTGATTGTGAAAGCACAGAATGCTCCTAAATCTTCTTTCTTAAGCTCAGAACGCTCCTAAATCTTATTTCAAGGTTTCCAATGGAGCACTCAATATCCCTGTCAAAAACCGATGTTCACATTATTTTGTAAAAAAAATTTATAAAAAACTTTCAAAACCTAGAAGACTGCAGCTCCCACAGGAATCGTTATTTTTAAACAAATAAACCCCTTATCAACATCGTATTAAAACGGTAACGTTGGACTCCCAGAATCTCTTTTTTAGTTCCTGAGCCATGCTGTATCGCGAGATGTCACTTTTTAGCCAGTTTTGGTATAGTATCCTCTGTCAAAAATCAATTAGGATGGAACTTATTTAAGTTTTTATTTCTCAATATTTTTTTAAGGAAATTAGAGTTTTGAGAGGTCCTGTCCATGGAATAAACATCAAGTCATCTGCGCTGGCATAACCATTTTTATAATTTTGGAGGAAGATGATCCAACTTATTTGTTGGGAATAGGCACAGAATATTTTTCCTTCAAAGATAAAATTTGTAGAAATTTTCAATGCACTCTACATTGGCTCTAATTTTTTGCTTAGTAAAATGGAATCAGCTGAAGTTAAAGGCCGTAAAAATTAACTTCAGTTAATGTGATGATGTTTTAGAGTAATTTTTATTCAAATTTAAGCAAGCGATTATTTTAATCGAAATTCCTTTCTTTTTTTACTATTTCACTTTATCGTGTCTGTGATTAGCCCCTTTCCAATTTCGTATCATTTTATTTCGTTAATTTTCGAGTGTTGCTAAATTTTGTATTCGAGGAGGAAGGTGGGTAAATGATGTTTGAGAAATTTGCGCTTTAAGTTTTAAAATGTCAAATAAAATACATCAAACTCAAAATTCTGTTTTTTTTTTTTTTTATTTTATTGTAAGCAGGCTTTGCCGTTCACATTAACAGTAGTCTTCATTTCACGAAAACATCACTATGTGACTGAAAAAGCAGTTTATCACAGTGATGGAAATGCCGTTTTTTTGGCGAACTACTTTTAGCCGGGGAAAAGTGCCAGGAAAATACATTTATAGTATAAAAAGGTGAAACACGATTCAGTGGAAAAAAATTCCCTTCCGTCAAGGTAAAAGTAAGTTAAAACAGATTTGAAATGATTCAACCTACTCTTGGGGAAGACTGTCAAGAGAACTTTCCAATTTCTATTTTTCTTGATCTTACTGCCTTTTTTATCCAATTTGGCACCGTGTGTGAAGGCTTGCTCGCAGAGGGCAATATTCTTTTTAAAATGCACGTTGTCTGTAATCTTTTCCTTCTTTCTTTGAAGTTACGTCCATGTCTTGCCCTAAAATTAATAGATGGATTTGTCATTTTGTGTGGTAACTTGTGAAAACATTCTGAAATTGAATGCTCAAAGAAGTGCTCTTAAAAACTGTTGTCGGCTCTTTCGCATCATTTTGCCACCTCCTTCATGTTACCATACTCGTGAAATGGTTCTGAAATTTACAAACAAGGGAGTTCTTCTTTTCTTCCCCTTTGAGGTGCTTGTCTTTTGCTTCGCGGATGGATAATTCTAAAAGCAGCTGGAGTATTTTAGCATGATACCAGTTTTTTGCTTATAATAATTATTGTGCTGACCTCTACTATTGAGTGCTCTTTTTGTGAGGGAAGATATACTTTCCTTGTTGGATTTTTCAATTTATGTACACATGAGTGTCCATTGTGTAATTCAAAATTCAATCGCTGTCACAGGAATCAAGTTGTATGTGCTTGGAAAAAAATAAGGCACCCAAAATTTAATTTTGAAAGCGTATTATCATAATAGGCGAGATTAGTCTTATTTTCTGCTTCTTCAAACGTTCCTTACACCAACAGGTAAAATGTTGAAATTGAAGAGGGCTAAAAATATAGTCAATAACTATTCAGTTGTTTTTATTTTTTTACTTGAAAATTATGTAATTAGAAATTATGTATAGATATTTGTTAAAAATAATACATTTTTCCTCATAAAATTCATAACTCTCTATTTTATTGTTTTAGTCACTTTTCCTTTGAGTTTCTTCACTTGTGAAGAAAAAACGAAGAGCAGTCTCTTAATGTATGACAGAAGTAGTCAAGAAAGGGCCTGTGTCCTTCAAGTGCAGAATTTCCAAGTGGAGGCACAACTGTTTGAAGCATCTGTGACTGACTCTCGATACCCCCAAGTTTTGATGAGTTTTTGACAGAGCTTTCCCTTTATCACTGCCATTCATAAATTTCCTCAGTCAAAGACTACAAGATTGGAACATCTATTAGAAAGTAGTACTGCAGGCCAATTGCTGAAACTATGTCTATTGACATGAGTGACATGACAAGACATGACACTCTATCATGCATTTCTGTATCATCCAGTATACCTATAGATATTTAATGTCTTTTTTTTTTGCAAAAATGCATCTCAACAATCGTCTCACAGGTAGTGAGTTAGATAGTAAAAATCATAAGCCGCAACATAATCATTTTTTTAACTGGATTTCAAAATCATATTACACAGTCAAAAATCGATGGCCGAAGTGGGCTACATATTTCCGTCAGCGAAGTTCCAGACTTCATGTCATATTTTTTTTTTTTTTTTTTTTTTTTTTTTTGGGGGGGGGGGGAACTATTCAATGTAATTCCTCAAAATCTGCCTTGATTTTTCTTTCCTGTTAGAAAATTTGATGCAAATTTCAAGCCATAGAAGTTGCCTTGTTCTTCCTCAAAATAATAAAATGGCAAAAATTGTGAAACATTGCAATTAAGATACGTCGCCTCGCACTGCTTGGCCATCGATATATGATGACAAGCGTCCGTCAAAAGAACATTTGTATGTTAATAGTGATAGAGTTCTAACCAAAACCAAATCAGTAAGACAACTAGAAGATCAGGAATGAACAAGAGGGAACATATTTTTAAGATTTTCAAGAAATTATTACCTCCCTTAACTTTTTAAAATTACCGCCAGATGTCAACTCACCATAAACCAAGCCGGTCCTCATCAGCCATCACTGTCCCGATTTGTAGGTTAGTTTGTGTATGTGTATGTTGTTGTGTGCATTTCGAATGACGTGGGAATAATTCAATCTGCTTTCGTTCCCTCCGTGCTCAAATAGTTTTACAGACGATTTTAGTTTTTTCCCTGAAGTTTTTAGATAATTCACTTTGTCAAAATGTTTCAAAGTTCAATGGATGATCTCAAAAGGATGAACAAGAGACAGGTGAGACCTCACGAATGCTATACTCTGTGTTATCAACTACTCGGTTTTCAAAGCCGGTTTTATCCGTGATAACCGCGTTTTTCGTCCCTGTTCTTTGCACAATTCATTTTAAAAGACAAATTACACTCGAAACTATCTTTGCTTGAAATTTCATCCGATAAAAGTCATTGTTTGGCCAGTAATCTCCACTCTCTTAATTTCGCTTGATAGGTAACATTTGTTGATCATGTCATCAACACGAGGGCAAGTGTCTGTCCATCCTAAACTGGCATCATGGTTTCTACTTTAGATTACTGCCAATTTATCAACTATTGATGTTAGGGCACTAAGTAATTACAGGAAGTAGTCGCAATCGCAAAAATAGGTACACTTCTCCATGTCAGAGCAAGCATTGCACGTCTGTTGGGGATCATTTCAAAGCCGGTACATGCGCAGCTTTAAGAAGTGTCTGCTCCTTCTTGGCTGACATAAATGTTTTTGTCATAGCCAGATCTCAAGATGCCTACCTTGCTTTAATCATCCGTATTTTCTCTATGATCTAAAAGTCATTTTAAGAGTCCTGCGCATCTCATATCATCTTAGATGCAAAGCATCAATTTTTACAATGGGCTCCTTATATTATGCCCATTATCAGAAAGTCTTAGCCACTATGCTGCTGTATCGTTGTTTTCTCACATAGGCTGTTGAGGAGCATTCACATATTAGAGAAATTTTCCTGAATGAAGCCTCACGCTTGAGAGTATTGTTGAATACCCATATTGTATTTATTTAATGAATACCTCGTTGTGAAATCAAATTGGTCTCATGGAAAGAGAACCTTGCAGAAATAGAAACTTTTCAGCAATATTTTTTCAAGTTTTTCCCTCCTCTTAATGGGTATATTATTCGCTACACCCAGAGAGTTTCTTGTAGAACTAAAGGACTGTTTTAGTATCAATTGTTTGAACATGCTTTTTAAAAGTGGCACCCTTCAACAGCAGTATATTTAATGAAGTACACTCCATCAGTCTATCGTAGTAAGGCAAGACTTCTGCCATTGCTAAGTACTGTGGTGAAGAGAAAATGGAATTTTGATAATCGGTGGATTTGGGAGATGAAGGGCAGGGTGTATAGATTATTATCATTTGTGACAGTTTCATCTTAAGTTATATAACAATTTTGCTAGTATTGAAAGAGGAACCTTGTCTCCTCTCTACTAAAAATCAAATGCAAAGGAACGGTGTTAAATAATCCAGGTAAAGCACAGAATTATTCACAGATATAACAAGCTATACATTTCTACGTTTCTTGTAAAAAACATGCAGTAAGAGCCGAAAAGGATTACCAATAACTTGCCTGTATACTAGCCATCCTGCAGCCTGATTGTTGAAATTTATGTCGGTACGACAAGAATCGAAAATCGATGTATTAAACGGCGCAGATAGGGCTATGTCTTGTCTTATCGTGCCGACATAGCCAGTTAAAGTTTCAACAATCCGGCTGCTGGCCTGTCTGTTAGATCACCCCCCCTTAGATCCTTCCCCCTAAGGAAATTTTTGTGCCTGCAATTGCTCTGTAGCATGAAAAATATCCTGATGAAATCCATATTCAGAAAAATTCTATTTTCTAATTCAAATAATTTTTGAGATATTCTGAAGGTTTCACCACTATTTTCTAAAAAAATTGGGCGTAGAGTGAGAAGTTGTCTTACAGATGCCTTATGAGGTGAAGTGGTTGGAGGTTTTCGAAAACTTGGCCAAAATGCGCTGTATGATATTTAAGCAGCTCCTAGGGTTGAAGGGAGGGCGGGTTGCCGCTGGGGAGATTTAGAAAATCTCTACCATGACCCAAAATTTCTCTCCAAGAGGTAATAACATGTAATCTGTGAGCATCTTATATTTTTAGACTTTTCCTCAAAGACTTTTTAGAAGTATCTCCCTTAGCCTTCAAATGCCTCACTCACCTCTCTTTTTATTTTATGACGTTTTAAAAGCAATTCTCTCTTTCTTGTTTCAGTTCCTATACCAGTTCCTTAGTTTTGGCATGATAGTGTCCTCTGCCCTGATGATATGGAAGGGCTTAATGGTCGTGACCGGCAGTGAAAGTCCTATTGTAGTGGTCCTAAGGTTTGGAACTTCTTTTTGCATTTTATCCTCTGGAAATAGTCAATGGTTTTTATTTTTGTTTTTAATGGAGCCACAAACACAGGTGCTGAAAGTTCCTCGGCCTACACAATTTTGAGCAACCAGGGATTTAGCCCACACGCACAATTACATTACGCGGTCGTTGTAATCTTTTTAAAATACAATGCGGTCGCAATATTTTTCTTTGAATTCGATGTTTTCGCAGTCATTTTCTCAAAAATTCAATACTTCTTCAATAACTTTCTCCAGAACCCAACAAATTATTAACAAAAAAAAAAAAAAAAAATTCCACAGCCTACACATTGGTCGAGCCACCAATCGGTCGCTAGTTAGGGAACATTCCGCACCCCTGGCCACAAAATGACCGTAAATCCATGAACAGGGTACAAAATTAGAACTGGGGAAAGAAAAGGACTTTGAAATTGTTAAATTGAATTAATAGAGAGGATTTATTTGTTATGGCACTTAGAACTGGGGAAAGAAAAGATTTGACAAATTTCGCATCAAGAGATGGCACCACTTATCAGAACTTTATGTGCCAACCAATAAGCCAACTGACGATCGATGCATACAGGTTGATGTGACTTTTGTCGAATCATTTCTTTCCCTAGTTCTAAGAGCCATGACATATAAATCCCCTCTATTAATTCAATTCAACAATTTCAAAGTCAACGATTACCAGGCAATGGTGAATAGTAAAGTGATTTGCCAGTAAAGTCAAAAATTCAATTTTTTTTTTTGAAAAAAAAGGTCATGATACCTTCTTCCATCTTATGTCCCTTCTTGTTTAAAGTACCTCATGTCCTTACCAATATTAATCTTGCTCGATTGAGTCTCAGGTTTACTCCTTACATTATAACTTGTCATAAGTCCTTTCGTTTTTGACTTGCAGTGGAAGTATGGAACCTGCGTTTCACAGAGGTGATCTTCTATTTCTAACGAATTACCAACAGGAGCCTGTAAGAGTAGGAGAAATAGTTGTTTTCAAAGTTGAAGGCAGAGATATTCCAATTGTTCACAGAGTTCTCAAACTTCATGAAAAGTAAGTAACTTCCTTTGCTCTTCATTAAGAAGATTATTCTATCAGTGCTTCAGATTGCCACATCATCATAGAATAATATCTTTGCTACAAAAAGACCCAAACACGCACAAATTGTCTGCTTCTAGCAAAAGTGAGGCTAATCTTGGATTGTAAGGCAATTTTCAAGAAAGATGATTATTATCTTGCTGGTCACTAAAAGAGGGGCAAATCATATTGTAGTGGTACGGCTAAAACCTTGGGGTTTTACCGTTCCATTAAGAGGAAACATGCTTGCTGGTGCATTATCACGAAGTTTTTGTGAGCAAGGTAGATCAAGCGTTTTAGACGACAAGGTCATTTTGAGACGTGTTTGCTTTGAGCTGCGTCTGAAAGTTCTGAGAGGAACTGCGGCGCGGAAAAGCGGAGCTTTTCGTGCGCTGCTTAAAAGAAGTATGGAAGCTTTGCCTCTTGGTCAGTCTTGAGTCTTCGCGCAAAAGTTGGCCGGGTCAGTCCCTGTCAGAGCAGCAAGAGCGTTCCTGCGCAAATCAAGTGTTTATTGTTATACAATGTCATTTGTGTCAGAGAATAGAGGTTTCCACACCGAAAGTGGTTAGTTATTTAGTTCCCTAGTTTTAGTGCCTATCTTCGACCCCATCGCACTGCAATATATTTTTCCAAAAAATCGGACTTATGCCTTTGAGACAAATTGGAAATATGACTGTGAAGGAAGAACCTGCAATTGCAGCAAAAGGTTGGCATTTTGGAAATATTTGCACCCCTGGAAGAGCCACAGGAATCTCTTCAATAGATCAGCATTTTTATTGACTTTAAATGATCTCTACTAAACTAACCCAGTTATTATTTGTTATGTCTGTTTCTTGCCCTTACGTGCATGTCTTTTCTGTACATCTTTGTTGATTGAATGATATTTTTATAACCTGAGTTTGCTATTGAAGAAGAACATTTTTTTTAAACCAAGTGTATTGAACCATGATGATTTTCATAAAAGTGCAAATTTTCTGGGAAAAATCCCTCCAATATTGTAACGTCTCACCCTCAAATGATGATCATACATGACTTCTCTGTACCAACGGCTATTTTAGCCTAATCTACTTGTAGTCGTCCTTTGTAGTTAAAAGGAAGACAGAATTGAAGATAATGCAAGTGGAAGTAGATTACATTTGGAACCGAAAAATACATGTGGATATTTCAACTTGCTTTTGCAATTTTGAGGTTTTTAAAATCCTCTCCAATGGATGTCTTAGTTATTGGCTATCAGCTTAAAAAAATTAGAGGCTTTTTTACAATCACAGTAAAATTTGAGACAAAAATTTTCTTAACCCTAGTTAAAAAGTGGTCACTTCAAGAGTCTAAAAAATTAAGTTCAGGGTGCTTCTAACATGCTACATAAGTTTACTGTATCTTTTTACTTTTTTACATCTCTCTCTGTTTTTCAAATTTTCAGGAAGAATGGCACTATCAAATTCCTCACCAAGGGTGACAACAACAGTGTTGATGACCGAGGTTTATACGCACAAGGGCAACTTTGGCTTACAAATAAGGATGTTGTTGGTAGAGCAAGAGGTTTTCTACCACACGTTGGCATGGTTACAATTTTAATGAACGAGTATCCTAAAATCAAGGTGAGTTCTATCCTTCAATTATCTCCTCATTTTTTGATGAATAATTTATTTAATTTTAATATTAACCCTAGACAGACTTTTTGGCCTTCTTCAGGTCTGTTCTCCAAAACTTTATGCAGATTTGCAGGTTTGCATCTTGGAATTATTATACATAAGAGACATAAAATAAAACAATATTGACGGTGAATTTACCTGACGCATGTCTTGTTTTCGTTGTTTAAAAATTTCTGCTTCCATTTTATTTTACTTTTTAAAGAGAACAAATCAACATCATTCCTTGAAGTTTTCACAGAGTTTTTTGCACATAGAGAAGAAAAATTACAGAAGTTTTCAAGAAATGACAAAATTATGACAGGAAACTGCATGGTCGCAAATCAAATTATGTAGTCTACCAGTTTCACTGTCGATATAAAAATATCAAATCAATAATTAAATTGAGGTTATAAATACTTTGCTTTTATTTAGTTAGCCAAGGTGTTGTGTAAACTAACTAAAAGTTAATTGGCAGAAAGAGACTACTTATTTATTTACCTGAAATTTAGGTGAATAATTTAGGCCCTAAATTATTATATCATACTTTGCTTTTGCTAACTACTACAAATTCTTTGAATATCTTTACAATTTCGAATGGTATCTACGGTCACATCTGCAGAAATTTTAAAATAAAAACATTCTATGCGCTCAAGGCCACTCAAGGGGCTATTTCTGTATTAATGATCTGTTATACAGGGTTTTTTTTTTTTTAATAGAGTTATCTTAATCCTTGCTAAATTTTCTGCTCAACAGAAAGGCTCGTTTTAAAAGCCCCAATGTAGATATGACCAGTTTCCTTAACCCTCCATGGCATGAATTAATTTTGAATATTGGATTCTGAGGCACACAGATCTTTTAAAATGAGAGTTCCAAATTTTTTTCTCAAATTATCAAAACTCTGGTAATACATTTTTCAAAGTAGGTAACACTGATAAAAATTTGCAACATCATGCCACAGAGTATAAGTAATTGAATTATTCATTCAATTTTTAAAAAACCAAATAATGCATCGTTACACGTAAGTGACACCATGCCATAGAGAATTATCAATATTCTACTTCATGCTAAAAATCACAAAAATTCTTTTCTAATGTTCTGTTTCTTTTTTTTTCCTTTTCAGTTCGCAATTCTAGCATTTCTGGGACTCTATGTTCTCGTTCATCGAGAGTAGGAAGGTAAACAGATCACCGGAGCTCCTTTGGCACTGTACAGTCATACCATTGATTTTAAAACGCTCTTGTGCTCAGATTTTGTATTTGTTTCGAGACTTGTCATCAACAACTTGTTTAGTCATTGTTTTGTTTGTTGTGACTTCTAAAGCCTGAAATATGGTGAGACTGTCTGCGGTTAGGATCATATCACAGGGTTTGTGTAGTGGAGGGATTAAAATTAATTTGAACCCCCCTCTCAAGGCCTTTGAGATTTTTTTGTTTCCTCCATGATGAATAATAGGCCAGTGAACGAGATTGCAATTAAAATGCTTTTCTGAGTGAACCTCAATCACTGATCTATAATCCCAAAATGAATTGTCTTCCACAACACTAAAATAAACTGTTGAAACAGGGAATTTTATTCGAAGTTAGATCATACTGCAGGAGGACATCTGCTATTTGATCAAATCATTAGCATGTCATGAAACAGGGGTGCAGGAACTACTCAATCAGATCGCATGATGGCTGGAGTGAAAAAATGGGAAGGTTGTGAAAAATTGGGAAGGCCAGCTGTCAATCGCACTCAAATCGCATATCTTTCTGAAGATTGCGGTAAAATTTACGCGGTTTTTTCTGCAATATTATGATAATTGATGAATATAAGATTAAGAAAAGTCTCATAGTTTTGAACATTTTTGGGAAAATGGGTTTTTAAAAAGCGAAAGCCTTATCAAAAAAATGGGAAGGCTAAGAACTCTGCACCCCTGTCACAGAATTGGGTTTAAACAGTTGAGTCATATGATTAGCAAGAGATAGCTAGATATGTCCAAAATGATAACAACCTGTCAGAATTCTCACATTGTATCGCTCTTTGAAAGAAATGATGCTGAATAACATTATTCTGTGATAATATTTGACATTTTGGCCTTAGGATTGATTCCACCTTGTTTTGCTTATCCATATGATTCAGCCATTGAAACACAATTCAACAATTAATAGAACTGACTCATTTTTGGGACTTCCGTTGAAGTATATTAAAGTTGGTCTTTAATGAAATTGCTCAAGGAAGTTTTGATTGCATTTCATACTCTCATTCTGTCATTCAGACTAAATGCAGTACTAACTTGAATACAGAACGGAGTCATATTGTATAAATAGTTTAGAATCTTTACTACAGTTGAAACAGAATCTCCTAGGCTTTGTTTGCGTTTATCAATGTTAAGAGAGTGCAAAATTACTAGATTATAAAATAAGGTCTGTAAATGGAAAAATGCCATCTACCTTTGTGGAAAGTATGAGGTTCGTCTAGAAAAAAGGTTTTAAGATTTTATATCATCTGAACTATCATAGATAGAGACAATCAGTACAAAGCAGCCTAAAAACACTGTATTCAGATTTTAATAAGCTGTCGATCATTAAATTTACCAGACCAGAACCCTAGAGGAATGGATTCCACTGAACATATTTTTCTCTTTGCTCAGGTTTTGATTTTCATGGTGCATTAAGCTGCTACATCTGTCTCTTATCATAAGTAAGTGACTTAAGGGCAGTTGCGCTTTATGCAAAATATAGTAGGGCATATTTTATAGTTAAAATATTGCAGTGTTAAGTGTCTTCACTTTGAGAATCGGTTGCATCTGAACTGTAGGTAACTGAAATGTTTTTGTTAACTCTTACTTGCAGGATAAATGTTTAATTATTTTCAACACTTTTCTGCTGGTTCAAGAAAAATGTTCTCAATAGTCTACCTTGCAGAGGAAAGTGCAGCGTTTTTGACACTTTTATTTTAGGAGATACTGAATTCAAGCAGCTTTTGTAGTAAAATGATATCAAATAACAAAAAGCAGTTCTCAAACTTAAAAAATGTTGAACGGTATAACTCTCGGATGGGTTGAAATGTACCTTAAGCTGTGAATTTATTGCAGCTAGTATCCAATAATTACCAAAGTCAACATCATCAATCCTGTAATATTTTAGCAGTACTTTTACCAAAAAGTGAAACCACCTTAAAGTCATTTATTTGAAGCTTTGATTCACTCAACAATAGACCTGTGCGGAAAGAGAGATGGGCTCAGTAAAATTTACTTTTTCAGGGCTCAAGTCAAGCAAACTGAATTATCTATAGCTGAAGAAAGAGCTGAGAGTAGTGGCATTAAGCTGCCTATTATTGGTTATTTCTATCTACATCAGTTCAGAAGATGTAAAATCTCCACCCTTCATTTCTTGACAGCCTTTGCCAAAAAACTGTTAACCCACCGTGTTTTTTCAGTGTGTTTTGCCTACCTCAACAAAATGTCCACTGAGTTTTATCCATTCACGGCTACCCGTTATCAGGCTCAGCCTGCGTTGCAGAGAAATGCCTGATTTTCCTTGCTTTTGATAGGAAAATTTCTGAGCATTTAATAGTGTTGAGAGTAACCCAGTTGCTTTGCAGTCCAATCCTAGTTTCAAGTGTTTTGCTCTCTTTGTTCAGAATTATAATCAGTGAAACACGGAGCTTTTTTCTTATTCTTGCTCTTCCATCCATGTTTAAATCAGGGGCATATTGTGGGGACTGAACCTTGACGATTTTAAAACGTTTTTACCTTTTGTCTCTCATTCTATTTGAGAGAAAAAAAAAAGAGAGTAAAGGAGGTTGAAGACCCTACCTCTTCCCTACTTTTACGATGCTGCTTTTTTGCAATATTTATTAGATTTCTAGATATGACCTCAACTGTCAAAACTACCAGTTGATGGTGAAACTACAGAAATGCTTATCTCGTTTTCGGTGGTCCAAAATCTCTGCTCCCATTTTTTTTTTTTATTAAAGGAGAATGAACAAACGCCATTGCTTGAGATTTTCACAGAATGCTCGTTACTTGGAGAAGAAAATTCAAAGAAGTGTGCAAGAAATGAATGCGAGTACCTATAGTTTTCAACTTAGAACTTAAAGTATGGCAAGAAGTCTGCAACGTTCGAACCGAGATACTTGTTTCTGTAGTTTCACTGTTGAAATGTTGCAACTGGGAGCTATCCCTCATCTAATTGCGAAGTTCGGAAACTTGGGATTTTTCCATCAATCATTCTATTTTCGCTGAATCTTTAAATGTCACCATCTCTTATCAGAAATATTTTGTACTATTCTGTATGACTTCATTCCTTACCGTTTGTAAAATTTTCAATTAGTTAAGATACAATCTAGTTACTCTTTTTTGTAACATTTTCAGCACATTTTGACTCATTTTTTCATTCTTTTTCCTTGCGCACATCAATCCATTTTTTATTTTTTTACTTTACTAGGTTGATGCTTCGAAAGTCTTCTTGTACAAATCTTAGCAGAGCCTTTAGTTTCTTTCAATTTTATTAAGAAGTATGTTTAAATTAACATCTCTATATAACTCCGAAATCTTAATCATAACATAACCAATAAATGAGTGCATTAAGCTTCTTAAGAATAAGTTTTTTCTTTTTTTTGAAGCAAGTAAATGTCATCATCATTCTCGGAAATTTCTCTTTCTTGGGACATTTTCAGAAATACTGGAGTCAAGTTGTGCAACTATGTTCCTTGGTTTTACCAGCTAATCTCAACCTTTTTTAAGCATTCCGTCTGAGAACCTTTTTAATTTTACCGATGAAAAGCAGATTCCGAGCAGAGTTAACGGGATTGAAAACTAGTTATGTTTCAAATCTCATTTCTGATCAAAGATCATGAGGCTCCATCGAAAAATAATTTTGTCTATTTTTCTTACCTTGAAAAGCACCGTAGACCAAAGGAATTATTGAACAACCACTTCTTGGTTGGCCCCTAAGCTTTTCAGTGAGCTTAAGGTTTTAAAATTTTTTTAAGGGTTGGAACGTTTTTCGACTTTCCGTGTGCCTCTCTTTTCTTGTAAAGGGTTAACTTATTAAGTTTGATACCTACACCTCCTCTACATATCAAAAATTCTCTTCAGTATTGGAAAATATTGGAGTTGAGCGATGTAGAAGTCAAATGTATCTAAGACTTTAGGAATGCATTTAAAGACATTTAGCTCTTCGAGAAGTTGAAAATTTAAATGATGTATGGTTCTTGCAGTCTTAAAAAAGGCTTGATTCTGAAATTTTTCTCAGGACGGAGAGAGTGCTTGAATTTTTCTCCTCACTAATTCCCAGCAATGAATGCTTACTGTTTTGAAAAATAATAGAGCATCTGACTTTCAATAGATCATTTGGAAAGAAATCCTATTATTGCAAGAAGTTGTGATCTACCTTCAAAGTGAACAAAAAAATCCTGACTTGGACTCAAGGGGAGAAAAAACTGTGTGTGTGTGTTTGAAAATTCTTTGAAAAAACTTTTCTATTCTTGAAGCTGCAGGAACCATGTGGCAAAATCCTTCCTCTTAAACTCATTAATGCCAATGCAAACGGAAGGATAAAAAACTCTCAGCTTTTTGTAACGGATCGAAAAAAAAATCAACTCTATGGTAATGAGGGAATCAGTATAGGAAAATTGAATATCTTCGAGATCAATCCGTTGATAAAATAATGAAATCTTAAGCTTCTAAGAAAACGAAAAGAATAACTAACTAATAAATTATATTCACTAAGTTTGCATTCATCCTGTATTCACAGTAAATCATCCAGAAAAAAGCAAGGATACCTTTGGCATTCAAATTAGCGTTGTATCTCTAATGCCTGTAATTAGTGTGTGCTGTATTTTTATTAACAATTACCTCAAGCAACTCAAGCTTGAAAGATTTGTTTTGTGATCAAACAAAGCTGCAATCAAACTGTATGTGGGTAGTCGTAGGTTTCACATTTTAGGAGCTCTGAGTTTTAATTTGAAATTGAATACCAAATAAAAATCCAAGAATTGGATTCTTTTAACTGATGATAATTAATTGAAGCTGATGATACCCACAGAGCAGTTTCAAAAGTCTACCATTTTGGGTTTGAGCTCCTAGACAAATTCAGTTCACTTCAAGGCAGTATTGTGTGTGGGGTTAATAAGATTTGAAGTTCATTATATACGCAAGTGAGAATTTATTTGAGTGATTTTTAACTGTTACTTGTGCAGTTTTTTAAAAATATTTTACTGGAACTCCTCCGAAATCTAAGTACCTATGTATTTTTCTTCTTCAACAACCTGTTTAGGTCCACTGAAATCCATTTTATGAGGTAATTTTATAGCCCACTTTATTTTGAGTTACTATCTGTAGAGTATGTAGTTAAGTACCTAATTTTAATTAAGTCTCTGTCTTGCTTTGTTGATTTTTACTTTTCTTTCTGTATAGATTGTATGAGGTACCTAATTATAATTAATGATTCCTAAATATTCTCTGATTTGTTTTTAGCACCTAGTCCTCAGCAGTCGTCAAGCAGTGTTTTATATCAATAATAATAAATTTACACTTATTTATCTTCAACATTTTACCATAAAGTTTTTCATGGTAAGAAGGAAAAGTTGGAAAATGTCAAGGAAATACGTTGGTCGGTTTTTGTTTGAAAAAATAAATCGCAGAACTCTGGAGGTGCACACCTCGCATTTATTCATTTTGATGCCTGAACAAGGGAACCACATGTTATGAGTGCAGTGTTTTGAATTTTGCTCCCATTTCATTTTATTGAACAGAAATTAGCTTGCTGTATGTATTGCTTAAAATTATTGAAGGACATCATTACTGCGAATATAAAGCTTTTGATGAAGGTATTACGGTAGGAGTCAGGAATTAGCACTTTGTTCAGTGAAACATAAATGAAATAGGAAGGGAACATGGAAATTGATCCGTAATAAAGGTATTTCAAAGTAAATTTTCGTTATTATTATCATCAGAGGTGTAATAAAACATTATTGCACCAGAAACTGTGCATGTTTATCTCCAATTTAAGTAGCAATGTGACCCACATGTTCAAATACAGAGGACCGTCAATTTTTAAAACAATTGAATAAACCTGAAAGCTACCCCAGTAGAAATGAGTTAAAAAGCAGTTTTCAAAACCTCTTAAAAAGAAAACTGTTGAAATGTTAGTTTCAAGGAACCCACTTTGGTTATTTTTTTTTCTTATTAAAATTTAACTCTGTGGGAACTTTATCTAAAAGATCTCTTAAAAAAATGATCATTTTTTAAGATATTTTAATATATTTTATATCAATTGTACGTCCTTTGAATTTTATTGAGGATAATAGGTGTCCAAAAAGAGTCTCTAGAAACGAACATTTTAACAGTTTTTTATCGTATGAGTTGTCCATTTAAAAGTTTTTTTTTTTTTAAAATTCGTTCCTACTAAGGTCGCTGAAAGAAAAATCATATTGATGGTAAAAGTAAAAAAATAAAAATGGTATCCATTAAAATTTAAAAATTTTCGATTGTGATTTATTTTTTTGACTGAAAACTGACCATAAAATCAAAGGGAAAAATGAGCAGAAAATTGCAAGGAAAATTATCAGTTAGTTCTCCTCAAAGAAAAAACAACTGCATGGGTGGAAATTCGCATTTTTCAACTTATCAGCCATAGATTTTATTTTAAGAGATTCTGCAAGTGATCTAAAAGAGCCATAGGTATGTGTCAGTGTAACCCTGTACACAAAAATAAATACTAGGTACCTACCCTTATAAGCTTTTTCTGTGAGTGCGTTACCGACCCTTGTAACTAATTGTGAGAAACGCCCTAACCAAAGGGCGGCACATAGACAGTGAAACTGCAAAAACGCATTCATGTATTATCTTATTTCAGGAGTTTGAAAATGTAAGTTCCTCGGTACTTTATTTTTATGGAGAGCGATCCAACATCTTGGAAACTTTTACAAATTATTCGTCATACAGGGAAAAGGAAAATGGAATACTTGCAAGATTAAGTGTTGAGTAGTTTTCAACTTAAAAAGTAAAATGTATGACAAAAAGTCTGCAACGCCATAAATTGGACTACCTACGTTTTACAATTATTAGGAGCTACTAATTATGGCTCAGTTTAGAAACAACGCAGGTACCATAAGTTTTCTAACGCTTATAAGTGTTTTTACGGATGAGCCAGCTGATATTTTAGTTCCCTATTGCAAAATGCAGTCCAATCGAGATAGGTACGCGTATCTGCAGTTTCACCTACGGTATGTAACCAGCCCTTTGCAACGACAATTGCCGCACAGCATATTGAAGGCTCGTTGATAGGATGCTGATAGTTTATATTCTAGCAAAAATTCATTGCTTGTGTTATCAATTTATGGAAGGGAAGTTTGAAATGTGAAGCTCCTCTGAAACTTCTATCTCTGCTAAGCTGACATCGGGCCGTTTTTCATATGGTTTCCTTTGTCAGTGAAGTCGTAGCCTGTGCATGAACCTCACAGCCACAGCCACACAACCCTTCTTCCCCCATCCCCCGATAAAAACGCTCCCCCGCCCGCCTGTAGGCGTCTGGCGGGTGTTCAAAACCCCGCCATTTTCAGTTGACCAATCACGAACGAGTTATTTTAAGAGCCCGCCGATATTCTAATATTCATACGCGCTATGATATCCGTACATTTCTCAGAAAAAGGAACAATTTATCCTGTTAAACTTTTTATTTATTCTTATTTTAATTTGAATAACGTTAATTATTTATTAAAATGCAATGATTAAATGTTATTCAAGTTCTTTTTCCCTCTCAAGTAAGAACTATTTTGTGTCCGCGCAACTCGGAGGACTTCAAAAATGACCGTTAGGTTCTGCATGCAACGCATCAGCAAAAAAGACGCGTCGGTAGTTTGATAAGTCGTTGTGTTTTTGTGTGAGGGCAGCATATTTTCAGTATGCTGCTGTTCTAAAGTGATAATTTTAATTTTCGACCCTCCGTTTACGCGTTTTATTTTTTTTTATTTCGTACCGGATTTCGCGAAGTAAGTTCTGAACGTATTTGCAACGATGTTTCTCCCTGAATTTTTGTATTAATTCAATCTGAAAGTGTTGACCATGATGGTGATAGAGTGTTGTGTTCTCTGAGGTCAGAAATTTTGATTTCTGGCCACGGGAAGAGTATATTTTCAGTTATTTCTTTGGCTTTATTATGGACGAAAAATATTTCCTTGCTTTCTTATCGTTATCACGAACGATTATCTTATCACTTTGTTCATCATCTTATCAGTCCATGGATGAAATATTCCTGAATTTTATCACTGACATTTTGCCGAATGTCAACAATGCGTTGGCGCCGACTTGTGACCGTTTGAAATTGAAAATGGATCCAGCACTCTAAAACGTGACTTGATCATATTAATATCATCTTGATTCTTTGTTTTCAATCTCCTGAAAACTATCCTTTATCTTTAATTACATATCCATTTTAGGACACAGTTTGGTGATCGGCGGTACCACCGATCAAAAAAAGAAAACCCCTAGTGGCGCTCACCCTGTCACATTTACCTGGCTCAATTTTTGAAATTTTAGACTGTAAATCTTGATATCTGCAGCAGACGTACTGATTTTTTACTGTCTTTCATGTCAATGCATGACTATGTAACAAGAATAATAAATCAAGATTATATTCTTTCAAGGAAATCGTTTACTCAGAAATTATTCCTTGGTCCATTTGCTTTATCAAGACCGTCATGAGTCTGGCGCTTTTCTCCAATGACAGCAACCGTCAAATAATTTTACGTCATGTTGAACTCTTTTGTGGAGCAAAGCATAAATATGATCCTTGCATGATACTATTTTGATGGTAGAGTTTTAAGAGGAACAATGCTTGACCAATTAAAATAATTTCTCTCCTTTTACATTTTATCTTTTGATTTCGTTCAAAAATATGGCAGTTTATTTATGTTCCAAGTTAAGCGAAATATATTTGCCTTCCTCTATTTTTAGGTTGCACTATCCATTGACAATTTTGATGTATTGCCATAAGCCATAACTAAGAAGAACCATGCTCAACATTCAATGACATTTAATCTCAGTCGTGAATAGATATGTTGTGCTATTTCCACAGTTCCACTTTTTTACCTCGTCTCTATCCTCATTTACCAAGTAAATTATTCTGTTTTTTTCAGGAACTATAATTGACAGATCGTGTTTGACTAACCATGAAAAGCCCGAAGAAAAGATTGTCTGAACCTCCGAAAAAGTTGATTGCCGTTGTATCTCCCCAGAGAAGGAAAAGTGTGAAGGTAAGCAAGAATCTCCTGAGACAATTCAGTCTGAAAAGATAATGGTATGTGTGTCAAACGGTATTGGCGCCTGCAAGCAGTACCCTCAAGACATTTCGACGGTGAAACTACCAAACCACGTATCTCGGTTTGCGACGTCGCAGACTTCCTGCCATACTTTATTTTTTAAATAGAAAACTACTCAACGTCAATTCAAGGAAACTTCCGTGATTTTTCCTTTTTGTGCGAAGAAAAATCTGTGAAAATTGTAAGGAATGACATTGATTTGATCTCCTTCAAAAAAATAAAATGTGAGTGAAGATTTTTAAACACTGCAAACGAGATATGTGGTCTGGTAGTTTCACCGTCGATTTTCAATTTGAGCTTGGAGCACTCCAAAGGATTTGAAACCCAATGGAGAATTTGCACGCAATTTTTTTATTGCTTCATCTGAAAGTGCCTAATGAGCTGAGTTCGCAATATTTTTCATAATTTTTTTCTGACATGGGAAATTGGAGAAAAATTGATTTAAAAGTGAGAAAATGCGCCGCCTTGTGACGTCATCTGGCGGCATCTCCCATTTAAACACATGTATTTTAGCAGAATCGGTTATTTTGTCATATCTCCTCTAATAATCGCTCAATTTATGAATCAAGGGTATCTTCGTGTTCAGTTCACTCAGAGGATTCCACTTAAACAGGAAATTCATCAAATTTCAGACCCTTGCAAATTCTCCATTGGGTAAAACTGTTGATTTGGGGTAATCGTATTTTCAGTATGCTGAGGAGGTATTTTACTATTTTGTAAAGTTATTTTCATCTTTGAGCGAATTTCTTTTTCCTGGGACAAGATCTCACTTCGCCGGGCTCAATGTTTTTATGTTTATTCTTTTTTTTTTTTTTTTTTTGCAAAAATAAAAAACAAATAACATTGATGGCTTAAATGTAGAACTGCGTATCTCTATTGCCATGTTCCAAAATTTCTGCTCCTATTTCATTTTTTCCAATAGAAACAAGCCCACTTCATAGCGCGGAAGTTATGTAGAATATTCTGCAAACATAGAGGAAAAATCAAGAAAGTTTTAAAGAAATTACGTTAAGAAAAAATGGCTTTCTAAAGAAAAAATGAAGTATGACCAGAAGTCTGCAATGTCTCAAACAGAGATACGTGGTTTTGCACTTCAACAATCGATATGATTAAACCTGAGGTGCAGAAAATGGTCTTATGTACAAGCTCTGGTTCGCGTTGGATGAGAAGAAATTTTTCTGCGGAAAGTTTTTTTTAAGTCCAAGAAACAAAGGTAAAAAGTTTAAAGGGTAGGTTAAAACAAAGGGTTAAAGCTTTTTTTTTAAAAAGGATTTTCTGCTCAGTGTGTACATTTAACGTTTTTACAAGAGTTGGAAAATTTTTAGGCTGAGATTGTTACTGATTTTTGCACCAAAGATCTTCTGCAATCCTGGGTTAAACCATTCTGAGCAATATGGTCTAGAGTCATTGAAATGAGTGAAGTCTTAAGTTTCCTGCAGTTTTCTGAGCTCTGCCACTCAGGATAATATTATTTATGGAGATCCCATTAATTATGGAATGCTCATGGTACATTTTTTCAATCAAGAAACCCATAATTAACAGAGTACATACTCAAATATAAAATTAATTTTCTACTATTCCATCATTTGTGGGTAGCTCTTAGGTGAGAAAATCAGCATTTTCAGGAAAAGTGCGCTTAACTCATACAAATTTTTTTGCAGGATTCTACCGCACCTAAAGATGTAGTCTTTCGAAAATTATCAAGCCCAATGAAGGTGCGTTTTACAAAAGTTTTCGAAATCGGAAGATTGGTAGGGGGAAAAGATACCTTTCAAGGAGAAAACGACTGTCTCATTTTTCCATAATTGTTGCACAAAACCTTTGGTCAAAGCTTTTGAGATCTTTGTTTTATGAAGTTTTAAGAAATCTTGCTGAGTTTATTTTTAATTACATTTAAATTCCTTTTTTGTGATGAGGCTGTGGCTTTAGATACTTGTTAATTCCAAGCATCAAATATTAATTTAATTATTCAAATTATTTGAGCTGTCTATAATAAAATTCAGTAAAAAATAATAGTTGCTTACGATTTTATTCTATATATGAGGATACACATCTAAATGATGAACGTCTTTTTGTTCTTAAAAAATATTTAGTGCCTCTTGAAGAACTTCAATGTAAAATTTTCGAAGCTGCATGTATGTAGTCTTTAAAAATGTGTGAATTTTTCATTTCTTTCTGCTTTCAGGAACCCATGGGTTTAGCACACAGTTCTTTCAGCGATGAGGCTCTGAAGAAACCAGTAGCTGCCGCGGTTTCATTGGCAGCTGGAAAATCGACACCCACTAAAGCTGTCATCAAAAGCACACCGAAAGCCAAAGCTTCTGCTGCAAAAATCAAATCCATCGGAGATGTTGCTAAAGTAACACCAGTGAAAACCACCCCTATTAAGGCTGCACCACTAAAATCCACACCATCCAAAGCCACCCCTAAAGTTGTGCCAGTCAAGAAAACTCCAGCAAAATCTGCTGTCAAATCAACTCCAGCAAAAGCAACCCCCCAAAAAGTTGTCGCAGCCAAAGCCTCTCCTGCAAAGGCTACGCCATCAAAAACTGTTCAAGCAAAACCTACTCCCGCTAAAAAATCGCCTGTCAAAGCAACTCCGAGTAAGGTTGCTCCAGCCAAACCGACACCCAGTAAAGTGGTCGTTTCAAAATCCGTTCCTACCAAAGCTGCTCGAATGTCTACAAAAATACCTGTTCCTAAAACTTCCCTCATGGGTAAACCCAGTGCTGTGTCAAGGAAGTCGCAGCCTGCCCCAGGTGTAAGCAAAGAAAAAGCAGTCACAAAAGTGACCCCTGTCAAAGCAGCCGTTGGGCCCAAGGTCATCAGTCCTTTGGCCAAAAGCGCTAAGAAAGCCTCACCCAAGAAATCTACTCCAAAAAAATCATCCCCCGCAAAATCGCCATCCAAGTCGCCTCGACTTTCATTCACACCTAAAATAGCCCTTCGATCCCCAGATGTCGGCAAACCGTCCCCGAAAGGCTCGGCTAAAAAGGCAGCTCAACGAAAACCTCCGCATCCAGCTGTCAAAGCCATATTAGAAGACGTTTTTGGTCCCAATATTTCGGGGATATCAGCTCTTGAAATGTCTGCACTCTCAACTCCAGGGAGCTCACCCAAAACTCCTGCGTCAAAAACTCCGAAGAAAGTGAAAACTCCCGCAAGTTCAGGAAAGAGGAAAAGTTCAATTAAGCCTGAGAAAAGACCGTATACTGTCATAACATCACCGATCACCCCTGTAGAGGGGCCACCCTCTACCAAAAAACAGAGGAGTTCTCAGACTCCGAGATCAGCTGCTGCTACCCCAGCTTCTAAGACACCAGCTAAAACTCCCAAGTCTTCCAAAGCAAAAACGCCTGCTTCTTCAGCCAAATCGAAAGTCTCAACCCCTGCTCCAGTTCTGGCCTCGCCTAAAGTGTCAGTAACTCCTAAATCTGCTGCTAAAAAGATAAAATTCTCGCCGCCGAGTCCCAAATCAGCCCCCAAAACACCAAAATCAGTATCCAAGACTCCTAAACCTAAGGCTGCCACTCCAGCAACGCCGAAAACCTCAGCGACTAAAACACCTAAAGCAACCCCTGTTAAAACGCCAGCAAAGCAGGCTATAACACCCAAGTCAGCCAGATCCTCCCGTGCAACTCCTGCCATTACACCCAAGAAATCCCCGGCAAAGACGCCTAAGGCAGCCGTTGCTACACCGAAGGCAACCCCAGCAAAAACACCTGCAGCCAAGGCAACCCCAGCAAAAACACCTGCAGCCAAGGTAACTCCAGCAAAAACACCTGCAGCCAAGGTGACCCCTGTGAAAACTCCTGCAGCCAAGGCTACACCAGCGAAAACACCTGCAGCCAAGGCTACACCAGGGAAAACACCTGCAGCCAAGGCTACACCAGCAAAAACACCTGCAGCCAAGGCTACACCAGCAAAAACACCTGCAGCCAAGGCTACACCAGGGAAGACACCTGCAGCCAAGGCTACACCAGCGAAAACCCCTGCAACCTCAAAGGTAGCAACTCCATCAAAATCCACTCGCTCAACTCCTGCAGTGACACCAAAAGCAACCCCAGCGAAAACCCCGAAGGCAAGTTCTGCCAAAACACCAAAAGCAACTCCAGTAAAAACGCCAAAGGCCACTCCTGTTAAAACACCTAAACCGACTCCGGCTAAAACTCCAAAATCAACTGCTGGGTCTTCCAAAAGGAGTCTTAGCTCTGCTGAAATCAGTCCATATGAAGAGCCAACCAAGAAACTTATCGTGGAGTCTCCAGCCATTGGGAGTAAGTCTTAAAAAATAGATTTTTATTTACTAATTTCATAAAAGCTTGACGAAAAATGAATGAATGAAGAGTTTCATTCGTTTTTAAATTGATCGCCTTTCTTACACTCAAAAATTTGCGGAGACAGCTCTCAAATTAACTTAAATAAGGAGCTTAGAAAACAAGCAGGATAAGTGCAGTTTTTTAAAATATTGAGATCTTAATGATTTCAACTAAAATCAGGCTTAAAATATATTCTGTGGAAAATTCACTACAAAAATCCAATTCTCAAGCATCCACAAGTGATATCGAACTTTCTTGCGGCCATTAAGCTAAATGTAATTGTGAAACTTTAAACTGTTTCTTCTTGAAACAGGAATAACTGAACTTATCCCTTTTGTCCTCCAAGCCCTTCAAATAAACTCTATGGTAGTAACAAAGAAGGACTGCTCACATACTCGACTGGATGCAAACGCAAAGGCCTATTTGCTAATGATAATTTTCAATGATAAAATTAAAATTTGTGAGGCTTAAACATCATTTTTAGTGTTGCAGCCACACATAAGGTCGTTTTAAAAGCGTGGGTGTCTCATCAATAGATTCAATGTTTAATTTTTCGCTCTCAAAATTGCTTAAATTATGATGAGGACAAGGCTACCATGAAAGAATTTAAAACAATTATTTCAGAATGGAGGGAAAAAGAGAGTATCAGACTTAAAAAATGCCAACCAGTGTTCTAACCTGAGCGTAAATAACAAGATTACAAAGTTAACTTGCAAAAAAAAAAATTTAGTACCCCTTGATTGATGCCTTGTGTAATGACTAATTTTCTTGCTCCACTTTTCTTACAGATAAAAACAAATTGGCCGCCATTCGAGTCTGCCACAAACCCAAATCGCCAAGCAAGCCCATGGACATCCTGAAGTTCAAACCAATGTTGGGCAAGGATCGCAAATCTTTGACACCATTCAAGCCAAAATTGGCTTTCATGAAGTACTTGGAGGTATGCTGTAGTGTATTCTGAAATTTTATGTGTGTCAACTCAAATATTTTTAATGAATCTTTGTGGTAGGTTAAGGAATTTCAAAAGACTAAAACATGTCGTCCAGGACCTGGAAAAACCAGGAAATGTCAGGATTCATCAGGGAGCCAACAATATCTGAGAAAATCAGGGATATTGTCACGGGATAAAGACTGGAAACTTCTTGTCTTTCCTCTTTGATCCTTGAGATCACGTTTTTAAATTTGGTGGTCTAGGTTGACACAGTCTTGAACAATTATTAAGAGAGGTGAAAAAATTGTTAGATTTTTTGCTAAGTCCTTGAGGAAGATCAAGATTTTCCGAAAAAGTTCTAATAGAAACGAGAGTAAATCCTGGACCCTCATCAGAGAATGGTGATCAGGGGGAATAAGGAAATGGAAGTGTCCTAGACACCATGGACTAAAATTATGAAACAATAAAAGAAATTCAGTCAGACAACAATATAAAAAATCAAATGTCTTATTTGTAAAAGTGGTACTTCTTACCCAAGGACCAGTGTTTGAAACACGCGCCGGCCAAACAGCAATTTGCCGGTAAGAAATTGCCTCTGGCCGTTAAGAAATGAAACTAGCGGCCAAGGTTTGGCGGCCAGAAAAATCGTTGTTAAACTTCGTTTTTGGCATATTTCGCTGTATTCCTGACTCAAGGCATTTCGAAAGGGCAATTTTTCGTTTTGGCCCCGAAGAAATCTGAGATGGCCCCTGAGAAATATAGTTGCAGGCCAGATGGCTGCTAATACTTCATGCCGAGCTTCAAACACTGCCAAGGACCATTAGACTAGGTGTGAATTTAAGCATTCTGTTGAGTGTTTCTTAACCAGAATTTTAGATAGAACTCGATTTGCGCCAGAGAAATGACTGAAATCAACTCCTAACTGATATATAAACGTTTTTTAGTTTTCATTGGCTACAGAAATTTTAAATTACCTGCTCATATTAAAAACAACAGTCTGCTTGAATCAAATCACACACTACAACAATTTTAGCAGGCCTCTTAGTGAGCAGTTTTTTTCCTCCATCCTATGTTCTTCACATTTAAATAACGTGGAGTAGCTGAGCTGAAGTGTCGATATTGAGGTCATATTTTCATACTGCAAAGACTGTCACAGTAACATTTAGTGTGTGATTTAACTTAAGTAGATCATTGTTATTTCTATGACCGGGAAGTTTGAATTTATGCATCGAAAAACTTTATTTCTTAGTTATTCGTTACTGTCAGTATTTTTTGTCATACAAATTGTGTTCTACGTGAAATTTTGATGAGAAAATGTATGCTTAAATTTGTACCTTGTCTAGCGGTCCATTGAGTATGTATTAGTCATGTTTTGAGACTTCACGAGTAGCATAAGGTTTTGAAACTTACGATTTTATTTTTGCCCCTGTGATTGTGTGAATCTGCTCATTTAAGAACAATGGAAAAAGGTGTCTCAAGATTTTTAAGAATAAGCACCAACCAGGTTCCAACAGACCTACATTCTTGACAGTTCTTCAAAACTTGCTAGTTCTTAACTACTGTGAATTGTACTCACTAAATTTTCACTCAAGTTTCTTTGCCTTATCCAGTTTTAAAAGTGAATTTTTTACAAGGATATGAAAGATTTTAACATAGAGACGCAGAAAATTCTTAACCCTCCCATTTTTAAAACTCTGTTTCCCCTGAACATTCATAGTGATAACATCTCCCCCCTTTCTTTCTTTTTCTTTCTAATTTTTTCTCTATTTAGGTACGAATTTCTGCAATCTTGCTAAAAAAAAAAAATGCATTTCTAGTGCTGATGCAAAGTCAACATTCCCTTTTCTAAGACCAGGTTTCATGATTTTCTTGTTTTTCCATGAGTCTGCCTGAGACCTGCCTTTTATTCAGTCAAAAAGTTTTTGCACTGCTAGTTGATTAGTCAATCCTCAAATTCCTTTTTGTTTTCTGTAACTTCTCATTTGTATTTGATTTTTAGATTCAAGTCTTAGTGGTACAAAGATTTGAATTTTCATTAATTTCTTGTAACCGAATCTTGTCTTGGAAAAGAATTCATCGAATCTCGAATTTCTCTAAAGAACAACAATTCATCAGCAATTCCTAGAAAAATTAGACTCTAGAATAGTAAAAATAGAAGCACTTCAATTTTACTCATATTTTCCTGTCCAGTTTTTTGTGGGCAATATTTAATTGATTATTGCAGATTTGAAGTGTGGCATAGATAATTTTCATTGAGATGTACTTTTTTACAGACCTTTACAGACAAGTTGTTCTTGTTTTACTGTCTCAAGTAGGCCGCTAAAACCTTTTTAAACTTATTGTCAAGTAGAAACTGCATCAAAACACTCTAATACTGCTTCTGAGTACATTTCTAAGTGTGAGACTAATTGTCCTTTTCCTTTTTTTTTACAGGGAGCCGGAAAGCCTCTGCCCAAGTCAAGCCTTGCAGCGTCACCAAAGGTGAATGTGACCCGCAAAAGCAGCACGCCAGCAGATGAAAATTCTCTTGAAGGAGTTGATCAGCTGTTCAAAACTCCATTCAAGAAAGGAACTACTAAAGTTGTCTCAGCAACCACCCCTAAAACGACTCCCAAGGCTGCCCTGAAGGCTACTCCCAAAACCACGCCAAAGGCAACCCCCAAAGCTACTCCAAAATCAGCTGCTAAGGCCACTCCAAAAGCAACCCCAAAGGCTACTCCTAGAGCCACTCCAAAGGCTACTCCTAGAGCCACTCCAAAGGCTACTCCAAAAGCTACTCCAAAATCAGCTGCTAAGGCCACTCCGAAAGCAACCCCTAAAGCTACTCCAAAAGCTACTCCAAAAGCTACTCCCAAAGCCACCCCTAAAGCAACTCCAAAAGCTACACCCATAGCAGTTGCTAAAGCTACTCCAAAAGTTAGTCCAAAAGTGACTCCTAAAGCTACTCCTAAAGCCACCCCAAAAGCAACTCCCAAAGCCACCCCTAAAGCAACTCCTAAAGCCACACCTAAAGCAACTCCAAAAACTACACCTAGAGCAGCTGCTAAAGCTACTCCGAAAGTAGCGGTTTCAAAGGCAACTCCTAAAAAATCCCAGGCAGCTACTCCTGCAGCAGCCCTTAAAGCCTCTCCAGCGCTGAAAGCCACAGCATCTAAAACACCAGCAAAGGCATCACCCTCAAAAACACCAGCTTCTCTGAGGAAGGGAGCAATTTCAGCCAAAAAATTAAAGCTTCTTAACAAGAAAAGCTCATCTCCTGCCACCTCCAAAACTCCCCCGAAATACAGTGAGGAAGGCACAAAAACAATCGCAGCACTGTGGTCGCCAGGAGTGAGACCCGTTTACGCGAAATCCCCCCTGAGTCCGATCAGCCCAATGTTGCTTGATAGGCTGTTTGATCGCTCAAGGAACAGTAGCAGCAAGCAAGTTTCATCCACGCCTCTCGTGACCAAGACCAAAATGCCTTCGCCTGCTCCGAAATCTGCGCGAAAGTCAGGCACCCGCGTTTCATTCAACGCTACTCCAGATTCGTTTGATTTCAACTCAGTGAAGACACCTAACGTTCCCAAAGATATCTTCGTTTCCCCTCTGTCAACAAGCCAGAGCTCAGCAGAAACGTCTGTTTCGTCGTCCAAGAAAACGCCCAAAGTCTTGGTCACCAAGAAGACTCCCCTTTCAAAGAAATCCGCGAAGAAAGTTGCATCTGCCTCGAAATCAGCAACCCCTGCTTCCAGAACGAAGAAGAGTCTAGCTTTTCCTAGCCTTGCTTCTCCTGCTGTGGTAGTGAAGACCACTCCTCTCAAATCCCCGAAAAAATCACCTGTGTCTGCTAAAAAATCGGCCAAAAAAACGCCCAAGAGTGTAAAGAAAACACCTGCGAAGACTCCTGTCGCAGTTTCCACCCCTGCACCTAAAGTTTTGCCCAAGACTCCAACCAGTGTAGCCAAGTCATCCAGGAAAACCCCGGCTAAAACGCCTGTCAGTGCGCCAATCAAATCGCCAGTCTCTGCTAAAAAATCAGTGAAAAAGACTCCCAAGAGTGTAGCTAAGGCTGTCAAGAAAACACCAGCCAAAACTGCTCCTGCAGCCGTTCCTGAGACCCCAAAGAGTGTGGCTACTCCTAAAGCCACAGCAAAAACACCTGCCAAAACACCTGCCAAAACACCTGCCAAAACTCCTGCCAAAACTGCCAAAACTCCCAAGAGCGTTGCTAAACCTGTCGCCAAAACGCCTAGTGCTCCTGTAACTCCAGTACCAACCCCTGTCAAATCCACCAAGAAAGCGCCGGCACCAACCCCTGTAAAATCCGCGAAGAAAGCGCCAGCACCAACCCCTGTAAAATCCGCCAAAAAAGCACCTGCAGCAAAATCACCGAAAAGTGCTGTAAAGAAAACTCCTGCTCCCAAAACACCCAAGAGCACTGCCAAATCTGTCAAAAAGCCAGCTACTGCAGCTGAAACTCCAGTAGACAGCAGCGTAAGAGCCAGTCGCACAGCTAAAGTTGTCGCTCAGGTCATGCTTGACACCACTCCTCTCAAATCGCCCAAAAGTGCTACAAAAGTGACTACTCCGAAAAAGTCTCCCGTTAAGCGCAAATCAGAAAGCCCTGTCAAGACAGCAAGCAAAGTCAGCAAAGTGGCTGAAGTTGCCGAATCACCTATTAAATTCTCGCCAAAGCCGACGAGAGGCAAAAAAGCCGCTGCAGCAGTGAAGCGCAAAAGCGATGCTAAAGTTGAAAGCAGTCCTGCCAAGAGTGCAAAAGTTGTAGCATCGCCTGTCAAAGCAACAAGAACTACAAGAGGGGCCAAAACGGCTGCCCCCTCTGTGGGAACTGTGAAAGAGACTAAAGCACCAGCAAAAAAACCAGTCAAAGCTCCTGCGACAAAAGTTGCCGCAGCCAAAACAAAAGCTGCGCCTAAAGCTGCTTCTAAGCCTGTAGCAAAATCAAAAGCAGCAGCAGCAAAATCAACGAAGAAAGCTGCTGAACCAGCAAGCAAGCCTGCCCGAAGTGCCAAATCTGCCGTTGCGGCAAAAGCCCCCAGCCCTGCACCCACTAAATCAACAAGGAGCAAGAAGGTAGCCTCACCAAAGCCTGCTGCATCAAAGAAAGCAGCTCCTGTAGCAAAGAAAGCAGCTCCTGCAGCAAAGAAAGCTGCTCCTGCAGCAAAGAAAGCTGCTCCTGCTGCAAAAAAAGCGGCTCCTGCTGCAAAGAAAGCGGCTCCTGCCGCAAAGAAAGCTGCGCCCGTAGCGAAAAAAGCTGCCCCTGCAGCAAAGAAAGCTGCGCCTGCAGTGAAGAAAGCGGCTCCGGCAGCGAAGAAAGCGGCTCCAGCAGCGAAGAAAGCAGCTCCAGCAGCGAAGAAAGTGGCTCCGGCAGCGAAGAAAGCTGCTCCAGCAGCGAAGAAAGCGGCTCCGGCAGTGAAGAAAGCTGCACCAGTAAAAGCAAAAGCCAAACCCGAACCACCGAAGAAGAAGGTGCCTGTTGCTGTGGTCAAACCAATCAAAGCTAAGCCAGAAGCCGTATCAAGGTAAAAAAAACATCTTGAGTTTTATAATTCTGTTATTTTGCACAATTTTGGTACTTAATATTGTTTCCTGTCTACTGAACCCATCAAGGTTTTAATGATCTAAGGTAGTTCATAAAAATGTTTGGCACAGTTGGCAAAGCAGAAAGAAACTGAGCCACATCAGGTATTGCAAAATTTCACCGGGCAATTTAATTTTTTACATGAAAATGGTTGTGCGGATTTTTGTGTGAATTTCAGTGAATTTACTGCATAGTACGAAGAGAATTCCTCTAAATTTTCAAAGAAATCTGCACAAACGTTCCATCATAAAAAGTTGAATTGGCCAGTCAAACTTGGCAATAGCTGAAGTGGCTCGCTTCCTTTGCCAATCAGTGTGCAGTCCAGTTTAGCCTGTTTACCAGCTCGCCAGGAACCCAATGATTCTTTTAGTCTGCTGCTCTTATTCCTTTAAAAAAAAAAGGAAAAAAGTGTAAAATTCATGATAAAGTTACAGCGTTTGGACATCAGAGCATTTGTCTTGCCCCTAATGTCTAGTATTTTTGAAAGGGTCGCTAATTTTACTCTGTGAACTTTTTTTTTCAGTTCCAAGAAACCAGCTGCAAAGGCAGCCGCTAAATCAAAGCCCGCGAAAGCTGTAGAAGCTCCAGCTCCTGCCCCAAGGGTTGTAAGGAAACCTACACTAAAAGCAACATTAGTTGTGTAAGTATTTTATTCCTGGAATCAAATCTTTTGAGTTTCTTTGTCTCCCGGACATATTTTTCAAGTATATTCAAACATGTTCCTGCCAAACATAGGCTGCTGTGCTGAGCGAAAACGCCGTATGAGCTCTCAGGCGTTGCTATTTTCCTTTTGATAAAAAACGGATTCACTAGGAAAAATTTTGATATTTTTCTTCTTAATTTTTCAGACTATTTTGCTCGCAATTTAATCTGAAATATTTGAAAATTTGAAGGAAAAATATGTATAACTTCCTAGAAATTCATATTTTATGGGGGAAATTTGCCAACTCTCGAATGCTCATATAGCTTTTTTCCTTAGCACAGCAGAAGAAGGCTTGCTGTAAAGCAGCAAAATGTAAAGGCTATAAACTGCTATCAGCTGTGATCTTTGTGACGCTTGTGCTACCCCTTGGATGCGACCATGACTAGAGTTTCTGAATTAGTCATGTGGTGAGCCTCTATTTGGCGGTTTTATAGCTTTTTAACGTAATGAACGCCTACCGTAAAAAAGATAGGCTACGGTGACTGTTTTGGTGTCCATGATTAACGCTTAAAAATAGTCGATATGACCGGCTTTTCCTTGGACACGGCAAGGATTTTTAGAAGTACACAAACGTATCTTATGGATTTTTAGAGGTGCTCTGTTCTTTATCCCAGAGGCACTCGTTGCAAAGAAGATATTATTTTCAGCCTGTTCATAAGATTTAATCATCCAAACCTGATTCTGTAAAATGCACAGCTGACCACTGCTGGAACACAGTTACTTCAATTGGACTGCAGTTTGCGATGAGAAACAACAATTTCTGGCTCTTAAATAAAAACACCAATCTGCATTCATAGGGAAACTAAGGGCACACATGTTGTTTCCCAAATAAGCCAGATATTTTAGTTCCTAATTGCAAAATGTGGTTCAATTGGACCGAGTTTAATAGTAAGGCATCAAGTTGCATTGAGTTTGAACCAAGAAATAGAAATTCGAAGTTTTACTCTTCCATAAAACTCAATGTTTAGGGCTGAGGTTAAAAACTAATTTCAGGTTCAAAATATTTTTTCTCGACTTTGAATTTTTGAAAGGAAAGAACTTATGATCAGTTGAATTTAAAACTACTTTGGTTTAGTTTTCTCCAGAATGCATTTAGTGCATTTCGTCGTCTCTCACACGAAGGAATGTAGCATGTCTGCGCTGTTTCAGTATGTGTATAAACATTTTATTTTTTTTATTCGAGAACCATGACACAAAATTTTCTGAAAATTTTAGTGTATTCCTTTGCAAGTGTAAAGAAAAATTACCGAAAATTTCAGCCAAATTCATGGGAAAACACTCCTTAAAGAAAGTCAGTAAGGAGTACCGAAACGGCACGATCAAGATACATTCTTTTGTGCAATGATTTTTGTTCTACTTGGTTTTGTTTCTTTTTAGATTTTTTTTATTTTCTCATAAAAACATTATATCGACGGCGTAAATCTGCAATCACATATCGTTTGCGGTGTCTGAAAATTTTCGCCTCTATGCTATTTTTTTAAGAGAGAACAAATTGACATCATTCCTTGAAGTTTTTGCAGAATTTTCTTTGCATAGAGAAGAACACTCACGGCAGCTTTAAAGAATTGCCGTTGAGTACTTTTCTGTTTAAAAGATAAAGTATGGCAGGAAGTCTGCGACGTTGCAAACCGAGTTATGTGATTGCCGACTTACATCGTCGATATACTTTGTCTTCTGGCTTAATTTAATGCTGAAGTATTTTAAAAATGGGAACGCTAATCAGCTTTTAATGTATTTGTCAACAGGTCTAAAAGTAAAAAAGGGACAACGTCCAAAAAAGGAAAGAAATAATCAAACTGGCAGTCAAATATTTCTTCGTGAACGCACGAGTGATTCATCATGTGATCTCCTCTCCCAAATACCTGTATATTTGAATTTCAGATAAGCTAATTTATTTTTACACAACCGACTGATGTTTGTTAAGTGACAGCTCTATCACTTATCCCACTGTGTCAATTGGATAGGTCTCTTTGTTTGGATTGGATGTACCTGACTCCGGAAATTGACCAAGCACAGTTCAATCAATACATTTTATTTTTAGAACTTTTAGATCGACAAATATCATTTGTTTTTCCATCATGACACAGACTAATTTTTACCAAAGGTTTATTTCAGTCTTGAGAGACTTGAAAATTCTCTGCTTGAGGCAGAGCGCATTTTAAATTTTGCACATATTTCAAGATTTGCGGACAAAGCGAAGACTCAGTGTATCATAGACTTTAATTCAGCCAAGGTACCAAAATAATTGGTATGAGGAAGTTCATTATTTGTGATTCATTACACTTGATTAATTATGCTCCTTACAAAGGCTCCATTCTAAATTTTCGCCTCTCAGAGATTTTGATCCTGACTTGATTTGTAAATACATTTCATATCAAGATAAGGAGTTTTTACTTATCTGTCCATATTGTCAGCTGGTTTTTGTTTTAATTTCTATCAATTGTTCTTGAAAAAATCAATTTGCCCAAGCTCTGAAAACACGTTTTTCAAAAATTTGATTTTCGGTAGTTGGAAAGAACTCCACACTATCATCCAGAGTGTCCATTGGGTCAGAAGAACGTCAGGAGAAATTTTTTTTTCCTAGAAATGTCAGGGAATTCCACATTATAGATACCAATTTTTTTCGTTGTCCTCTTTGGCATTTCTTCTAAATGCAAGTTTTCAATAACCGATACAATGGATATTGTACCCAACTGTATGGTTGGGGTATTGATGGTGTAAAATATCATGTTCTTTTTTTTTGTGTTAGAAGAAAAAAAAGATCAGTAGAGATAGCTACTTTTTTCAATGCATATTTACAGATTTTTTATAGAATTGATCAAAATCTCCGGTAATTTTGGCTCCTAAACCTGAAACATTTCTAGAATTTATTCTCCTGAAGTCTTTGGACACCTCTGTGAATATTGAGGCACGTATTTTCAGACCATGGCTACTGTTTTTCTATGGATCATCGATGACTTTTCAAGTTGGAAAAGAAATCGATTGTATTGTCAATTTATCGTGAGAGATTACCAAGATGGATTAACTGAAAAATTTTCTTGTGTTTGCCTTGCGAAGAATGTCTGTTTAAACATGTATTTATAATCTATTCTTTGTTGAAATTGACACATCAATTTTATGTATCATAATTTTAAGTTTTAATGTCTAAATTGTAAATTAGTGTTTCCTGAAAAATTCTGTTGAAACTGAGGCCTTCGATAATATTCAGTTTTTTTTTCTTACTTTTTCATTACTTTTACCAAACTCGTAGTGACAACTGACAAGTGTATTTATTTTGTCCCTTAGTGTATTTCTTAACTCCTAACAACTGGTCAGATCCATCTCCTTTGCTTCAAAATTTGAGGTGAGGAAAAATATCTTCCCATCAGGATATGTATGTCATGCTTGAATTAATTTTCCTAAATTAGTCATGGAATGATTTTTTCCCTCTCTTTATACACTAATTTTTAAGTGAAAATATCGACCTTTTGCTGGATTCTCTTAAAGTTTACACCTATATTTTATTATGCCTTTGTTGGCTTGATGTATGCGAGTAACACATCCAAATACACGGTTGATTGATCGAGGACTCATTATTATTTTGAAAATGACAGAGTATCTTTGTAAATTCAATGATCATTTTTTATGTAAGTTCTTGCCAAAGTCTTTCCTATTAGAGCTCATTTATATTTCTCCTCTCACCAAAAAGCGAAGTGAAAGAAAAAAAAGTCAGTCGTCGTGTCTTATTGAAAACAGACTAACAGCAATTTTTCTCTTCTGTAAATTCATGTGTTCTGAATCTGGAAACTCAAACTATTTTGTAATCTTACGCAAGACAGGTTCAGCATTTATAATAACGACGTTTTATGGTGCAGGTGTTGAGTGAATGCAGTTGGAATTTTTTTGGTTTTAAATCATTTCTGTATGGTAAAAAAAGAGCTGAATTTTTGTCTGAGCCTTGACATCTAGTTTTATACTTAATTGTTTTTTGGTCATAGTTTTAGAATTTTATCCAAGTACCTAATTAATTGTAAGAGTATTTTTAAGTAAGGTTAGGTTTTAGTTTATAGATGTGTAACTGGGGTTGAGAGGGTGAAAGTTTGATAAAAAAAATTTGTAACCGTCGAGTGATCTATTGATGTAGCAAAGATACAAGATATAGTAGCCAGTTATATTTAGTGGCCATTTTACGCTCCAGTTCTTGATACGACTTAGCACTGCTCAATCGAAAACCAATTTTCTCCTTTATACATCCTTACAATTTATCTTTTGCTTTTTTATCATAGTCGGGCTGGATGAGATGCTGGTCTTCTGAAAATCAGAGGTTTCTAATGTACGGAAGGGAAGTTTCCCTCTTGAGAATATGAATTGGCATGAATTTTTATAAGTTAAGATCTCAAAAGCAAGAATATGCCATAGCAATACCTTCTGACCTAAGATTTAACCAATGGTTTTTCTATCCGAGGAAAAATTTCTATTATATTAATGTATCTCTGTAATCGCTTGGTGTGTATGTTTGAAGGTGTGTCTTCAGAGCTAAAAAAAGAACGATTTATTGTATGTAGTAAATTTTTTATTCTTCTATCTCATTTTATCCCTGTTAATTTCTTAAAGCCGAGATCTCTTGATATGTATTTAATTTTTGATACTGAAGTTACTGGGTAATAAATGCCTTTCTTGAAGAAATTATTGTGGATATTGATTTTTTTAATATTCGATCAGCCTCATTTCAGCTGTATTTGTCACAATGGACCTCTGGATAAGGTATGAACTCATCAGGAATCAGAAAGAAATCAGGAATGAAAGTGATTTGATACATATGTACCCTTACTATTTGAGAAAATTATTTCTGGTATTTTCTAAATGAATATTTTCTAATATTACGTATACTCTTCATATTTACTGATAAAAATTCTTGATCCTTTCTGCACTTAATAGACCATAACTATTGTTCATCCTTTGAGAACTATAAGTGTTAAAAGAAGGAAAAAAAGTCTCATTTCAATCCATTGAACACGCTTTTGTGGTCTGGCGGTTTGATTTTGGATCAGCCTATATACTCTATACTTAAAACTCGATAAAAAGAGAGAGAAAGCAGTAAGACAATGATAAAAACGGTTGAAAAGAAATTTTAATTTGCTACGCAAATGAGAACATGTAAGGACAATTTCCAATAAAATCTTACCAAGAGGGCTCTTTTGAAAAAAACCCCCATTGAGTAGACAAAACGAAAAATAAAAATCTGAACATTTTTTTTTAAAATAATGAAATAAAAAATTGAGGACAAATAAATGATAAATATCTTATGACATTACACTGTGACTCGCAGTGACACTAAAGTCAGTTGCTTAAAATTATTTTAAGGAGGAAAAAAATAAAAAAAAAATCCCTGAAAGCTTTAAATAATACAGATTACCTCTGAAAGCTTCAGTGGTGCATTATGATAAGGGTTCCAATAAATTTAAGAACATTAACTCTACTGAAAACCTGTGCAAGATCTGATTTTCAGGATTACAAATAATAAATGAAATAGGAAATAAGTTATTTTAAAATATTAGATGAAATATTACGAATACGATCAATACAATGAGAATTCAGAGAACGAGGTTCAAACACAGCTGGAATTAAAGCTACACAAATCACAAACACTACTGTCTTATTGTTAAATTATTGTTACATCACACTTCAGCAGATGTTAAAATTGAAAATCATTCCATCGTAAAGGTACGGTATTTGAATAGCTTCAGGGCTGGTTGATCAGGGAATTCAATTCTTGGAATAAGAGAAAAGCTTGGAGAGCCTTTTCGGAGCTTAGACAGGATGACGGAAATTCTTGCCAGCGAATTTGGCAGCTGCTCCTAGTTCTTCCTCAATTCGGAGGATTTGGTTGTATTTGGCGAGACGCTCAGATCTGCAAGGAGCTCCAGTTTTAATCTGCAAAATTAGAATCAGCATTAGTGGATTGACAAGATGAGGAGAGAGATATATTTCCATCGCTGATAAAATCAGAGATTCTGACTGAACGTAAAATTGATGTGATCATATTTAAATGAGACCTTCCGCATGGAAAGGAATTCCTAAGGTTATAGGTGATCAAAAACTCAAAATTCAGATATTGGTACTACTTCTCAGAGGAAAGTTACACGAACACTTTGGCGGAGAGGACGCTCAAAATTTCAGATGAAAATCAGAGTTGTAATAATCAGAAGTGTGCTTTTCTACGAAACTTTCTTTGAAAACACACTTTTTGAAATTTTAATTTACAGCTCAAATTATACCCTTGGATTGAAATATAATTTGATCTCCCCTAATAATGGATTAAAATAAACCTGGCTACATTCACTTCATTCTTCAGGATGATAATTTGGATGACTTAAGCAGAGCCAGTCTGACCGCATTTCACAACAATTTATTGCACATTTTCACTGATTTCCTCTCAAGTTCTATGTTCTAAATAGAGAACTAAACGCCTTCACGCTTTTCTTGCACATTTTTCCTGGCTTTTAAGAATATCCTCACGAAATCTCAAGTTAGAATGTTGATTACTTTTGAGTTAACAGAATAAACACGAAAGGAAATCAGGCAGCGTCGAATGAAGTTAGGTTATTTCTGGTTTAAATTCGTCCTTTTTTTCTTTATGATGGCGATTTATTCTTCAGGTCAAATGCTTGATCTTTCCAAGCAAAACTCAACATTTTTTTCAACCCAACTTTTCTAAAATTGCCCACCTGAAAAATTTGCCTAGAAGCACTACGGTCCTTTTATCAGTAGACTATCACAAATTGGAGATAGCTCTTAGCACAAACTACCACACATTTCTTCATGTATCATAGCTTACTCTACTGAAGCTCTCTCTAAGGTTACTAATTTCATTTAACTTCCTTCAGTCACTCATACTGCTCTCTGCAGGTCGATTAGTAAAAGTTTAAACAGCTAGATAAGACATCGAAATGCCAAATATTGCATGGTAACTGTATATTTTATAAATTTTTAATTCAGCTATGTTCATTTCTTTTTGAATTTTTTGTCTCTTTTATTTAAGCTTTTGGTTTTTCTGTTTGTCTATGCTTTGGACTGTGCTTGTCTTGGCATGTCAACATAGCTTCAATAATCCGGCCACTGGTCGGCAGAGAGTTAATTTTAATCCGTCACCTACTTCAGTGGTTGGACACAAGGATTTCGAACACAGTTTACCTTCCTATCTAGCTCTCCTAGAAATGAACTTCGTATTTTTGCCTTGGTTTTTGTAGCAGTTTTTTCTTTTTTTGAGTGGCTGATGACACCTGGGAAATTTGATGAGACGTTCCGTGTTAGTCTTCGATTTTTGCTTTTCCCTGCATAAATTCCTTTTCTTTTCAGTTTCAATGAAAATAATTCTGCTTATTAAGCACCCATTCTCTTCTATTGTGCAAATCAAGTTGTTGAGAGTAGATCGTCACTTTCCGGTCAAATAATCACAAGCGCCGTGCGACATTTAAAAATTTCCGCCGCCATTTTATTTTTTTACGGAGAAATTGTTCAATGAGGCTTTCCGAAAAGTTCACTGAATTTTCTTTGCGCTGCTGATAAAATTCAGTGAGATTTTCAAACAGATTCAACCAACAATTTTCCTGTAAAAAATAAAATGTTGGCGAAAATTTTGAAACGTAGCATGGCTCTTAAGATACTTTGGCTGGAACGTGACAAGATATGTTTTTTGTCAATAATTTTTATCTAAGGAACACTACATTATAGTGGCCATTCAGTCATAAATTTTAAAATCCCTAATAAAACATAATCCTTGTGATTTTCGAGGGGTCTACTTAATAACAAACCATTTCTTTCGCTCTGGCAAAAACTTGCAACAGCAGCATTGGGTTACACAACTATATGATTGCTTTCAAAGGGAATAAATTGGTTACCTGTCCTGTGCTCAATCCAACGACCAAATCAGCGATGAAAGTATCTTCTGTTTCGCCTGACCTATGAGAGACCATGGTTCCCCAACCATTCTTCTTGGCCAGCAGATGAGCGGCGATAGATTCAGTTACAGAACCAATCTGGTTGACCTTGAGTAAAAGGCAGTTACATGCCTTCTTTTCAACTGCTGTTTGGATACGCTTGGGATTCGTCACAGTCAAATCATCTCCGACGATCTGTAAACAAAAATTTAAAATTTACCTCTTTTCTAAAAAATTCGAGAGAGTGAAAAGTGTTGGAGTCTGAAATTGCCGATAAATTTAAATAATCACAAAACCAAATTGTAGCACTTTCTGGAGATGGGAGCCGAAATCTGGGAATTGCAAGGAACCCACAGTTTAATCGGTCTTTCCACCTAATTTTCGTTCAAAAAATTAAATTTTTACTTACAGTTTGAGTTTCTAATAAATAAGAATACTGATTTATTTTTTCTTCTTTTTTTTCATATTTTGACTCTTCTTTGAAGACATTTAAGTCAAGTTGGACGATGAAATGTAGAAAGAGAGGAGATGCCAAATTCACAGATTCTGGGTCAGTTGGTTGTAACATTTTTCCGAGATTTTTTCCCCCTGATACATACCAGACTACATCCTCAAATCTTAGGTGACATGAATCATTTTTTGGACTTTTCTGGGGGGATACATCTAGAAGGAGAAGAAGTTTATTAGACTTGGCTAAATCTATGGCTGTAAAATTATTTGGCATCCATCTCTGCCCGGATACAACAAATCGATATCTGTATCCGGTGATGCAAAGAATTTATTTCGGCCCAACTCTAATTATTAATTATTTCTTCTGTAAAAAATTTATTTTTTCCCCATATCTTTCGATGAGATATTTTAGCTAAAGAAATTCAAACAAATTCTCGCAGTTTTTTATCTCATTTTTTCTCTGTTCTCTGTTAATTGTAATATATAAACAGACCTGGATATTGGTTTTGGCGGTGATGTTGCTCCAAGCTTCCCAATGGTCCTGGTCGAAGGGATCCTCGATGGAGACGATGGGGTATTCTTTGATGAAGTCTTCGTAGATGTTGGTCAGCTTGTCGCTGTTGATCCACTGGCTTTTGTCTGATTTTGGGTTTTTGAAGTCCAAATCGTACAAACCTTCCCTGTGGACAAGGTCAATGATTGAGAAAATTAGAGAAGGAACAGAATTATAATATATTCATCAAAGAGAACAGTTGTTTATGTGTAAACATAATAGTTGTGAGTACAGGTATCTATAATTTATACAAGCAAAAGCTAGTATTGTAACCTTGATACCTTAATATGTATTTATTTTAATTCCAGCTGCCAAGTACTGCCACAAAGTACTACACAAAACTCGAAGTACTATCTTAGAATACAAGAATTGAAAATACTCCGTTAACATTTCTTCAACATTTTGAGCGATACCTCATTAACAAAAAACTTTTAATAGACTTCTTGAAGTTGTTTTAAAAAAATTATTTTTTCAAAATAGTTAAATTTAGAGTACATTCGGCCAGAGCAAGGGCATTGAGCTACCAAAACTGGTTTAAAAATTATATTAGAGCAGGGTTTCTACTGTTTTTTGATTTTCTAATTTCTTGTATTTTCTCGGCATTTTCTCTCGAATGTTTGCAAAAAATAATTCTGCACTAAAACTCATCTGTTGCAGAGGTTTGACTTAACCACTCTGCCAAGACCATGGCCGCTGACAACTTAAAAAAACTACCTTTGGCTTGTAAAAATCTTGTCCAACTTTACTACCGCACAGTACTATTCAAAAAGTATTGGGCTTACCTACTATTGTTCAAATGGATACACTTTTTAAAAGCATGGTTCATGAAAATTTTGGACTGCTTCATGTAATCAAATAAATAGTAATTCTTTGACGTCTGAACAACTGCCATGAAAAATTGTTGATCAAAATATTTACCTATGAAACCTATGAATCTATGAATTATTTTTACACAGTGATTTGAACTTGAAAAAGAGAGAGAGAGAGAAAAAAAACAGGCAGTTTTTGGATTTAAATCACTTTATCAAGTAACTCTTTTCAATGACAGGGTGTCTGCAGATTTATGAAAGCCAATTTCAGGACTTTCTCAGGACCTTTTCAGAACTTTTTCAGGACCTTCGGAGTATTTTTGCCAAGTCAGGGTCTACAATCACTGCTAATTCTAATGGAAATCGAGTTCATCTTAATGTAAATTGCTGATGACTAAAGGAATCCATGATATGTATGTATAATCGGGGAAATTTTTTCTACTTGGCAATTACACTTTGACTCGCAAAAACCGTGAATTTTTAAATTTTTTGGGACCTCGAGTTAAATTTCCGGACTTATTCGTGACTTCAGGACCGGTCATGCAAATTCTGGACTATTACAGGACTTTCAGAACCTGTAGACACCCTAAATAAACTATTTAGAACTCTTTTCTTTTAAATTCCAGGGTTAACATCGAATTCCCTGGGTTTGCCCTGTTTTTCCAATGATAGAGACCCTGTTCAATACTCCCTTATTCACCAGTTTTCATCGAACACATGATACAAGCGCAACAAAAATCTTACTTGTAAAATTCAGATGCTGCAACATCCATTCCAATATCGACTTTACCGGTGTAGCCAGCCTTGTCAATAGCTTCAATTATCAACCTCAGACCTTCCTTGTTATCGAGGATGTTGGGCGCGAAACCTCCCTCATCACCTACAGCGGTAGCATCCAAACCAAATTTGGCGTTGATCACTTTCTTGAGATTGTGGTACACTTCAGCGCCAATTTTCATAGCTTCTGAGAATGAAGATGCACCTGCAGAAAAAAAGACATGTGTTAGCCATTGAATCGTTCAGTGTGTTTACTGGTACATTTCCACCTAAAATCCTCCCTCTTTAAATATCTTCTCTTTACTCTTTCCAGACTTCCCAAAAAATTCCTCTTCTCGAAGGTATCCTAAAATTTTTGTTTTTCCATTGCCTTCTCCTCACGTTGTCTTTACCTGACATACATTCTACACTCTGACATAGATATATTATCGCAAAATATGAAGAAATTTGGGTTTGGAAAATGAAAAGTGGGATTCTTTGAAAATGAACCAAAACATGCAAGATCTGATTCTGATTTTGCATAAACATGATGTAATGATTTATGTATAAAAATTGCGAAGGTACCTCCACAGTTTTATTTTTGAGTTAACCACAAAATGCTGGAATTTGCATGCCTTTGTAAGTAAAATCCATAAGTTTTCTAGGCTTCCATATTCGCCCTTCAAAATCCATGCTTCTTCAGAGTATGCCATAGACAGAGACACCCTGATGTTGATCAAGGATACTAACAGACATCCATTAAAATTTAACCCAAAATTTGCTGAACAAACCAGAAAACCATGCAGAAAAATTTAGACCATTTGCTGGTATCCAGCACCCTTTCCTCGAAGCCAAACTCTCTCATAGTTTCTTCTAAAATTCCCAATTTCTTGCAATACACGACGATATCTCCCTTTTACTGAAAATTTCTCAGGTATCTAAAAAGGGATAAACATTTTAAAAATTTACTAAAATTGCACATCATATCTTTTGTTTACCACCATCAATAGATCGAGAGATTTGGCTTAATTGCAACCGAGCTTTAGCTTAATAATTTCTGTTGATAAGAATTACCTGTTGGGAGGATCATGAACTCCTGCATGGCCAATTTGTTACCGGCATGCGAACCTCCGTTGATGACATTGAAAGCAGGGACTGGTAAAATGATGTTGTCATTGCCAGCGAGGTCAGCGATGTGCCTGGATAAAAGATAAGATTTGATTAGCTTCTGATACAAGAAAGGAATAAGGGGCATCATGAAATAGAGAACGTGCCAAAATTGGATTTGTTTCAGGAGAGAGAAAAATTACCTATCTTCCATATTAAATTACTCAGATGCTCAAAAGAATCTGGAGGAAGGCCCAAAAAGAACTTGGGAGGAATTCCAATTGGATACATTTAAATCAAAAGGAACTACTTACAATTATTGTGACATGAGCCCTGCCATGCATGAATTCTGCCGTGCTAAGCAAGAACGCCGTATGAGCATTCGAGAGTTGCCAAATTTCCTAAGATAAAATGTTTATTTTTGAAGAAATCTATGGATGTTTTTCCTTGAAATTTTCAGAAAATGTAGGTGAAATTGCAAAAACAATTATCTGAAAAATTGGAGGAAAAACGTTAAAATATTTTCCCGAATATTCGTGATTTATTTAAGGAAATTTGGCAACGCCTGAAGGCTCAAATGACATTTTTCCTTAGCACTGCAGTATTTAGATGGATCCCAAAGTTCATGTCAGGATGGATATCGACAGTGTAAGTTGGCAATCACATAACTCGGTTTGCGACGTCGCAGACTTCCTATCATACTTTATTATTTAAACGGAAGACTACCCACCAGCAATTCTTTAAAACTGCCGTAATTTTTCTTCTCTACGCGAAGAGAATTCTGCATAAACTTCAAGGAATGATGTCAATTTGTTCACATTTAAAAAATTAACATAGAGGCGGAGATTTTCAGACACCGCAAATGAGTTATGAGATTGCCGACTTACACCGTTGATATAGTTCCTTTTGATTTAATTAGTTCCAATTTGGGTGCCGAAAAACCAACTGCAAAAAACTTTCATAAGTGCCTTTTTCTTGGTAGGTATTCTTCTTTACGCCCTATGACTTTCAAAAAACACTTCCTTGCCATATTTGTGAAATAATTCTATGCAAGTCAAAATGTTCTTTAAAACATCATGTAAGCGTATCTAACTGGATAACTATCAATCGCAGTAAGTTTCCCCACTATAGAATAAATATTTCAGCTAGGTTGGCAATATTGAATAAAAACGATTTGAAAATACTTACTTGTACAGAGGAACTCCTTTCTTGGCAGCTCCAGCCTTAGCAACAGCCAGAGAAACACCAAGGATTGCATTAGCACCCAATTTTGATTTGTTTTCGGTGCCGTCCAACTTCAAAAGAAACTCATCAATCTCTTTTTGGTTTGTTACTTCCAGGTTCTGAAAAAATACGGAAGGTTTGAAGATGGTACAAGCATATTCATCTCTATGCTTTGAATTCGCGGGAATACTATTCTCATTGAGCGCAAGAAGAGAGGGAAATCTTCTCAAATTTCTACAGAAATTCAAGAGTGAATACTTAACTCTTGAATAAACAACAGAGGGCTTATGCAAAAAATCATGATGATTTCTGCGGGATGATCTTAATTCAAGATAAAAAAATGGACAGTCTTTACACCAAATAGAATTAAATTTAAAGTATGTCATTAAGTATTCAAGCCCTAAGCGGAAATGATTTTGAGAGAATAGAAAAAATACTTAGGAAGCTCTTCACTATAAAATCATCTTGCAAAAGCACTGATTAAATATTTTGAAGGTACAACATTCTTTAAATAGTGGACAATCCTATAAGTTAAAAAAAAAGTAACATTTCAAAACCCTTTTTAAAATATAGTTCTTAAATATTTAAAGTAAGAAGTCAGATGGTATTCCTTGGTTTTCTGAATGTGGCTCAAGTACCAAACTCATGGTCAGGAACAAAAAAAGAAAATGATGCTATCTTCAACAAAGAGCTGAAGAAAATTTCTTAGAGAGTCACTGTATTCAACTAAGCATTATGTAAACACTTTTCCATGTAAAAAACGAGAATCTAATTTATTTGTTGCTTAATTTGAAGGAATACTTGTATAATTACCGCTTTCAACAGTTCTGGGGCGATAATTTTGTTGACGTTTTCGACAGCTTTTGAGACTCCTTTACCCAAATAGGCGTTCTTGTTGTTATCACGCAACTCCAGGGCTTCATGGATACCAGTGCTGGCACCAGATGGAACAGCAGCACGGAACAAACCTAACTCAGTCACGACATCAACCTGTAGGACACATAAAATAAAATTTAAGAGGAGTTGAAAAATCTCTCGGACAAACGCAAAATCAAACGACCAGATGCATAAATGCATACTAAACATTTAGGAAAAACACTAAAAATGTGGTACACCCTGTTCATAAGGTCCTTCCTGCTATACGGTAGTAACAGTCCAAATAATTCAGCTATTAAGGGTAGGCTAGAGTGCTACTGGAGGATGAAATCCTTGTTTTAGAACGTGTTAACATTGGCAGGATGCACTGAATTGCAGAGATTTTACCAACCATTTGGTTTTATTTGTGGTAGAACTTACCTCAACAGTTGGGTTTCCACGGGAGTCGAAGATTTGGCGAGAGAAAACTTTTGAGATCGGCATGGTTGATTTGTGAAAAAAGTTGCGCAGGGTTCAAACTGACCTGGAACATTTTGAAAGAAGCAAAAATACTACAATTAGTTTAAATTGACGAGGAGTGGATCGTTACACCAACAAAACAGGAATGCAAGCAATACTCCATTTACTTAAGCCTGAGCAGGCGCAAGAAAACTTGGGGAAGCGCTAAACATGTAAGCCGAAAATATTATTTAGTCATTTTAATTATGTTGATTTCTCTGATTGGAACGTCAGTTCCTGATTTCTATTTCCTCAATTTGATTGAATACCCAAAGCGCCCCGTTTGCGTGCAACAACGCATGCAATGAGCGACACATTTACTTACCACAAGGAGACAAGACCGAAGGGCTTATTCAGTGGCTAGGTCCGGATGCAAATATTCGTGTTTCCGAGATGTCCGTGTTGCATACACAAAAAATTACGGGCGCTCTGGCTTTCTCAAGCACTACGTGCGGCTGCGGTTGCTCGGTTCTCATGGGTTTTCTAAATTGCATTTACAATCGTGTTTACCATGAAATCCTCGTAGTTTAAACGAGCCGTGTGACACCATGGCAGCGTTGCAAAATGGTGCGAACTGCGAAAATATTATCGGCAGTAATTTGCGAGATGGACGTCCGCAAAGCCTTTGAGGAAATGTTTTGGTGGAAAATTTGCACCATTTGCCAATGCTGCCGTGATGCAACACGGCTCATTCAAACTCTAAGTATTTCATGGTAGACACATTGTAAACGCAACTTAGAAAACCCCTGAGACCCCGACAACCGCACGAAGTGCTGAAGAAAGCCAGAGCGCCTGCAATTTCTGGGTATGCAACACGAACATCCGGAGAACACGAATAGTTGTATCCAGACCTCGCCGTTGAAAAAGCCGGAGTGCCTTCGATTTTTCCTCTTTTAATAACAAAATGTATCACTCATTGTATTCAAAATCGTTACACGAAGATAGGGCGGTTTGAGTAATTGATCGAATTGACAATAGGAAATAATTAAATTAACGCCTTAATTTTTCAGTAAAAAAATGGAGACTGTATTGTACACGCGACAATTAGATCACTTGACCTCCTTCCGAATCTTCTCATTTAATTTACCTACATAAAAACAGGTAAAAATCGTGTCCTGTCAATTATTTACTATTTTCTGCGTGTGACAGCGATGCCAAATGATGCAATTTTCAGGACAGTCGTCGGCAAAAACGAGCTGATTCGCAACCTATCGTGATTACTAGATAACAAGTTTTCTTCGATTTAAAATATTCCCGAGATTTTAAACATCTTGGACACTTAAAAAAACCTCGGCTTCTCTCAGACTTTTCGGTGTTTTTGGACATTGTTTCTGATAAAAATGATAATTACAAACAATTTGGAGCGCGAAGTATATTGAAAGTGAAAAAAACGCGATGTTTTGGCTGGAGGAGAAAATTTCTGCAGCAAAATTCCTTGTCATTTCTCGACTTGTAAGTGTTGGGAAAAATTCCTCGAGCAGAGCAATACGCTTCGGTGCTAAGTAAAAACACCGTTCAAGCATTCGAATTTTGCCAAATTTTCTCTCAAAAAATATTTATTTTTAAAGAAAGTTAAGAATATTTTTCCTTGAAACTTTCGGGCTCTTTAGATAAGATTAAGGACAAAATCCTCAGAATAATTGGAAGAGAAATATTTACAAATTTTCCTTAAAATTTGTGATTTGTGGAAGGAAATTTGGCAACGCCCGATGGCTTATACGGCGTTCTTCCATAGCAAGGCAGTACGTACCTGCTTCTCGACGTAACTGGATATTGATTAGGAACACAACGGATGTAAATTAATTGTTCGAGCATGATTATTGATTATTGATAAATTCTTAAATCCGAAGTGGAGTTATAATGGGTTAGTATTCCGTCGTGCTAAGGAAAAACGCCGTATGAACATTCGAGAGTTGCCAAATTTCCCAGAATAAAATGTGTATTTTTGAGGAATGTTATGCATATTTCCCCTTGAAATTCTCAGATGATATAGATCAAATTGCGTACAAAATTGTCCGAAAATTTGAAGGAAAAGTATTCACATATTCTCTTAAAAAATGTATTTTATCTACAGAAATTTGGCAACGCCTGAAGGTTTATACGGCGTTTTTCCTTAGTACGGCAGTATTATGGCCATCCGCTTTCTTTCATCGCACAATTCGGGAAGTAAAAAAGAACCTCACAATCATAATTACACCCTCCGTTACACAATCAATTTTGGCATCTGATTAAGCAACGGAGACTTAGCACTCAAATAACAATGAACAGATGATGCTGGAGATGAGTTTTCGGCAAATGAGAAACACCATGGCAAAAAAGCGACGGGATGGTAGCATTATACGATCAAGTTGATTACCCTATCATTTTTACGTTGCCGCTCTACAGCGACTCTGATAAAACTGATATCAAATCAGGAAGAGTTATACTAAAATGATGGGTGGGATTGGCTCCTTTCGCAAAGATTATTACGTCAATGTGTAAGTATGGGTATAAAAAAATGATTAAGTCCGCTAAATTAATCTGTTACAAGCCTTAAGCGCCCTTTGTTGGCAAAAAGTGCCACAAATGCCGAGTTTGGTAACGGCAAGCTGAGTTCTGAGTTTTATTTCGATGCAACTTGCCGCTAGCCTCGTTGGTTCATATCAAAGAAGGAAGAGCCAAATAGTAAAACCTCTCTTTCAATTTCTGAGGTTCGGAGGTAAATCATTCGACCTCTGATGATCTTGAGAGAATTCGAAATGATCTCAACGTTACCTATTTTTATCGCGCCTGGACAGCCGCGAAGCGCTTTTCGCCTTCAATTCGACCGGATAGGCAAAAACAGCTCCTACGCGTTAGAACAGTTGCCATGCCACTCAAAATATGAAACGAAGGAAAAAAGCAGGATATAAGAGATTTTGCATTGTGAACTCGAACACTTTTTTTTTGCCATACATAGGGTGATCCAAGGTGAACCCGCCTGAAGTTAAAATTTCAGTGCTCGGTGTCGGCGAAAAAAACTGGTCGGGAACGTTTGTTTCAAGAGGGTGCCGTGTTTTTTCTTCCGAGTGTCATTATTTATTTATTTATTTATTTATTTTTTTTTTCCCTACGCGAAAGTTAGAGAACTAACACGTTTGTCATCAAAGAAAACAACTAACAACGAATATCCAGTGAAAAAAGAGGTTGACATTTCGGCGCTTTCCAAAGCTGACCAATGCCGTAAATGGAGGCTAATACTGTCGTACATAGCAAGAACGCCGCACAGTGAATCGAGTCAATTGGAGAGGTCGGCCATAAAATTTTTTACTGGAACTGCAAATTTTGATGTTTATTTCGTCACATTCTAAAGTGTAAGGGGTGTTTCTGGCAGAAAATTTCACGAGGAAACCAATGGAGTCACTTTTAGAACCTCGAAGTTTTGTATAAAAGGAGTTAAAAGCGTTTAAAGTTTCCAAATTTTGTCCGACCTCTCCTAATGACTCGATCCATTGTGCGCCGTATGAGCCATCAGGCGTTGCCAAAAATCCATCAACAAATCAAGAAAAATAAAAGGAAATTGTGAATATTTTTCCTCCAATTTTTTTAAAGATTTCGTTCGTAATTTGATCTAAAATATCTGAAAATTTCAAAGACAAATACGAGTAACGATCCTATAATATACTTGTTTTATCCAGGGAATTTTGGCAAATCTCGAATGTTTATACGGCGTTTTTCCTTAGCACGGCAGAATAAGCGACTTCACGGCAGCGGCGTGTTACATTTTTCCTTCATTACGGACGAAAATTGATGACCTTGGACTTGACCGAAAACGTTGTTTGTGCGTCTTGACCCAGGTCAAACTCCCAGACGATAATGCTGGCTGCTGCATAGCCGAACGCACTCAGTGCATTGCTACGAAAAAACGGCGTGGGAACATTTGAATGTTGTCACATCCCTCTCTTCACAATTTTGTTTTTGTTTTTGAGGGGAACATAATATCAGACAGTGGGGACTTGATTATACGCGGTGATTGGGACTGGAGCTAGTAGCTACCGCGGATAATAAAAGATCGCGGATGAGCCGATACTAAGCTATGAGGTCTGGAAATGTAATCGAGAAGACTGTATTCTGAAAGACTATCAAAGTACTTGTCAAGTATTGAATTACTTGGAGAATATAATATCATACAGTGGAGACTTGATTATACGCGGTGATGGAACTGGAGCTAGTCGCTAACGCGGATAATAAAAGATCGCGGATGAGCCGACACTAAGCTATTAGGTCTGGAAATGCATTCTAGAAGACTATTAAAGTACTTGTCAAGTATTAAAATACTTGGGGAATATAATATCAGACAGTGGGGACTTGATTATACGCGGTGATTAGAACTGGAGCTAGTAGCTACCGCGGATAATAAAAGATCGCGGATGAGCCGACATCAAGCTATAAGGCCTGAAAATGTAATTGAGAAGACTGTATTCTGAAAGACTGTTAAAGCGCTTGTCAAAGATTAGACAGAAACGTAATAATTGGCTCAAAATGAACGAATTTTATCTTGAAAGATGTTATTTTGGCGAACATAATTTTTCGAGGAAAAGAGGGGTATAGATAAGGGCCGTTCTTGGGCACACTCAAGCTGCAGGGCCGCCACAGAATTTAAAAAATTAATTTCCTTGACATTTCCGTGACACACTTGGTGAAATTCCCTGACAATTGAATTTATGTCGGATGGGTATAAAGGCATAATTTGAAATAGTTCTAAGGCAAACTTTTTATTCGAAACGTCAAGCACATTTCAGAAAGCGATTAAAAGTGATTTAACAATTTTTCCTAGACAATTTCGTTATTATCCCTGACATTTCCAGGTTTCCCTTGTATTCCCTGACTGTGGCAACCTCGTTTAGCCTTCTACTCCGCGAAGAAAGCCACTGCGATGGGGAAAAAAAACCGCGGATATTGCTAATCGCGAATAGTAATCCGAGACTCCACCAGTGGCGAGGCGTGAATGCTCGATTCGATATCGATATTTCCCCATTTGAAGCTGTGGTAAAGAATCGATTATTGAGGAGTTCGTTGCGAACACCCTGCTTATCAGTCTTTTTCTAAAGGTTTAAATGGCAGATCAATCGATACATCGCAAAGCCACTGGACCCCACAATAATATTCTTTGAAATTTTTTGCTATTAGAGAACGAATTGCGGGTAAAATTCTCAGCAATATTGAAAGGAAAATATTCACGATTCTCCCGGAAAAGTGTTTTATCAAACAAAATTTGGCAACGTCTGAAGGGACACTGTTCTTTCTTAGTAAGGCGCGGCAGTAGCAGGGGAAATCATTTTGGGAATTGATTTAAGAGGAAACCAGCCGTACCGTTGTGTTTCTCGCAAAATTTTACATGAGAGAGAGAACCTACTTAAATCATAAATCCCTGACACCTAGAAGAACTCCATTCATGAAACTGCAATAGCGTCGAAGCATGCGCAAGTGTGCAAAAGTACTCTTAAAAAATTATGGAAGGCTCCTACGATTAAGCTTGCCTGCCAAGATGGTTCCTGAAATTTTACCCCTGGATTTGGAACTGCAGAAAATTTGAACAGGACTGTGAAAATATGAGATTCTCATACTCTGCGTTCGAGCCACCTTGATAGCCTTAAAAAATTCTGAAATATATTCTCTGTTTGAAGAGAATTCTACGAAGGATTCATGAATAATGTTTACTTATCGCCTTCGGAGGAAAGAACAATAGACGTGGAAATCTTGAAACATGACGATCGCATTGCATGGTTTCCTAGTGAAGTCATTGACATGTGAAACAAAATTATGACAGGTAGATTAGATGAATATCAACAGTGAAACTACCAGACCCCGTATCTTGTTTGCAGTATTTAAAAATCTCCGCTCCCATTTAATTTTTAAGGAGAAAAAATCACTCTCATTACTACTTGAAATTTTCACAGCGTTTTCTTTGCATAGAGAGGGAAAAACACGGAAGTTTTCAAAAATTTGACATTGCGTAGTTATCATTTTAAAAAATGAAGTATCACAGGAAGTTTACAACGTCGCAAACCGAAATACATGGTCTGGTAGTTTCATCGTTGATATGGGAGTAGTAACGAAAGCTTCAAATTGATGAAAACCTATGGAACAAGCACCGTAAAAGGGAGGGTTTGATATTATCTGGTAGAGGAGCTGAGATAGAGTTTCACCAACATACAATTCAGGGAATTTTGCAAGGGTAAGGAAGGAAAAATAATGACTCTGCCTAAGAATGAAGGGCTGAGTGAAAGTTGAGCTATGGGTAAGGCATTGCGAGAGGTCTATTAAACACAGGGCAAGATTACATCAGAAAGCATTGTGTTGAGGAAAAGATCCGAGTTGAACATAACTCTGCCAGGTACTGGCATTTATTTTTGTATTCATGCCATGATATATTCAGGTCAAATTTTTGAGGATCAGCCGCACACATCAGAATGCTGTGAATGATAGTGACCTCAACAGGAAGCAATTAGCATAGTAGGGGTGAGGCTAGGACAAACTATATCAGAGGCAGAAAGGACAGTCATAAGATAGAAATATGACCGGAGACTTCGGGACTTCACTTCGAATTCGTCGGCCGTTGTAATTATCCGGGCAGTTGGAAAACAAATTGAGAGAAATATGAAAATTGTAAATTAGGGAAAGGACATGAGTATGAAGAACACGTTACCGGCTCGGGCGAGAAGATAATGCAAGAATAAGGAAACGTACTTAAAAAACACTTAAAATAAGAGTTGAAGTAAACTTCAGGGAGGAGAAACACTCAAGGACTAGATTTTAACTTAAAATCACGAGAAATTTATGAAATTACTCACTTAATCTGGCCGATAGGTTAGGCGAAAAGGAAACACAACTGAACTAGCGTCAAATCGTCTTCTAAATGACCTTTTGAAAGTTCATTCCAAGTTGCGCAAATGAAAGAACACAAGGATAATATTCGACCAATCAGAGAAGAGATTACATTTACGCGCATCGAAAGTTTGATTTGGCAACATTGGGCAACTCGTCGAAGAGCGGGATATTGACGTTTTTTTGAAAAAGCGCTCTTGCTTCGGAGATGCGCATTTTAGTTTTAAGTGTGTAATTTTTAATAAATTCACGAGAAAAAAGGACCTTCTTATTCAACATTAATAATGTTGGTCGGAAACTTGAAGGGTACTTAAAAAAAGGTTCCGATTATTTAGTTTTGTCTTTTTTTTCTGACGACCTCTATTTGACCTTGCTAAATAAGTATTGATTAGGAGCTTCACAATGTGTACATACTTCCCTCCTCTGAAGATGCTGTCCTTGTTCACAAAGGTTTTCTCTTACATTCAATTTTCTGTTGGTTTTCAGCCTCGATTTAGCCGTGATCATTAAAAATAAGATTTTAGTGGTCTCTTGCGTAAGAGTAAAGAAGAACAATGTTGCAAATCTCTACTCATGTTTTATTGATACATAAAAGAACTGAAAATCCGTTTTTCTTAAAAATTTTTGAGACTTTTTCCCACTTTTTTAAAAATAATCCCAGAGGATTTTTAGTAAAATTTCTCTTTAATTTCCTTTTGTAAAATGAAACATAGGACCGAATTTTTAAATGTAGGTAGCAGCGGAGGTACGCATTTTTTAACTTTAGCCATCGATATCTTTGATTACATTGAAATTCCATCTTTCTTCTTTTAAATCCTTTTTTGAAGGGGAAAAAAAAATAATTCTGCAGTAGAAGTCCCCGTATTGATACCAACAGTATCAAATATTCTTCGGATAGAGAGTGCTCGAAAATCCCTATTTTGACTTTTTGCCACAGAAAACTTTTATTTTGTCGGTACGGGTGCATTTGTGGCTAAGCCAGAAAAATTTGTTTTTTACTATAAAAGTTAGACCAATTTTAATCTCAAGAGTTGGTCTCTGCAAAACAGTAAAAGCGATGCTCTGGGCTTTTATTAACTAATTTATCTCTTTAAACTACTTTGCAATGATTAAAATAGTGAATCAATTACAACATTAATTTACTTCAATTTCGATTCGGTGAATCTCTCTTGTTCTCTATTTCCAAAACCGATTTGAATTTGACTCACATTGAAGCTTGCATAGAAACTTGCTTGGAAACTGTTTTTTTTAAATTTTTCAAGAGCAGAGATTTTCGGAATATTGCATGAATCAAAACTAAAGGATTAAAGACAGAAAAAGAAAAACAAGAGAAGGCACTTACAAACATCAATGTTTTTATTTGTGAGACTTTAATTGGTAGGTACATTAGACTGGTACAAGACCAAAAAACCAGATGAATGTTCAAGACTTGGAGTGAGATACGATTTAAAAAGACTTATCAAAGTATAAAATAAAATAAACTAAGGACTGCTGAGAAGTTTCCTTTCAAAAAACTGATGGTAAAAAAGGAAATGATTGGCTGTTTATTCAAGCTGAATAATGTGAACGAATGAAGGGAGGTTTGGTTCTGATGGAGGGTAAAATTAAAACAATGAAAACGATAAGGTATAATTTTCAATATTGAGGCAATGGAGGATCCTGCAATTTTGGCGGATCCATTCGGAGAATTTTTCCACTAATACTCTTTCACCAGTTGTGTTCTGAGGGAAATCAGGGGAGTCAATGTTGGAATTAATGGCAAGTCTCAGAGTCTCTTCGAATTCTTGAGATTGTAACAACCCCTCCCTTTTTAAATTTACAGACACAGTTCTTTGAAGCGCCCGTACCACGCACAAACTGGAGGCTTCAAAGAGGCTCATCCATGGAATTGTTGAGGAGATTGTCGGCCTGACAATTTTTGAAGGTAACCGATGTGTTTTGGACACGTCGTAGATCATATCTTGAGATTTTCAAAGAATTTCGTGTAGGAATGACCAAGATATCAGAGGATTAGGGCCAGTTTGCAAACTCCAGTTGGTGTCTGGGACAGGCGCTTTAAATAGTATGGGACACAGAGAGGCGCATCTTTCACAATATCTGCTAATTTGCGCATGGGATGTCTGAGAGCTTCAGAATATCAATAGTGAATGACAAGTTTGTGCTGAAAAACAAAGCGGGTCAAATACAGTACGAACGAAGATGAGTACCTGAAAGGAGCACTATTGATACAGAAAATATTATTAATGATTAATATTTTGCTATCGTAAATCATCAGTAACTACCGCTCAGCCAGCTTGAGTTTGTTCCTCAACAATCATGCTTCTGTCTTGGTTGATGCGATCCATTTGATGATGCTTTATTTTAGAGGATACTTCTTGCAAGGTGTCATAGTAATGAGCCAGACGGTGTGTGAATTAAATACCAAATAATTTAAATACAGCTTGTCAACACCAGGCTCATTCTAAAAAGTGGGCTTCAGGGTAAATAAGTCTATCAATATTGGTTTGGTAGATTTCAAAAATAAAACTACATACTAAGGTGGTATTTGTTGGTATGCATGACTTTGAAATTTAATTTACGAATCTGAAGCAAAACGCAAGAATGCAATGCAATTATTCATTTGAATGTTTGGGGAAAAAGTGAAGAAAGGAGATGGAAAAAAAAGTAAAAGTAGGATTGATATAACAGACATTTTTAACAACGTACACATGATGGCTAAATGCGAAAAATTTGTATCTCGAGTGTAACGTTTGAATACCTCCAATAATGGTTAATTTTTTTCAGGGAACTCATCAAAAGGTTTCCTGCAATTTTGAGTGATTTTTTTTAGAATGACAAAAGAAAATTTACAAAAAATTCTAACAGTAACTTTTGGTCAGTTTCCTTCAAACAAATATATCATGACGGAGGACTTACAGATCGCAAACTGGGATACACATTTCTCAACTTTAGTCATCCAAATACGTAAGTGAATCGGGCAATCTTTCGTAAGAATGAAAAAAAAAAAGAAAAATTATTGGGCGATGAGATTTTTCAATGGGACATTCAAAATACAGTTTTCGTTGGTTTCCTAAGAATTGCATGGGGGCTTAGCTAACTTTTGCATTCATTAGATAAGGGGGGGGGGCGAAGAAAAGCATAACATTAATAACTTTTCTCGGTCAAGGCGATGATCAACTCTTAAAATGATGCCTCAAAATACACGATAAATTCAAGAGTAACAATTAAACAGGTATCCTATAATAAATAAAATATGTCCATCCATAACGTAAAACACTCGTAGACACAATGAAATACTTTTAAACAATTGACTAGCATAAACAAATTCATACAAAAATAATTATCGATGCTTTCAACTTCACGCCTCGTTTTTTTGCCTCATAAAGCTTGTATCGTTCGTCCTGTTTCTGTCGAAAAACGAAAGTGCAGATACTGCCTCTGTCAAGAAATTAAGATACTTAAAATTTAAAGAGAATACAACGTAGATGCATCCAACTTAAAACAAGAAAAATAGAATTAAACAGAAGGTAACAATATGCACCAAGGTCAACACATTGGAGTCTGCATTTCAAGCCGGACTTTGACAATAGGAATCAATTGAGATAAAAGCCCAGGTGAGGGATCATGACAGTTATTTATTTAAAAAAATATAAGCAATCAATTAGCAGAAAAAAATGAGGTAAGAAAATAAGTAAATTAAAAAAATGGAACTTTGATTTGAATCCAATACCTTTCCTTTAGGTTATATGTGAAGACCAGTATATATAATGGATTAATTCTGGAAATATGTAGCTTGAAAATTTGATTTTTCATTAAAAACTGAACATTGGCCTCATTTTTTAACACTTTTCTCCAAATGTCAAAAAAAAAAAAAATGGCAAAGTCGATTCATGCGTTTTCCGTGACGTACATCATTAGGATTGTTTTAATTTTTTTTCTTTCACAAATCTTCACATTTTATAATTGAATATCTTTATTCAGAAAGAGTCTAAATTGAGTTTTTTTGTCCAAAATGACATTTCTAATGAATTTTTTTTTTCAAAATCTTCATTCATTTTTTGAAACTTCTGAAACATTTTCAATGTTTGAATGCCATTCAGATTTTTATGGGCATTAAAAATTAGAAGGTAAAATGCTCTTCATCGATCTTTGACTGTTTTTTTTTGCACTTTCAAAATGTTCAATTTTCTAGTTGGGGACTTTCCAAAAAAGACATTCAAATTCCTATTACTATCAATGCTCAAAGTTTGGACGGTAACTTTCAAACATTTCCTGAAACTAACAATTGGACAATTTCATTTTGCTGATGCTTTTGATGGAATAAAAAAAATTAAAACAAAAATTCGATTATTAAATAGTGTTTGAACTGTGCAAAATCTAGCATAACCGGTTACAGGAAAAGTCTACATCCCTGAGATAACTTACGCCTATAAAGTGAGATTTCCTTCTTTGCAGTCAGTTCGGGTCGCCGGAAAAGTTGAGGGGGAAAGAGAACTCCAATGTGCTCAAAAAATCAACTAGTTCGGAAACAAATATCAAAAATAAATTCTGAAATGTAAAATTGTTGCTGAGAGAAAAATACTCATCTTAGGGAAAGGGTTGTGCAAAATTTAGCCATTTAAAATTACAAAATGCTATCAATTCTAAGTAGACTTAAACAAATTCGAATTTAAAAGAAAAGAAAATGGAGAGAAGAGATTTCAGAATCATTTTGAATTTATGTAGTGCAGATGTGTGGATGATATTCAGGATTAAACATATCTTTAATGTACTGTAGAAGTCCCTTCAGTTAAAAATTCTATGTGGCATTTTCCTAGATTTATGCTGGGAGCTGCCTCAATTTTTTTTTAATCTATTGAAGTAAGAGGCAAAACGCTAGGAACCACCAACAGGCAAACATTTTTTTAGGGACAAGTTTCTTTTTCTTCAAAGGATTCGGATTCAAACACACTCATTTCCATCAATAATGAAAAGTCAGGTTGTGCGCATAACACATCATTTTTTTGATTTAGGTCATTCTTGGTTCAAAAACCTTGTCATTTTGAGTTCAAAAGTCAAAAATTTGGCACAGACTGAATCATGTAATCGACTGACTATCTAAATTCGTTCAAGACAGCTGATTTGAAGACAGAAAGATGTCACTAAATCCTTACAAGTTCGATGACCTGCTTAACTCGGTACATTTCCCTGTTCAGATGTAAACTGAGGTATCGCAGTTTCACCATAGGTTTGTAATTTACTGGAACATTTTTTTGAGCCAAGGTGTCTGAAATTTTCTGATATACTCATTTCTTGAGATTTTTAAGAGCGCATTTCTGATGAAAACCTTGGATTACCTACCAATTATTCTCCTTCCTCTCAGAAAAAACTATGCTTATCTGCAGACTTCAGTGCTAAAGTATCCATTTTTTCATCTTCTGGCTAATTCTTGGCGCTGAGTAAAAACAGACTGCAAGGTAAAAGACAAAATGGTCTTAAAACCAAGCAGAAAATGAGGTAATTTCCCATCTTGAACTCTGATCCCCAGATAAACTTTTTATGGATCCCAGAATTTTCCAGTTTCTTAGGTTCTGGACACTATTAAGGAGACTCAGAAAACAGATTTTACACTCAAAAAAATCCTCTTCAACTTGGGTGAGGAAATTCTATCTTTATTCGTGAAGAAAAAAAGTCAGAGTTTGGCAACTAGAAGAAAGAGAGATGACAGAACTGATAGTCAGTCGCTCGAGCTAGTGTCCGTATATTACTGTGCGGAGACAGTTTTCCCAGTCAGTTGAGATTCCTAGGTCGCAGAAGTAGTTGTGGAGGTTGTGACAGTGACGGCTGTTGTCGCTGTCGTGGCTGGTAGAGCTCGCAGAATTGCTTGGACTTCTTCTGCGACGGCTGCGAGAACAAATTGGAATTGCTGTTTTGTTGCGACAGCTCCTGCACGCTGATCGCGGATGTGCTCCAAGGTTGCAGCAATGTCGATTTCCTTGGCTCCTTTCGCCATTCGATTCAATACCATGTCAAGGAGACAGTATGTTCCAGTTCTGCCAACTCCGTCGCTGTGAAAATGGTCAAATTTCAATAGGGGATGCAGAAACTAGAAAAGTACCAAAAATAAGAATACGTCATGGAGTCTAGAATTTTTATTTTTCCCATATCCTGACAATCCCCTGATTCTTCCTGATTTTCAAAAAAAAGTTCTCTGAAAAAACATAGGATTTCCACAGGTTTTCCTCTAGATTTTCTTAGGGGGAAAAAAATCTTTTTAGGCGGTGGGAATTTTTTATCTTTATCTGATTCTTTGAAGCCGAATTGACGAAAATACCAATTTTAAGAATAATCTGATTTCAGAAGGGAGAAAGAAGAAATTCCTGGTTTTTCAATTTCCTAACAAATTCCCTGATTTTCCCGGATATGTTTCATTCCCTTATGAATCTCAGTAATTTCCGGTTTATGAACCAGAGTTATGATTTGTTTTAAACCAGTTCAAGTGCTTACTACCTTGCTTGCCATGCTGGTTGTATGGACCAGCGTTGAAGGGTTCCAAAAGTCCACACCAGTTGTTTCATTGAATGCTCTCATGACCTCAGGGGTCATCGGAGCTGTGTATATGCTTACAGCTCTTGACTGGCATGGCTTCAGCAGAGAATGTACCGTTGAACTTTTGTTCTTTGTTTGTTTTTTCTTTTTTTGGGAAAGGTGAGACAATGCTGTGAAGAAAAAAATGGCCGGGTTTGGGAAATAAATATTAAATGAACAGAAAAAGAATTACCTGCAGTGGACAACAATTGGACAGGAACGACCACGGAATGATTTGTTCACTTTCCTGAAAAAGAAAGGAAAAAATTGAATAGGGAAAGAATATATATTTTTATACTTCTCGTAACTTGTTATTCACCTTGTAGCCTTTAAATTCAGGCCCAGTTCTATCCATCACCTTTGATAAAAATTTGACAAACCCCAAGTAGCAGTGATCGCGATGAATAGCGATTTTATCGATTGATTATCGCAATTATATTGGTGGCAATTTATCGCAATAATATCGAATAAAAAATTGCGATTTATGGCGATTAAATCGCTATGCATGGCAATTTTTTGTTCAAAAAAATCGCGATCAATTTTCGTCAATAAAATCGAGATTAAATCGCCATTTATCGCGATTTTTGTTGCGATAATATCGCGATTAATTGCCAGGCGATAAAATCGCGATTTTATTGCAACAAGATTGAGGATAATCGCTCAGATGTTGATGATCTTAGCGATTTTACCGCCGACAAAATCGCAACTAATCGCGATTTTTCCGTTGAAAATGCTGCTAGGGACTTGGTAAATTTTAAACAGGTCAAAACTTTTACCTTCTTGATGTCTAGCCGGAGTCAAAAATTCAGTCCGACTGGGAAATTTACTAAATCAGCCATAGGATACCGAAATTGAGATGTGATTGGTGCTCCTCAGCCTGTGATAAGATATACAATAATAAAACAATTTAAAAAGCGGGTAACAAGGCTAATTTTCATGAATAAAATCAAACTCGGCTGAAAACTCAGCCTCCCTCAGTTGGATAAAATAGCAAAAAGAAAAATGGTCAAAATCTAAAATAGTACGGTACCTAGCTGTGTTGTTATAACAATATTGTTCTCGCTTTGAAAGGTACAGCCAAGTACTATTTTAGATTTTTACCTTTTTTCTTTTTACTATTTTATCCAACTAAAGAAGGCTGAGTTTCCAGCCAAAACGTTTCGGTTTTATTTGTGAAAATTAGCCGTGTTCCCCGCTTTTTAAATTGTTTTACTATTGGATACCGAAATGCCGAAATTGGCATTTCAAGTTCTGTTTTGGCTGGAATAAGTTTGAAAAGCAAATATTTCTTTCAGCCTCACAAGCTTCCTCTCAGCTGTAAATTTTACTTACACTGGAGAGAAACTCTTATCTAAGGAATCGTTCTGAAATTTATGTTTCCTTTTAATTTTTAGAATCCAGAAAATCCTAAACTTGAGCGTGCTATAAAAAATGTATAACAGAGGAGTTTTTTTTTTTTTTTGAAGACATCTAATTTTACTTTCAACTCAGGAGCATACATCCATCTTGAACGGAAGGGGCATTTGGAGATTTTTTGCACTCAAAATGTTGGTTTATAGTTGGTTGATAAATTGACATAAAATCACAATTTTCTCAACAGGAAAAGAGAAAAGTGATGGTATGAAAAAAAACCAAAAAAACTACTTGAATAAAAGCTATAAAATCCAGTGAGATTGTTTAATATAGATGGTAGGTCTTACCTGCGGAATTCAAGGAGTGCTTTGGTATTGGATGGTACACCACCATCGGGCCACGAAAGGAAGTGGAACTGGGTTACTGTGCGTGTTTCACTTGTCTTCAGATTTTTCAAGTAAAAGCTACGTACTAAATAGTCATCGCACCAAATATGCTCACTCACCAGGTGCACCTGAAAAGTAATAGCACATCATCCTTATTAACTTTTGTCAAAATGAATTAATCTATAATTTAGAGCAAAAGCATTGTAATAGAGAATTTCCAGGTGTCTGAAATTTAATGCATTTCGTATTTGAGTGGAAGCTACAGAGTGAACTGAACTCGAAGATACCTTTGGTTCATGAATTGAACAATACCCCACTAGACAAGGGACAAGTTTCGGCATTCTGATGCATATTTCTTCACCAAAATTTCACTTAAAACACGATGCGCACAACGAAAATTACCGCAATCAACTCCTTCCAAAGATATTTAATGATTCTTGTTGCGTGAATTGAACCCACCCGCTCATGATAACTGAATGCTCTGCGTGATTCACATCGCGCGCTAAACGTTATCATGAATGTCTCTGCAATAAAAAAATCTGGCAACCTCAATCTTGATGCTTTGGCTCAGCTATAGCAAATTACTTATAGTTTGAACAACACGATTGATGCGATTTGACTCACGTGGAGCTTTGAGTTTCTTGTGAGCGGGTAGTTCAAATTCTTCGTAACCAATGTGAAATAAGAATGTTAATATCTCCGTTAGGAGTTGCTTTCAGTAATTTTCGTTGCGCAAATCATGTTCTATGTGAAATTCTGGTTAGGAAACATGTACCAGAATGCTTGAATTCGTACCTTGTCTAGTGGTCCATTATTGAAGAAGATAAGACAAAATTATCTATAATCTGCTAAAATACGTGTGTTTAAATGGAAAATGCTGCCAGATGATGTCACTAAGCGGTGCATTTTCTCACTTTTAAATATATTTTTACACTATTCCTCATAACAGAAAAAAATTATAAAAAATACTGTGAAATCAGCTCTTTAAGTACTTTCAGATGAAGCGATAAAAAATGTGCATGCAAATTCTCCATTAATATTGGCAAAAATGAGAGGTATTGATATGGGCTGCTTTTGGATCCACCGTGGCTAAAATTCAACTTGACGATGTTTTGCTTACATTTGTGGAATGCATTATGATATGACCATTTCTGGTCTTTTCTGTCCTCAACATGGGTCTAAAGGTCGATTTTGGCGATGTTGGTTTGTGGTCGAATGCTGTAAAATCAGCATTTTCCGCCAAAATCGGCTTTCAACCCAAGTTGACTACTCCTGTAAAGAGCGCATATATTTTTAAAATATAGTGTTTTTCGAAAACTCACCTCATAGATATGATATAATTCAGAGCCTTCTTCCGGCCAGTAACGATGAGACATCACTACCTCATTTTCGATAAGTCTTGTTAGCATGACAATAACAACGCAGCCCTGCTCCCAAACCATTTGCCACAAATCAGGGGCGGTATGCGGTAGAGGTCCTTGAGTTGCGATGTACGCTGGATTGCGCGGGTCATGATCAGTCTGTAATCGTAAGTTCAATTATTATTACTGGAATTGTGAAAGATACCAACAGATTCTTGAATGTCTGTCAAAACTGTCAAACTGTGGCCTAACTTTACAAAGCATTTATGTAATTTTTCATTTTTTTTTTGGCACCTATCATAAATTTTTCTAAATTGCAGAGAGTGTTCAAATGACTGGTGAAAATTAACACTTTTTTCCATGACTCGGGAGCATTTTTTTACTGGACCATTACTCCAAGTTTTTAAACTTAAACAGGCTGCTCCATGCAAGGAGAAAAGTTAGTGGAGCTTGAGTTGGAGCATAAATTTCAAAAGCGTTTAATGAATGTGGGGGAAATTATTGATTAAGGAACTTTGCGATTTTCAGGCTGAAATATTAGAAATTTTGCAAACCAAAAAAATGGTCCATTTTTGAGAAAGCTGGAACTTTTGATGAGTTTAATCTATATATTTAATATCCTAAGGCCTTTTTTGGCCTCCAACAGTTTGTGCTAATTCGATCTCGGAAACTACTGGACCGATTTTCCTCGGATTTGTTTTAAATGAAAGCTCTTAGGCTGTAGACGTGCCAACATCCCTTGGTTTTTCGATTTGCGCGACCAACGTTGCAAAATTTACCTCGATTTGATAACGACATATTTGCATTTTTGACGCTGGACAGTTTGTGCTAATTCGATCTCGGAAACTACTGGACCGATTTTCCTCGGATTTGTTTTAAATTAAAGCTCTTAGGCTGTAGACGTGCCAACATCCCTTGGTTTTTCGATTTGCGCGACCGACGTTGCAAAATTTACCTCGATTTGATAACGACATATTTGCGTTTATGACGCTGGACGAGTCATATGGTTGGGGGACCTCCCACCCTCTGATTTTCCGTTTCCCTCTCCACGTAAACCCATCCCTACCTGCTCACAACACGTGTCACCCTTCTACCCTAGCATGGGTCCTACGGCAGTTTCACTCATGTCGGGGGTCGGCTCATGTCTTCTTCCAAGAGAATTGGTGATTTATCTTCGCACCCTTTCGCACCGTTACATTTTCAAAAAGTGTTCTGATTTTCTTTTCCAGGAGTGTTATTTATTTTTCAAGGTTGTTTCTTTCTCTAAAAGTAGGTAATTTTTAGTTTCCTATTCTTTGTTTTTGAATTTATCATTTTGCCTCCAGGAAGTCCTCTAAGCACTGGTAGTAGCAAAATTTGGCTCGCGAAGCGAGCCAACAGTTACTCGCGGAGCGAGTAACTGTGGGTCCAGGGGGCTTGCCCCCGGCTAGCGGCGCAAGCGAGCGTAGCGAGCTGAAGCAGCTAGTAATCTTTAAATTTTAAAAACTTTGTTCCACCATAAATTCAGGAAATTACGAAGAGCAGGAAACTTACAATTGTTGAAGCATTAATATAGTCGGATCCAGAGAGGTTTGCTAGCTCGTTCAGAACAACGCGAGCGTGATCATAGGGTAGAGCATTCACGAACCGATTTTTCTTAGAATTCTCTGTCTGTAAGTGAAAAAATAAAATAAAAATTAAATCACTGGTGAAGGTATGAAGGTTTGCAGTGACATTCATCAAATGTAATTCAATAAATTCAGAATTAAACATGCATTTGAGGAATTGTTTGTAAAAACTCCGGAAGATGTCATTGGAAATTTCTACAGAGAAGGCTAATTACGAAACTTGACCTGCTTATACACTGTGAACAAGCATGTCTTTTAGAAAAATAAGGATATCCACAGAATTTCAGAGGAAAAATTTTTAATCTTTCTTTAGGTCTCTCCTAACTGTTAGGAAATTTTTTTTATTTCAGAAAAGACACTATTTAGTATTGAGCGATCATTATTAATGGGGTTGCCACGGAATTCTGTGAATGAATGCCCCTGAAATTTCCCTGATTCAAATTTTGGCAAAATTCCCTGACAATTGAGGATATGCCAGAAGATTAGAAAAACATTATTTGAAATAATTATCATTCAAAATTGGATGCGTGAAACGTGGAACCCCTTCTAGAAAGCAAATAGGGGTGTATCAACCCCTGATGGTCACATATTCATCCTTGTTGTCTCTTCATTAGTTATAGTTGAGACTGGCAGAACACCATCCTGCAGTCTTTATGCACCTGTCTTTAAGGATCGAAAAACCTACGGATAAAAAGCATACCTTTTGTGCTATTGCGACAGAGCAAGGCTCTGCTTCGTACGCGCACAGGCCAGCCCACTCCTTCTCTAACCGGTCCTTGTTCCTCAAATGGTCTTCCATGTAAGACTGAAAAAACGACAAAAAGCAAAAATTAATATTTTATTTAAGACTTTCAATGCATACATATACATCAAAACACTGAAGTAATAAAGATAACCTAATCTAGCTTAAAGTTTGCTGAAATTTTAACTTCACTTAATATAGGTACTCTTTAGCATCATCAGTTTGTAGTTACTTTTGACACAATTTTTGACTGTATTAAAACGTGAGATTAACACAGAGATTAAATGGAAAACATCTTAAAATCGAAAACTTTGGAGGATACAGAGCTTAATTGATCATTTTTTTGGTAAAAAAAAAAAATGATTTATTATGAATAGTCATCTCAGGTTTTGCCCTATAGCTGCAGTCAAAATTTAAGGGAGGGTCAGTGGTGTCAATTTTTTTTTCAATTCATTTCCTGAAAGTACAGGGTGAAGTAAGCTTCTAAGAATTTTTACAAATTAACACCAACCCTAGACGGCAGAGGAAATTTGCTTTGGAAATACAAAAGCTGGGACGTGTTTGAAACGATATTTTTTGACAGGCTCTGATAACGGAGCGAGGAGTTGGAAACAACTTTGCAGATTGGTTGAACTCAGCTCCAAGCATCGCCTTGATACGTCCACTCAAGTGTTGGATATTGATTGATCTAATTTTGATTCGGTACCATCTTCTTTCCTTAGAAATAATTTTTGGAACTTTAAAATGAACTATTCGGTTTTTCCCACATAATTTTGAGTAAAAAATACGATACTATCACCCTGCAAAAATTCCTTGTCACTGGTATGTTGTTTCATTTGAATATTCTGTTTCTATTTCTTTCACTGAATATTGTAATTGCAATAGTATTGAAAAAAATTCACCAAACAAAACTTGAAAAAGATCTTAACCATGAGATCTCAGTGGCAGTCTCAAGTAAAAAAATTTAGTTTTGACAGCATAAATAAAATGAAATAGGGCTAGAACAAAAGTTTAAGAACGCTAAATGCTAAAGAGCAAAAAATTAGAAAAGTAATTTTATTTTCCTCTTCTGTAATGATGGGAAATAAAATGTAATGATAATAAATATAAATAGCAGAATTATTTATAATTCAGAGATGGAAATTTAATATAAATTTAAATTTCAGAGTATTAGCATTTTGCATGACTTGTTTTGGCTAATTTAAGCGTTATACAGAGTAAAACAAAGATTTTAAATCCAGTTTTTCTATGAGATTCACATTTTTGCAAACTTTGAAAATGCGTTTTCGTATTAAAATTGAAAATTGAAATTCATACCAAAACCATGTGTCCTGTGGATATGTCCATGTTGGTTAGGGCAGGCTCTTCGCTCCTGTAAATTTAATAAAGAAGAAAAAAATGAACCATCAATCATTTAGGTAAAAGCAATTTTTACGCTCATTTAAATTTTTTTTGTAGCTATATTAATACTATAGTCGGTTAGCTGCCCGAAATCTCTCTGATCATTCAAAATATCAGAGCCCCAGATGGTAAAAATTTCTGAGTCACACTAATGAAAAAATCCAAGTTAGGGGTGTCATTCGTGAATAGGCAATGCTGAAAATTGGATTTTTTTACTCCCTCCCTCCCTCTTGTGATGCATAGCTATACACGGTGCAACACTAGTTACTAGATGTTTGTATTAATATGATTCGATGGACGCCATATTTTGTGTCAGAAAGGCATGCAATATATCGCATCCATTGGTTCCATTTTTTCAGCTACTCATCATTTTTCTCCAATTTTGCGATCGCAATTTTGTTGTCAGGAGACTAAAGCACTCACTTACCAATTTTAACAAAGAAATTCAACGTAATAAAGGCGTGGTTTTTTTGGAGAAAGAATATCGCATTTGAGTGCAGTTTCGATATCAGTATCGAATACAATGTTTTCTCTCTAAAAAAACCACGCCTTTAGTACGTTGAATTTCTTTGTTAAAATTGGTAAGAGTGTGCTTTGGTCTCCTAACAACAGAATTGCAATCTCAAAATTGACGAAAAATGACGAATAGCTGAAAAAATGGAACCAATGGATGCGATATATCGCATGCCGTTCTAACACAAAATATGGCGTCCATTGAATCAACTTAATACATGTTTGATCCATATGCTACAAATTATGTAAGCCATTGCATGATCTGAGAGGAATTGCAAAGCTTATACAATGTTACTACTAAAAGTGACTTGTTTGTTGATAATAGTAAAAGTAGAAAAAAAATTTCCTTACCATGATGAAGTGCTTGATCTTGACGACGGACTATTATCTGACTCCCGAGACAAGCTCGCTATTCGGGCTGTTGGTGAAGCGGCCACTGCTGTTTCTTGGCCCTGTTTTGCCATGCGAGCTCGACACAGGTCCTGGAATAAGTAAAACAATTGAGAGAGTTGAACAAAACAAAAGGAAACAAAAAATTGAGAGAGCATCACAATTTCAAGTGACAAGAAGATTAACTTGACTGTTCTCGTGAAAAGAGACCTTGACATACAGATGTAAATTTTTCAGAGGAGCAATTTTTGTCACAATCGAAATTCAGTTCTTGATAGAAAACTCTTTTAGTATCCTGAAAAATAAATTGTGAGAAACTTACAGTTAGTTAATCTTTGTGGTACCATAAGAGTCTACCAAAACGAGTCACACTTATTAAAAAAATTAGGCAAAAACATGGCCAAGTTGAATTAGTGTTTTCAAAATTGAATTCTTTAAATTTTAAATTCTCAACTACCATAACTACTAATTCATTTGCAAATTGTGGGCATTTTTAGAGCGAAATGTTGGTTTAAAGACCTCTTTAGACAGAGGTGTTATTATATCAAGTTAAAGTTTTGTGGCACTTTTATTTCAGTAAACCAAAATTTTAAAACGATTATGACTGATGAAATTTTACGTTTAAAAATTATTTGGAGTTCTCTTATTGATGACAATGACAAAATGGAATAGTCGCAAACTATTGCAAACTGAGATGGAAGTATGGGAGACTATGAAATGTAGGTATGCCTCTGTGCGCTACAGGCAGCGACCGAAGAGCTACAAAACAAGAGGCCCTACAATGGTAAACTGAATTTTGGCAGTGAAACTACCAGACCACGTACCTCATTTGCAATGTTTAAAAAATCTGCGTTCCCATTTTATTTTTTTGAAGAACAAATCAATTACATTCCTCAAAGTACTCAGGAAGTATTCTCTGTACAAAGAAGAAACATGACAGAAGTTTTCAAGCATTGACGTTCAATAGTTTCCCATTTAAAAAATTAAGTATGATAGGAAGTCTGCAATGTCATAGACTGAGATATGTGATCTGGTGGTTTCACTAAGGATTTCTGATTTAACTTACTTGGTATTCTTTGCTAGCTTCAGAGTCATGTGTATTGAGAGCGTCTAATTTGTCCTGAAATCGAGCATGCTTCTTGAGCAGGATGATAATGATACCGATGATGACAAGAGAGAACCCGATCCCTCCAAGGAGGAACGCCAATGCAACAAGCATGTCGTCGTTTTCATTCACAAGACTCACAACAGTTGGGTACTTGGTCTGAAAACAAAAGAGTGGTATTATGAAGGATCAAAAAGACAAAACAACATAAATTAATCTGAAATAATAAACATTTTTTTCAATTGACATCCAAAATCGACAAAAATTGAAAATGTAGGAGAAATGAGTACCTTTCTTTGGTAAAAAAATGTTTGAAGTTTAAATTCAAAAATACAATCGTAACTCTTTTGAACCTTTCCTGGAATAACATTTCACCCAAACAACGGTCATTTTTACAAGTCCCTACTGGCAATTTCTTGTTAAAGTGTTGCTCAAAATAGCATCTTCCTGGAAACAACCTTCCCATTTTAAATCTCATCCAAAAACGTTTTAACGAGATATTACTGAGGCATGTTGCTTCCAAAAGTGATGAGTGTACGCCCAACCAAAAATCACTGACTCTGCCTAAATGAAGCATGCATCAAACTGCAATCAGTTCATTCAAGAAGAGAAGAGGTTAAAGTCCCTATGAAGAGAGGAAGTAAAAACTGTTAATTTAATCTTACCTTATTCCCGATTCCAACTGCAACTACGTCCACATCAAAGTCGCGTTTAAGCTGTGGCTTTATGTGTTCTGCAAAAATAATAAGAAAAGTGAGACAAAGTAACAGGGGAATGGCCATTGGTTTTCCTAAGATTGTGAATTCCAGCTGTTTGAGTTAATTCAGCATAAAGAGAGTCGCAATAATATGAACATTATAAAACTATTTTGTAGAAAAAAAGAGAAAAAGAAAGAAAGAGAAAAAACAAATTAAACTCAAGACGATCCATTCATCAGGTATTGCAGAGTAAATTTTTTTAACAAAATTGTTCAAAATAATTCTAAATGTACTGTAAGGCTGATAACTGCGCAATATTTATTTTCACTTTATTCAATTCTATCAATATTTATTGAATGAATCAAAATTTTACAAAATTCAAGACTTGGTTGTAAAGTTCTTACGAATAAATATTAAAGTAAATAAGCGAAAGCAAAGTTAATTTTGATTCGCGAATGGAAAATAATGCAAAACAATATAGCACGTGCAAGCAGCTTGTAGCGACTATTTTCCACGTACAAGGAGATTATGTGTATGTCATTGAAAGTGAGATTCAATGTATACTTTAAAACTCTTAAATTTTAAGGTAGTGTAAAATTTACCTCATGGTGCAAAAAAAATGGAAAAAGAGAGAGAGATTTCCTCAGAGAAAAAGAAATTTTGAAATGAGAACTTACCGATTCTCTCCGCCACGTCACTTGCGTTCAATTTCAGTAAGTCCGAATCAATTTTGAATGATATTTGATTCTCACTGACTCTGTAAAAATACAGGAAAAAATTTTGTCAAATGATCGTACAGCTTCTTTCATAGAAAAATCCCCCTCTTTCCCCAAAAAAATAGACCAAAGAGGAGTTAAAAATAGATTTTTGGAAAAAATTAATTTTATGAACAAGGATGCTCTTTTTTTTCACTCTTTTTTTTTTCTTTTTTAATTTTACACAGATTTCCTGTCATTGAAAAAGCATTGAAAGAAAATGACTCATATTTCTCTGTCCATGACATAATTGCTCAAAAGATAATACAAAACGGATTCAATCAAGGATTTGTAGGTTTGGATACACACAGAGGAACTGCAGGAACACATACTCTGTTTGCAGGGCTTGAAAATCTCCGCTCAAACTTTATTTTATCAAAAGAGAACAAACCAATACTATTGCTTGAAATTTTCACAGATAATTCCGCACACAGAGAAGAAAAATCAGGGGGATTTTCAAGAAAATATGTTTGATATTTTCAATTTAAAAAATAAAGTATGACATGATACCGCCAAGATACCAATATTGGTGTTGCTTTACCATCAATAAGTTCAGTTTATCTACTTAGATATTTTGAGTACATAATACAAGGCCAGAAAAAGAATACAGCATAGGTTATGAGAGATTCAGCACTGGTTAGGTAACTTTTTCGTATTTTAAGATGAAATTCTATAGAGCCTTTGAAGCATGATAAGCTTGAAAATAAGGATTGTGAGCGTTCCGATTTTTTAAAAATTGAGGCTATAAAATGGATTACTTTAACATTTCTAGATATGGCATAGCCACTTCAGCAGATTTTCGGACAAGCTTTGGTTCAAATTCAATAATCACTACCTGACAAAGGCAGTCATGAAATCTGACGAGATCGATGGTAAAATTAGTTTTTTGTCCCCTTTAATTCGAGAGAAGAATGATTCACGGCTACTTATTTTTTTAAAAGACAAATACACTTCTAATATGATCTAATTGACTTCATCTGGGAAAATGAACTTTAAATTAGAGCAAACAGAGAAATTTGAAGACTTACTGAAGATGAGAGAAAGCTCTCGGAGATAAGCGCAAAAGTTTGATAATTTTTTTGAGGATCCTTTCCCCAATTTTCCAATGTCGAATGCTAGAAATAAAAAAATTCATACGATGAAATAAAAGGCCAAACATGAATTATTACAGGGATGAATATTTTGCCATTGTATGTTAAATATAGTGAAGAACTGCTATTTTCATGATGGAGGGAGAGAAGGCTCAATCAAGCACATCTTTCCCTTAGAGCAATATTGTGACTAAGCTTGGCTTGATTTTTGCAACTTCCTGGTCAGAGACAGAAAATCAGGACAACTACACTGCCAAGCTAAAGAAAAATGTTGTATGAACATTTGAGAGTTGCCAAATTTCCTACGATAAAATTTGTATTTCTGAAGAAAGTAATGAATATTTTTCCTTGAAATTTCTGACACTTTAGATCAACACATTAACCTAAACACATTAAAAGTGTTAACAATTAACATTCGTCAATTAGCAAAAATACCAATGCGTCAATTGCATAATCTAGTTTCAATTTTATCTGTGTTGAAAATATTTGTGAGAATCTGGTTTTGGAGTTGATTTCCTAACATCCCCGAGGGTGAATCGTTTTCACCAAAAGATTTAGAAGAGAAAACATGCGAAGTTTCTTCACAGTTCAAACCTTGCCTGGTGGATCATTTGTATTGTGCATTAAACAGAACTTTTTTAATGTAAGAATATCAACATGATTAAGAAAATGAATACTGGCGCAAACAAAGGGACTTGGAGATTTATCTAATAATAATAATTACCAAACAAATTAACTTTAAACTTTCCGTTCAGGATTAATTTGACTCATACAGATTGTTGAAGTGTACACTTATTTATAAAAATTAGGAAAATACTCTTCGAGTGCTGAATTTTTTTTGGATGATTTAATTTTGTCTCAACGAAATTGGATTGCTGTACATTATGTTACAAATTTTAAGTACTTAGAGATAATATTGAAGAATATTCACCTGTTTTTGAATTCCACAAAAGTGTAAGATGGATCTACAGCATCATAAGGATCTAAGTCTTCGTCCGCTGGATTTTTTCCGCTATTAGAATTTTTGGCCTCTGTTGTCTGTAACAGAGGATTTGATATTTACTACGGGAATCTTGAGTTGAATAGGAAAATGAAAACTTAAGGTCGAGTTACACGATCAAATGTGTGCAGTGCCTCAGATTGCAAAATCGGGAATTTTCTGCAGTTCTGATAAAATATTCAGAACAAAACATTTCACATACAGGTTTGAAATAAAATAAAGATTTTTCTTCTTTTTTTTCGCAGAAAAATTGAGTCCATCAAATTGATTTCTGCAAGAAAGGCATCAATCCATTTCAAACTTGCTTCAGACATCGATTTGCTTGGTGTAAATTAGGAGATAAATATTAAACATTTTCCAGTCTTACCTGCTTTTTAACTGGAAAAACGCATCTTGCGTGCTGTTATGATAAAGATGAAAAAGTATACCGAAACATGCATATTGTTGAATATTCAACAATATGCGTGTTTCGGTATACTTTTTCATCTTTATTATACTTTTTCTTCACATTTTTGTACCTATCATACTAAATTTTTTTCTTCAGGTAACAAATAAATGAATGAACAAAATGACCCAGAGTATTCGGAAATTGATTTATGTCTTTCTACAGTATCTACAGTCATAGGTTTTTTGAGAGGGTTTTAAACTCTCGCTCCTGATAAAAGACAGAGAATGCCCCTACAAATTGTATTCAATAGGAAATAAGAAGGTAAAATTTGCCAAATGGACTACTTTTTGCAATTAGGAACCAAAATTTCTGACGCAGTTTAGAAACAACGTATGTACCATTACTCCTTATATACATACGTGTTTATACAGATAAGCCAGAAATTGTAGTTCCTCATTGCAAAATGAAGTCCAAATGACCTTCGGCAATTGCTTATATTGACGAAGGAGAGTCACAAAGCATGTGAATGCTTTATAATAGTTCCACTTTTTTTAACTATATTTGCACCTCAAAACTTTTTTTCGGCTGATGGAATGATCAGTGACAAATTGTATATAAATAAAAGAGAAGAAGGAATAAAATTATTAAAACTTACTTTAACATTTGTGCTGGCTTGATGCATGGGCAAAGCATATTCTGCATGATTGGATGAGCGATCTAGGTAACAAAAAGTAGCAAGTTATTACTGCTTATTAGACCAACCATTTTAATCAAGATTGTACTAGTATTTATTGCTAAAAATTAAATTTTTTTGGATTTATTTGCTACCATAATATTTGAGCCAATGCTTAAATTGATCAGTGCTTTCAAAAACTTTTTTCAACATATTTTCATGAATTATTCAATCTCAGTGATCAGGCTTCATTGCGCTTTGATTTAAATTTCAATACTGACTTAAGAAAAATGTCATCTTTGATTACGGAACTGCAATGTAAAAAGGTATTCTGTATGAGTCGAGTAAGAGAAGGGACAACCATATCTAATGGCAAAAGAGCTATCCAGATTTCAGGAATATTTATGGACCAGACAGTGATGACTTTAAGTAGAATTTTTATTTATTCATTTGCGTATGCATATTCAATTTAAAAAAAAAAAGGCTGTGCTTTTTTCCAGATAAAAGTGTACAACAAAGTTGACTAAACTTGGCTCAGACAGCTGATGTCACGAGTTCGATCCAATACTTTATTCAGAGCCCTACATTGGTAAAAACTCAAAAATAGAGGGAACTCTTACCAAGCATCTGAGAGCCATAATGATCCGAGTTAAAGTCTTGATGCGCTTTTGAGTCCAAATTTTTCTGTGCAAAAACATTAAAAAACAATTTTCAGTAAGGATATAAATTGGCTTCTATGAAGGATAGAAAAGACAAAACAATTGACCTATTTATAAGATAATTAGAGTCTGCTTAATTTAAAAATATGCAAAAAGTAATTTTTTTGAATTGCAATTTTTTTAGAGAGCAGGAATCACTGCTTTCCATTAGATGTTCGAAGAGGTAGAAATTTTTGGACTTGGGTAAAAGAATTCAGAAAAAATGTTAAATGCATCCCTGGTTCCAAGTTATTGTGAGCTCTTTACTCATTGTAAAAAGGTTTTAGAGGTTGCTGTTTCTCTTGCCAGGAATAAGAAAAGAAGAGCAATTCTGAAAACTGATTCAGATTGGTGTGTCTACATTATCTGACCATTTAAAAACTCTGTTTTTACTTGAAAACAAGCAAAAAAAAGAGCAACGCACTTTTTATTCTATGGACAGTCAAGTAAACATAACTGAGAACATTTCACAAAAACGTTATAAGAGGATTACTTAAAAACAAGGAATACAAATTATTGTGATAAAATTTTGCACACATTTTTTAAGAAATACTCATCACTAGTCATCAGTTAGTAACGTCATTATTTAAATTTGTAAAATATTGATGCATACCTGCTGTACAAAGTTATTTTGTGGAAACAGTGGTCCTGGTTTTTTGACGTCTAACCGTTCTCTACGTTTGAAAGTCCAACCAGTTTCTGGGTCAAAACTCTCGATGTAATCACTGTCGCCCTCCACGTCTGCATAGAGAAACACACAAAAAGTACCGTGATAAAAAGGGATTATTTTAAAAAGAAGAATTGAGAGCTTGAGTACAAACAGAGCAGGCAGAGGTGAAAAATAGCCTCAGGCATCTGAAATTCATGCAGAGAAAATTTTCTGAGCTTTCATTTGAAACGAATTATGCCATTTTCGGTTTACACCTGTTCCTTAGTTTACCTGTCAGTAAACTAAGGAACAAAGCGACTTGTTCTTACTTTAGGGCTTTCGCTGATACTGTAGATAATTGAGACTTTTAGCTCAGTACTTCTTGCCTCGCAAGTGATTGCAAAAATTTTGCCACAACGTTCTTTTTGTCACTAACAAAAATAACACTGTGTCAACGTTTTTGCAACCCTTTTGGCAACCACTCACCAGGCAGTTTTAAGGTAGTTTTTTGTCTTCTACGTCTCTGAATGGAAATTTCCTTAACAACGTGTACGAAAATAAATCATCTTACAAAATCAAAACCTTTCTTGGGACTTGAAAGGAAATGTAACGTATAAAAAAAATAAAAATAAAATATAATACAAATGATTATGAGTTTCTTTAGTACTTTTCTAACACAAAAGGCCAACATTTCCTTTCATCATTACGATACAATTTGAAGGTGTGTTTTGGTCATGCTACGTGATAAATTGTATTCATACATATTTAAAAAGAAGAAAAAAAGAGAGGATAAGCTAAGCTACTAAGCAACAGTCTACCTTTGAGGCAAATTTTTAACGTAAAGAACTGAAAAAACAGTAGAAAAATAAAAATATATTGAAAGCAAGGGGTATGAAAGGGACGCTACAAAAATTCAAGCATTTGACGGTGAAACTAGCTACTACTGAATCTATATCTCTGCTCTTGTTATTTTGAGAAAAAGATTAAAAAGAAAGCAAGAAAAATGTGGCTTGAAGGTAAAAGAGTGAGTTAAGACCAAAATTGATACTGAATATTCTGCTACACTTAATTCAGGGCCATTTAATTTAATTTATTTTTTTGTTTATAGATCATCACTCCCGCTTTAAAATATCTTGAGATGATGACACTGTTTATGCAGACTTGAAAAATATGTTTGAGTGCATTCACAAGATATTTTCTCGACTCTGTAATATTTTTTTAGTGTTAACTATGCACTTTAAAGTTTGGATAAAAAAAGAAGAGGGATACCTACCATTGATTCTTTGAAAATTTAAACTTTCGTAAGAGAATTATAATCAACACAGAGGTACTTAGGAGACAATTAATTTCTCGTCAGATTTGGTTATGTTCTTAATCTGAATTGATTACAAAAAATTGATATGAACACATTGATATGAAATTGATACAAAACTCACAGGCTTGGATGACTTTCTCAAATGGCTCCTAAAGGGGCTTTGACATTTTTTACAGATATTTGAGGTATATCCAAGTATGGTTTGCTAATTTTTCAGGATATAAATATTCTTAACAAAAAAGTAGGGGAAAAAATAAATTATCTTAAAGTATTTTCAAATATCTGCATGGACCATCTTTCCTCTCTTTCTAGCCTCTTGCCATCTTCTTTGAATGAGCAGAAATTAAATTGCAAGACTACAGATCATTCATGCCACGTAGAACAGAGCCTCACCACTTGATTTTTCCGGGATGTAGACAACACCACCTTCCGTGTAGCCACTATCTACTTGGCTTTTGGGGCCTAACACAGGTATGAGGACGTTTTGATTGCGTCCAAGAGAAAGGACATCGTTCTTGTCGCTATATGAGTCTTTTGTTTCGAAGCCTAACCGAAATTTTTCAGGAGTATTGAAATCTTGGTTGAAAAGTGCTGTTGATACTAGATCATCATTATAGTCGTTGGAATAGAAATTAGGGAATTGGTTTTCAAATCCTGCCGCTTTTGGATGCTGAAAAAGCGTAGTCAGATCATTTGGATTAAAGTGTTGATTGCTGTAAACATTAGGTGTCTTATCATACGTAGCTAGCCTCTCGTTTTGAGTGCCTGAAAAATAGCCACAAATGTAAAGCGATAAGACAGGTAGAAACCAAATGATTAAAAAAAGAGGAACTTAAATGTTACTCAAGGAACAAAAATCTTTCAAATGCACTGCCTAGCCAAGAAAGAGCACAGTAGGTAGGGGAAAAATAGGCTTTTACCATATGTTGTTTCATTTTCAATTCTCTTTGTTCTACACGTTAAGAGAAATAATATCATATCAAATTACAACATCGATTGATAACTAAACGAGTGAAAACGAAAATAAACATAAAACCAGTCTACATGATGCTACGCAATCGGGCTATGGTTAGAGTCGATTTCCTCTGAAACAGACAAAGCCTATTCTTCATTTACGCTATACTCTTCCTTAGCAGGGAAGTAAAGTGATTGCGGAAATTTCACACAAAGCTTGCAAAACACACGCCCTACTCCTGATCCTGCATTAAAAAACTTACTGCTTTTCCTCCAGCAAAATTTATTTTCTCCTTTTCTGAAAGAGATGATTTTCTTTATTGAGGAGATAGGTGTAAGAAAGTCCAAATCCTAAAAGTCTTGTTTGGAGATAATGGCTTTCAAAGTTTCATTGGATCATTTTTCATTGTTAAAAAAGGTAAATAGTTATGACGCTGAAAGAAGGATGTAATGTTTAATTTTTCATGTGCGGTACCTCCAGAACTTAGATAAAGTTTGAGAAATGAGCGAAATACAAAAATAATAAAATGGACTTTCGGCACGATATGACTTCCATTTCAGGAGAAAAGTACTTTACAATACTATTTACTAGAGTAAATCCTAAAACAAAATATAGCATGTAGAGTTTTTCATGATGAAAAACAACTGATTGAAAAATTAAGCAGTCCTCTTTCCAAAAATTAAAATCAACAGCAGAGTTAAGAAAAAAATACAGCTTTTGGACTCTTCATGAAGAGAAAGGTGAAACGTAGAGTAAAGTAACTTCCCAATGCAAAAGCTAAGTTGCTCTGATCCAAGAGATGGCGAATACTAAAGATCTCAAACCTCACTAAATTTTCAACTAAAGAGATAACCAATTCTCAAAATGTTCTGGGTACGTAGAATCAGAAAAGTCAATCTCTCTAAAAAGTCTTCATGCACCTACCTCCTCTTTTAAGTTGATTGAGAAGGGAACATTAAGTAAGGATGAAAGCAGGATGAATTTTTAAATTTTGAACGTGGGAGTAATGTTAAAGTGCTACAACTATGATTAGCCAGGTTGGGTTTTTTGTCGGAATCGGTGGAAAAGTTATTACCTGCATAGACTGGAGAGTCATCTTCAGGCCATTTATACTTCAAGGGATCTGACTTCTTTCGGAAATGTCTTGGTACTGAGTCTAGATTAGGGCGAAGCTGATCATCCCTAAATTTGGCTTTCAAAGCTAAAAGCAAAACCATTAAATTTTACGATTAATATTCATGAGAAGCGTTATCAAGGGTTATTCTAGTGCAACATGGTGAGCAATTGAGCACAATCATATTATACATTAGTAAATAGCAAAAAAAGAACACATAATTGGACCGATCTGGGAAGATTGCTTTAGAACGTCATTTTCAAGGTCAGAAGTAACGGTTGACATAAATTTCAAACATTCCAAAAATGCTAGTTCTTGTGATTTACAGCAAATATAACACATGGCGATTTGAAGACATTTGTGATGGTGATAGATGGTGACCTCTTTTGCTACTCGACTTGGAAAATTTCAGCAGAAAAGACAGATATTGACAAAGTGGGGTTTCAAAAAAATTAAGAGGAAATTAACCTGCACGCTAGGAGGAAAACATACATGTAAACAGAAAGCAGCCTTAACTTAGATCTTTCTGCATCTAATCAAAATTAGTACAAAATTTGACATTTTTATCTTTTCTGGAAAAAAGATACGACCCAAGATAAGCAAGAATTGTGGTGGAGTATTTTCTGCTTCTCTTACGAAAATCCACCATCTGAAAAAGTTTTTATACAGCCATTCGGTTCTCTATTTGAATGTTCCATAAAGATACTTATGAATTAACGTCATCTATGATTTATTGAGAGATATACAGAGATACCATTTGATGAAAACTTGGCACAAAAGTTGCTCATTAAGACTCCTGTGCTTTGGAAGAACCTCATAAGAGCCTTCATACATTGTCAAATTTCCTTAGATGCAACACACATTTTCGGAAAACTTATAAATATTTTCTGTGCAATTTTTCGGAAAGTTTTCATCCCGATGTGATTTAAAATATCTGAGAATTTTAAGAAGAAATATGGGAATTTGATGAGCAAATGTTCAAACAGCAATTTTTCTTAGCAAACGCAAGAGTATGAGAGGTTCGTTGGAAATTAAGCAAATACAAACGACATTTTAGCTCTGAATATTAAGATGAAGTTACCTTCGAAAGGTTGTCGATCAAGCACCTCTGAGGGTGGTGGTGCATAAATTTCATCGGCAAAATCAGCGTGAGGATTTTCATCGCTGGGAGTATACTTGATAAACGCAACATTGCTTGGGTCTCCTGGAAGCTGAAAAAGACAAAAAATGACTTTTATAAGAGGACACGTACATAACACAGGAAAAAAAAAAACTACGTAAATTAAGTGCCTCCTTAGACCGTAAAAGCCGATGCTATCATGTTCCGATGAATTGATGGGTGAGCTATTTATGAAAATTCTGCTATGGCAAAGTCATTCAAAACACTTTAGATTGGTACAAAGTTGACTAAGCTGCAGTTCAATTTCAGGATCAAATTGTGTTGAATGAGATGAAAAAGAGGAAAACAATAATAACAAAGTGGTAGGTATTCATCAAAACAATGCAGAATGCAACTGCATTGATAATGACTGTGCCAATTGATAACTTTTTTATTAAAATACTGGTGGTCGAGTGTACATCAACAAAGACAGTACTGATATATATCAAAATGAGTTTGAGCTAAAAAATTGAACCATGACATTGGAGAGTCAAAGTTAATGGCAGTCCTGGGGGCAATGGTTTTATGAGCCCTAGAGGCTTTCTTCACCCAGTGTGTGAGATTTAACCAATTTGAGCCATTCATTACTTCCATCCTTTAATTGAAATGGATGATGTTGAACTTTGTAGTTTTGATCACATATCGACGGTGTAAGTTAGCAATCACATAACTTTTTTATGGTGTTCGAAAATCTCCAACTCTGTTTTTTTTTTTAAAAAAGAGAACAAATTGACATCATTCCTTGAAGTTTTTGCAGAATTTTCTTCGCACAGAGGAGAAAAATCATGGCAGTTTTAAGTAAAGAATTGCCGTTACTTAAATAGTTTGCGACGTCGCAAATCGAGTTATGTGATTGCCGACTCAGACCATCAATATGGTCATTCAAGTAGGTAATATCAGCGGAAAAACTGTGACTGCCTACCTAACATTTTCTTGTTTGCACACAGAACAGACTTTTGAAATCCATTAAGCAGTGTCTGCTTTTGTAGCATGAGGAGTTACAACAGCCTGATCGTTGAAATTTATATCAGCACGACAAGAATTGAAACTCGTAATATTACACAGCGTAGATAGAGCTATGTATTGTCTTGCCGACAAGGCTAGTTAAAGTTCCAACAATGAGGTTGCTGGTAGCTCAATGAACTAGGTACTCGAGAATCGTGTCTATACATTTATGTATTTACTTCGTAGTAGCGTAATAACATCTATACAAGGCACTGGTCTTACTAACTGTGCAGATCTTGCTGACTTGGGAATTCCGTGACCAAAAAGATCATTTCCGCGGTCTAAAATCATGCGTCCACCAATCCTTTTTCGTAAAAATTGTACTTCAAATAAAAATAAGACTATGTAGTCGAGGTGAGAGACAAACATAGAATAGAACAAACAAGCAACCCAATAAGTGAAGGACTCGTTTTCTACAAACCTTCGGCGATTCCATTTCTTTGGAGACACAAGAATATGCTCGGTCCTTGACATTTTTCTGTTTTCACAGATTAAAATAAGGGTGATGAACGAAATTCGTGTAAATAATCCGTAAAACTCAAAACTCACAAAACAAGCCATGGGCCATGCGCCATGCCCGTTTATCCGTTTATGAACCAAATGTCAACAATAGCTGTAGACCAACTGTAGACATTCTGATTGGTCGAAACAAAATCGACACTCCAAATTGCCAACCCAGCTTATTTTCCACTTGTCTGGAGTCAAAAATTGTAAAAAATGGCGCGTTAAAGTGACACGGAGATAACGAGCGATAAACGTTAAAAGTGTTATATTTGAATATTTTAAGTATCTTTGGGTCAGATTTGAATAAAATTTGAAGGATTTCCCTATTCAATCAATATTAATAGCAAATGGATATTTCGTACGATTTTGGATATGAGTGTAGGTACGGTTGGTGAAGGTGTTACACTTGGAGTATGGTGCAAGACGTCATCGGCTAATCCGACAATCTGATTGCTTGAGAGAAAACCGCGAACTTGAAGCAAATTTAAAATGACGCTCTTTTTCCCGGCCCGCCGTAAAATGTTGTGCAGGCGTTAGGCTTGGGGTTATTTTTATTTATTCATATATTTCTTTTTTCCTGAGGTTATGCAGTTAACTGTTGTAAAAGAAATTAAGAAGAGCATTATTTATATTAGATTTAAAGAATAAAATTTGAGATTTTCGCCAAAATGTTAATTTTTACCATTCTACACCGAAAAGCTTAATTTATGCACGATTCTTTTACTTCTGCTGGTGAGTTTACTCTGTAGTAAAATAAGATTCATGGACATGCGCGACTAACTCGATTTATTTGTACCGACTTTAAACGAGTTTGAGTTAAAACCTTCATTTGATGCTACTTCAAAACATTTAATGGAGAGTTTTTGAACTTGATCGTAGAGTCATCTTATCGTTAGATTTTATTGTTAAGAGATAGCGCAAAAGTGTATTCTGCATCGACGCCAGGGTTATCCCATCTCACTCGGGGACTTAGGGACTCTGATAAAATTAAATATTTTGATGTCAACTTAATTTTTTTTCGTAGATTTAATGGAAAAAAAGAACTCGAACTAAGACATTTAGGACTTGAGTGCGGTTGAACCTGATTTGGTGTGATTTATTGCTCAGCGACTAACCTTCACGTTGTGACCCATATTTTTCTGACCAGATAACTACTGCTGTATGTGAACATTGATTGCGGCATTAGAAATACTTCCATCGCGATGTTACAAAATCTCTTGACAGTTTTTTTGATTTATTTTTGGATAAAAAAAATAATCAAAATATCTCCACCGAATGTTTCGTAAATGTTTGCGGATGAGCCAGGAAAATTATCATTAAATTTAAAGGAAAAGTGTTAGTTAGCCTCTTTAGAACCAACGAAATATGAGTAGTGATTAGTGCCTTCGTAGTCGTATTTTTCGACTTCAGTCGTCGTGACCATTTTCGAGAGCATACTGAATTCTTTCATAAGATACCATAAAGGGGGAGGTTGGGGGCAAATGTTACGTGATTGTTTGAACGAAGGGGGGAGGAGTGTCTAGACCGTCGTTACAAAGGGTGGGTGGGTGTCAAAACATCGAAAAAATGTGTCAGTTGAGGTGGTAACTGAATCGTGTTCTGATGCTTGATATTTGTAGATTCTTGTCTAAACAGCAACTTTCTACGTCCAATATAAACCAAGATATCGCGCTTCGAACTGTACGGTTTTGACGTCATCCACTGCGGTATCCCTTGGTTTCCTCCAATTTGCACTCATCCAAGTTTCACGTTGAGTACCTAACCAGTGCAAAAGTGCGTCACTTTGAAAGCAAGGTGGAAGAAATCAAGGGTGTCACTACCGCGGTGGATGACGTCAAAAACCCAAAACGCGATATCTCGGTTAATATTGAAAGTAGAATGTTGCTATTTGGGAAGACCGTATTATATTCAGGTGATCCACAAGAATCAAGCATCAAAATACAATTTTAAGACAAGCGCAACTGGACGTATTTCTATCAAACGGAAGTAAGCGCCATAGGGGGAGGGAGGGAGAGGGAGGCTTGGATTGGCGGGTGTTGCGGAACGCGATACCCTTTGCGCATCACGCAGTCCTCAATTATGCTCACCAAGATTTCCCCCCATGATAGTTCGCCTAAACTCACCATGCATTATTCGGACCATCATAACAAATCGGCGATTCAAACCGGTTCAAACCATGAAATATTCCCTGCTTAGACGACACCAATCGACCACAAATTTAGAGCCTCAAGCTGATCTTGCTCTAAATACATGACTTGTAATAGTTTTTTAAACTCACCATGCATTATTCGGACCATCAAAACAAAATCGGCGATTCAAACTTATTCAAACCATGAAATAGCCTCTGTTTAGACGACACCAATCGACCACAAATTTAGAGCCCCAAGCTGACCTTGCCCTTAACCGACTACACGTGTAACTCCCATCAGAGGTACAAAACGAGACTCATAGTTTTATTTGATCCCATCGCCGATTTGTCAAGGGTAGCCTGTTGTCGACTCCAGTATCAATAAACCAACGAAAATACAGAATTTTACATGGGATCATTCGGACGCAGAGTAAAGCCCGCAGATTGATGGCGTTCGGGGAGTACATCGGTAAAAACACCGAAAAATTTACGGTAGGTAAGTTATAGCTGCGGGAGTGACGCAGGGAATCCGATCGGGAACAAACAAATGGATAGGCAGTCAAACAGAACGCGAGTAGAAAAAGGGGAATTACAAGGTTAGAGTAAATAAAGCAGTGCTGTTATCTCTTGTGTCGCTGCGCACTTGCGCGCGAATCCGCGGGGTGAGGCCTGAGGCCTGGGACCATCACCATTCATTAGTCTGAGTAAAAGTAAATGAAACCTTAGCAGCAGAACCACAGAAGGAAAAGATGAAAATTATGTACGAAAGTTAATTTTTTTATAAAACGCATGCATACGGAAGTGTTAAAAGTGAACATTTTTATGTAACCATTAAATTATACCCAACCTCCCAAATACTTCTAGTTTCCCGGCCTCACTACTAATTAAATGAGACACAATACCAAACCCTGGTAAAATAAGAACATAAACTTCTGGATGACCAAAAAACCAAAGTAGATGCTGGTATAAGATAGGATCACCTCCCCCCAAAGGATCATAAAAAGATCTATTAAAATTTCGATCTATCAACAGCATTGTAATAGCATTGTAAAAGTCATAATTTTTGTGAGCTTTTTGCAAACGTACTAAAAAAGCTTCTATTTCGCGAAAAGCTCACGAAAATGATGACCTTTTTTTTAATATAATAGTTACATACAAATGTTCACTTTTAACACTTTCGTATGCATGCGTTTGAGAAAAAAAATTAAAAAACTTGTCTATTAAAAAGAATTACCTTATCTAGCTTTTATCATATTTCATGTATTATGGTCAGGTCTGAACTTTGATTTTTTTCATACGAGCGTTAAACGTTTTTTATATAAAACTACCATTTAGATAACAGATAAGTTTTTTTTATACGTTTTTTTAGAAAAACGAAAATTTGTTCTGCTACTAGGGAAATCTCTTTGCCCACT